TTTTGAACACTTTCACTAAATCCAACCACATCGGCTTGGGTCATTCCATCCACAACAGCGATTGGGTCATCCATGGAACCCTTTACAAATCTCACTTGATCAATCATGAATTCCTTAAAAGTACCTCCATTGACAGCCCATTGAATTCGTTGAATGGCATTGAGTGAAGTCTTGTTGGTAAATGGATAATCTACAACTGGAATTCTCACTCGTGTGACACGAGTTTCATCAATCTTGTAATGTTGAATGTATTTTGGATCGACATACATGGATGGTCCATCTTTGGCAGCATTATTTTGAATTTCTGTGAAATAGATATTCAATCTTAATTCTCCTGGAGTGATTGCCTTGACAAAGAATTCAAAATATTTGTAGACACTCAAATCAATGAAATGGATGGTACGAGAATCGCTTTGAGAAAATTGTTTTGAAATTTGAGTGACTCCTCGACCAATTCCAACATAAATGGAAGAAGACCCACAAATTGGAGCAGCTGTGTAATTTCTTGTACCAAAACTGTAAATTCCATTTTGAACATCTGTCGTTTGGTTATAGACAAACCATGACCACTTGGTTTTGGCTGTGTCCATATCTTCCGATTCGGAGTAAATATTGTAGGAATCTGCTGGAGCTGGATCACATGGTTTGGCCGTTGGAATTGGTAATGGCAATGAACAGGTTACTTCACCTTTTGGATTCTTTCCTTGATTGCATGAAATGTAAGCCTTCAAATGTCCATTTGGATTTTCCGTTGTGGACAATTTGACAAACAATCGACCTTTCAATAAATGAACTAATTCATCCACGGACAAATCTGCAGAGAATCTAGAAACTGAATAAGGAGTATATTTCACACCAGGTTGTGAAATGAAACGTTCTTCAGTACCTTTTGCTGGATCTCCAATTCCAATTTCCATTTTAGTTGCAATTAAGGTCAAGTCATGATGAACTGTGAAATCGACCGTTCTCTTATTGGGAAGTAAGGTTGCAAAGGCAACTCCATTTCCACGAGCTCCATTGACGATTGGTTTCATGATACCAACAAAACGATCTTCACGGTTATAGACCTTGATGAATTTTTCAGAATCTTTTGGTAAATCATAATTATCGACAGTACACTTTCCATTTGGACAAGTGGCATTGACATAAACGTTAAAGCCATCATGACTGTAAACAGAAAATCCCCATCGTTCACTAAATGCAGTTCGTCCAGCTCTGTTTCTCAAATACAAGTACAAATGCTCACCAGCAGAGTCGTAATAATAAGTGGTTGGATCATTGACAAGTTCTGACAAACTATTGACAGGTGTCAAATTTGTTGGAACACCATTTTTCAAATAATAAATCCATAACGAAGCAGTTCTTGGATATTGTACACTGACAACAACCCAATCGTTATTCGCACTCGATGGCAATGAAAATCTCAATACGGGAGGAGTTGGAATATTTAACACCCAACGAATGGCATAAAAGTTTTTGACAATGACATTACTGTGCATGATACGATCGACCGTTCCAGAAGAAACAGCTCCTAATACTTGACTACTGACACGTCGTGTTAAATCATGAGTAATCATTCTTGGAATTCTTGCAGATGGATTATTCAATTGAGGATCCGATCCCAAAGTTCCTGTCGTTTCAAATTGACCTCCAATATTGACAACTGCCAACTGTGAATAACCTTCCAATGAGACTGGACAAGCATAACCTCTCCATTCATCTTTACGAATACATCCTGAATGAGCTAAAATACTGTCATTGGAAACAATCCATCCTCCGGGTGTGAGTTGAGTAGCAGCTCCATCAATATCTAATAAACAAGCTCCCTTATTACCATCGAAATAATTGGGCATGATGTACACATGATTGGAATTTTCAAATTTCAAACCCACGTATCGATTCATGGTTTGATGTTTGAAAGGAGCATCTGTCAATTGACCCAAAGCACCTGCTTGTCTATATTGATTAGGCATAAAGTTACGGAATGTGATATTCACTAAAATTTGTGGACCTCCATTGTCATAGGTTTCATAACCCTTAATGACAAATTTGGTAGGATTGTTATAAAAGTCAGGACGAGAACGACCACCCACGTCAATGGTTGGTCTGTAACCAGCTTCACCCACATTATCAGTCTCTGCAATGAATAAACTATCCATAATCACACTAGGACCAGGAGGAGAATTCATTTGATTTCTGTTATCAAAAAGTGTTAAATTCTTAAACACTAATGGACCACCACGAGCCCAAATTCCATAACCACGATGTTTGTAGGAGATTAATCCTTCGAAAAGAGCATCGACGGAAGGTTGGGAAACGGTTGGATTTGGATAAGGACCCATTCGAGGTGAGAAACTTGCAAGTTCAGTTGTTCCGTCTGCTTTTAACATGTCATCCACTTGAAAACCATTTCCATTCGAAGAGTGAGCAACATTGTATTTGAAACCACCCAAAGGTTGATTTCTAGGACGAATGTAATAATTGTTAGTTCCATATTTGGCACTTGACAGGCCACCAACATTCAATGGCATGGTGAACCAGTAAGGGAATCGACCACCAACGGCAGCATTATGATACCAAGTGTTATTGGCATTGGTAATCCAGAAACAAGCAACATCGTTATCGGATGGGATGATTTGAAGTGGATCTGCATTGGCAACAGGTCTTGGACGAACACCCAAATTCTGTGTGAAATTATAATTATAATTCCAAATATATAAGATTTTCATTTCCATTCCAAAAAAAACAAAAGATTAATATTATGGTCAAGGTGTTGATTCAGAAAAAGTTCCAAAGATTAACGAAGATTCGCAACATATATACTTACATGAATAAATTCATTTCCCATTTCACCTCCATCTTCCAAAAAGTATTGATGCCCAAAACTATCAAAACAAACATTGTCTTGAATTAAGAGACCGTTCGTGTCGTGCACAACCACACATCTCTGGAATGAATGATGAATTGAAGAATCCTTAATAAAATACTTGCTTCGATCAGAATAAGGTTTATCTGCCAACACATGCCAGTGAACAGAATATCTTCCTAAAAGTCCTTTCTGACCCATACGAGTGACTTCAATTCCAGATAATTCTGCTTGTTCCACAACACGGATCATGAAATGTCCACCAAATTGTGAAGTCACAGAGTAGGCATCTCCTTGTAAAACAATGTTTCGATTCAAGAGACCAACTTCAGCACGAGCATAATCTTGTCCCCAGTGTGTGAAATTTAATGGACGATCGAGAACGAAGGTTTTGGAATCAATAACTTGAAGGATGGTTCTTTCTTCGTTTTGATCTGGGAAAGTAACGCCATAGATGAACATCCAGGATGGACCAGAGGCTTTTCTGCTATCCACTAATTCACCATAGTCTAATCATGTTCAGTGTGGAAAAAACAATTCAAATGTCAACAGCAATTTTCAATGACATGAATGGTCCAAATGTGATGATGAATGCATGATCAACATGACCAAGTAGAACATTCATGGTCAATGACATGCAAGGTTCACCAATAAGCCAGCAATAACATATGGATTAATCAATGCATACTGAATTTCAAAAGCCACCATAACAACATACCAGTACTTGTAATCAACAACTTATCTCCAACCTTCCATTGAGTAGCATCCATCACCTTGATCGTTGAATTACCCTTCCAAATCGTTTGTGCCAAATTCGTCCAAGTAGGTCTTCGAACATCTCCATACAATTGAATATACGAACCACTCATGGCTGCCAATCCTTTCGATCCTGCAGCAGTGGCGTCAAACGGATCGGTACCAATGACATTGTCGGAGGTTCGATTTCCGTAGAAAGTGATCACAATTTTGTTCGTAATGGGACACGAGGCAGAGCCAGCAATGAATTTACCACCTGCATCGACTCGAATCCATTCGACGTTGAGTTCCAAATTGACATTATCGAAAATCAGTTCACCTCCTTTTTGAATAACGATGGAACGTAATTGAACACCTGGGCTCTGATCCAGCTTGACTTGGTTGGAGATGACAATATCCGCCTGTGGTTGGTTCCAATTTGCGAGTGTTGAGAAGAGAATGAGTCCTGCTTGATTGTGTGGACATGCCCATGTGGTGGTTGTTGCGATGGTTACGAAGAGTGTGAAATAACACACAGCAGCGAATAACGCAATCATGGGTATATTGCCATTGACCAAACGAAAGGGTTTTGTGGTCAACATTCTCGGCAGGCAGTCGCTTGAGTTGTTTTTTTTGTGATGATGTGAATTATGAGCGAGTCGCGAGGCAAAAGTTTTTTAGGATTGAATTGACAGCTGTCAGTAATTGACCAATCGCTCATCGATTGTAGTTGGGCATGTTACCTTTTAAAAACGAATCGGTAAGGGATCTGGTGCGAACTGAATGTTCTTTTGTACAAGACTCATCATTGTTTCAGACATGTGTTGTGAAATGATTCGATCCAAGAGTTGAAAGCTTCATGATCCAAGTGAAATACAAGATCCAACATTCACTTTTTGAACACCCTATTATCCACACGGTTGTCTTTTCGTTATGAAGAAAACATTTACAAACTAATTGTTGTAACGAATTCGAAGCAGAGTGTCCAGACGTTAGATTTCGCTTTGAGGCAACTAGATCTCATAAGGCACGACAGTTTCATCTTCCGATCACGAATCTTCACTCGCCAATGGTGAGGCAAGAATATTCGTGTTTACAGTTTTTTCATCGAGTTTACAACATTCAACAAATTGAGAATTTATAGAGTTAGTTCCAATGAAATCGTAAAGGAAAAGCTTAAAAATCAAAGCCTCCTCCTCCTCCATAATCAAAACCACCACCACCACCTCCACTGTAGTCATAACCGCCACCACTATAGGCTCCAGAATCATAACCGCCACTATACGATCCAGAATCATAACCACCTCCACTGTACGATCCAATATCATAACCAGCACTTGAATCATAGGTGGTAGAGCTATGATCACTGCTTTGAAAAGCGCTTGTATCTACGGCAGAAGAAGTCGATGGATCGAATGAGGTAGAAGCAGTGTTCGGATCAGATCCATCAGTGGTACTCAAAGCATTGGGATCTTGAAGTGTATCATCCACTGGTGGCTGAGAATCTTGTTGAGGTGGAATGGTCGTAACAGGATCTGGAAGAGTTCCTTGATTCTGATAAAGAAAAGTATTGAAACTAGAAGAATCATAGTTATTGAAGATGGAATTCGAGTCATAATAATTCGAAGCGAAGGTACTAGTATCATAGGTATCTTGATAACCAAGATCATCGACATACGATGAAGTATCAGTATAGGCATAATCATCAAAATCATGATCATCCACATAATCATCATCGTGATCATCTTTGGGTCCTGAACGAGGAGCACGAAAACGTGGTCCACCTCTCATCATCATGGGAACTCTTCCAACAGGCTTTACCATAGTTCTGCTATTATTAATGTTCGATGTAGCTCCCTTACTCGATGAATAAATCTTAGTTGGTGGTTTTTGTTGATGACGATTAAGGCTCTGATGACTCACAGCTCTTGGCTGTTGGTACGCATGAGAACTGGGAACTCCAGCATGAGAAGGAATTGGTCTGCTGTTCGTCGTGACAAAAGTTGAAGAGGATGAACCTCCTCCACCGTAAGGATAGGATCTATTTCCCTGTATGAGTGGTTGCTGTTGGTAAACGAATGCATTCGAAGTCTGATATTGATTTTGCAGTGGTCTTCCATAACTTGAAATCTGTCTTCCTGGCTCAATGGGAAAATCATGATCGTCCTGATAGACAGGTTGTCGGTTGTACATCATGAAACGTGTTGATTTGAGTGTTTTAATTGTTTTTTTCTTGTTGTTGGCTTGTGAACTGAACAAGTGTATGGATTTTAAAGCAGTGACTTCGTGAAAAAATTGTAGGTTGAAACGTGAAAATGGCTGGAACTGTCAGACGTCAATTTCGGAACCTTGCTAAACGGTCGTTCAATTATGGTGGTTTCATCTACAGTGAAGTTGCCATTGGTTGTTTTCTGTAGTCCATGATACTACATTGACGATCAAAATTGAACTGTAAAATTATTTGAGTTTTACTTCCATTCTCGAATTTTTTACCTAGAACAACCCATACCACAAATAAGCTCATAAGAGACAATCTAATGCATCCTTTTTCTTCATTGTCTGACAATCTAATGCATCCTTTTTCTTCATTGTCTGTACAAAAGCATATATCTCGATTTTTAGAAAGTTCCTTTCTCAGTAAAAGGATCATTGAACAGCACAAACCAAAGGAAACGGATACCGTCAACCAAAATCCAGTTTTAAGAAGTCTCCAAAGATTAAGAACAGTACACTCTAAAGTAAGAAGTTCTGTTCATAAATGTCGATATTGATCTGCCAAAAGGAATTTAATAACATGCGGTATCAAGAACCGTTTTGACCAACACCTGTCATGAGTAACAACGTGGAGTTTTAGTTGAATGAATGAATGAAAAATATTAGAAAAAAAGCATCCAACAGAAAGAACATGAACACCCTATCAAGACAACTACCAAGAATTGTTCACACTTCTTATTTAAACAATTCAGACACATCACTGAATACCATACACGATTATTCACAACTTGACTTTTATGTTTTTCCAAAAAGTAGTCTTTATGAAAATTCTTCACAAGAACTTGTGCCAGAGGATCCATGGTTGAATGAGAAGCAGATCGATGGTTTGATTCATACGAAATCCAGACAAGAATCTTGTTCATCAATGACTAGGTTATCAAACACAGATATCCTTCCTCAACAACGAATATCCATTCCTTCGAAAAGACACTGCTGTTTTTTGATCGTGTCGTACTCGTGGTCTCTTTCCTTCATGATGATGCTTTTTTTAATTTCCACCTTTGTCGATCTCTAAAAAGTTCGTTGATGAGACTTTTTATAAAACTGAACAACCCTTTGGCTTGTGAATGGAACAAGTGTGTGGATTTTAAAGCAGGTGGCTTTGTGAAAAATATGTTGGCTGTACGTGAAAATGTTTCGATTGTCAGACGTCAATAAGAGAACCTTGCTAAATCATCAATGACGGTGGTTTCATCTACAGTGTGGTTGCCAACTTTTGAATTCTGTCGTCCATGATACAATCTCAAACCTTGTCTCTGTGGACAATCGAAATATTTCTTTGAAACTTTCAATCTCGAATCTTCCACCAAAAACAACCCATAACACAAATAAGCTCAAGAGAGACAATCTCTTGCATCCCTTTTTCTTCATTCTCAATGACAAAAGTATACAAATACAAATGTCACATTTTTGAAAAAAATCCTTTCTCAGAAAAAGGATCATGGAAACAACATAATCCAATGGTAATGGACATCATCAACCAAAATCCAGTTTTATAAAAAAGCGCACGCAAAGAACCTTGTCACTTCTAAATTAATCAATTCTGTTCATTATTGTCGATACTGAGCTTCCTAAATCAATCGTAACAACATGCAGCAACAAGAACTGTTAAGAACACCATTCACCGGTTGCTCTGACATGAATAACAATGTGGAGTTTCTCAATAATGCGACCGTTCTTGCTTCAAAATCATGAAGAAAAAACATCTGAAAAATGTTTTCCAACAACGAACGAATGATCCCATCAAGACATTCACAAAGAAGTGTTCCATCGCCTTCAAACCATCAAAACTCCAAGTGGAATACCATAGATTATTCACAACTTGAGTTTTATGTCTTTCCCAAAAATTATAAACATATTATGAGGATTCTTCTCCATTAATACCACAACAAGAAGAAGATTTTGTTTCTAATGAAATGAAGAAGGAGAGTAACATGAAAGAAACCTCAATTTCAAATTCAAACTCAACTAAAGAAAATCAGGAACGAATAGATGTTATTGCAAACAGAAATTGTCATTGTAATTTGAAAATCATGTCGTACTCATGGTCTCTTTCATTCATGATGATCCTTTTTTTAATTTCCAGATTAGTATTTGTTTGAAAAAGGCTCATGGAAATGTAAATTTGGATCGAACGATACAGAACAACGTTGCAGGGTCATTGTCAAAGACTTGGATAACGAAACGATCGAATCTTAAAATGTCAATAATCTTATGAACGGTCAACTTCAATTTTTCTTGTAATAAAAAAATGTCTTCTCATCAAGACCATGAAGCCTCATCGCATCATCCAACGTTGAGTTTTGTTCCGACAGCTACTCAATCCATCTATGATCAAATCATTGCTGCAAATACTTCTCCATATACTATTTACTTCCGACAAATGTTTATGAGTTTTCCATTCTTGATGAGTTTAATACTTTTTATTTATTATTATGCACACGTGAATGGAATGTTTGATGAAGTGAGAGTTTACATGAGTTCAAAATTTGGAAATACAGAAAATCAACGATCTATAGAGAATGATGATGAGTATTATGACGATGAAAAGAAGAAAATAATAATCGAAATGAAGAAGGTTCGGAAACGACCTTTCAAAACAATACAAATCATATTCAGTTGAGTGAAATTTGCAAACTTTCTCCGTCACTGAATGGATCTGCTATCACAAAATTAAGTGAAAACTATTTGAGGTTTTCAAAGACGATTTCGAAAAGAAGAAAATTGTGCAAGAAGCCAAGATGGACTTGACAATACACCTTGGGCATTGTCAACCATTTTCTTGGGACCTTCTGCTTTCAATGAAATGTCACTTTATAGGTATCCAATGTTTTTTGGATTTTCTGGAATTGCACAGTCGCTCCTGGCTAGGGTTGTGAAAGGGAATAGATTTACACGACTGTTAGGTTTTGGAAAATTGACAAGTGACAATATTTCTCAATATTACGAGAAAGAAGGTTGGAAATATGACAAAGTGACCATTGTTAGAAATGAACAAACCTTTTACTTTGATGTATTACAGAAGTCAAGCTCTAAAAACGCTTCATCTAGTACATTTTCAACACTTCTATTGATTCCAGATATTGATGGATGCCTGGGTGAAAATTCATGCTATTTAGATTCCTTTATTGATGGTGTATGTGGAAACAGAAACTCTCTGAGGCTTGCAGCATCCACAAAAGATTCTATTCACCGAATAATCATTTATAGTAGAGAGGGAAGATCTCAAAATTATCCATTAACTACTAGCTCCAATTTCAAGCTATTAGGAGATGAGCAAGATCTAAGATATTGCATTCAACAACTCGCAGAAAAGTACAGGATTGGAAATAACTCAAACTCGCACTCAATTAGTGCTCAATTTATAGGAGTTGGATGGGGATTTGGTGCAAATTTACTATTAAGTGCTGTATCCGGTCTTGCTTCATCAAATTACTTCTCGATGTGCATTTCCATTTCAAATCCATACGACATCAAAAATTGCATGACAACTCCAATGACAAGGTATCACAACATGATTCTTCAACAGCTCAAAAAGATTGTGAAAAACAATTGGAGCGTGTTTCAGAAGCATCCACATGCTTCTCTCAACTTGGATGAACTCATGGCCTCAAAAACTTTTATAGAATTTGACACGAATTTCACACTCAAAATTAATCCAGAACTTCAAGATATTCCAAATGATTATTACGACACGGCGAGTTGTTACCATCATTTAAATGATATCTTGAGCCCCACTCTTCTCGTGTCTGCAAGTGACGATCCTGCTTGTTCTCTCTCTGTATGAATAATAAGGTCATTCCTGCTTGCATTTATGGACAACATGAGAATATTCTACTTGTAAAAACTTCCAAAGGTGGAAATAGAGCATTCTTTACAGGTTCCTTCGTACCAAGTGGAGTTGCATTCGATGAGAAAGTTGTGTTTGATTTTATAGAAGCTGTTTTGGCACTCACAAATTACGACAAATAAGAGTTCATCAAGAACCTATCTTTTGAAAGATTCGAGATGATTTGACAATTTATTCATCATGATTGGAAGATGTTATAGACAACTCCTCAACAGAATTACTTGCATTCGTGTCTTGAATCAAGGTCGATGCAATTTCCTTGACATACTCCTTAACCCACTCTTTCACTCCTTCAACTGCATATTCCAAAATAATATCTACCAAACCATCTGTACATTCCATTTCACACTCTTTCAACAATATTTGAATGGAATCATGTTCTTCCTTAATGATATCCTTCTTAATTTCCAAACATAGAATACCACTCAAATCCCTATGATTGATGTCACCTCCTTCCTCAAGATAACGAATCATGGCTTTTTCCCATCTCGATTGAGTGCAGACACTTTGAGCAATAGTTTTCAATTTGGTGTCAATATCCTTTTCTTCCTTGAGATGTTTTGGTTTTTTAGTTTCCTTGTAACGCTTGGAAACCATTTTGAATGAAACCATTCGAACATCACCACAGCCATCCAATTCATCTTCTTCACTTCTCTTGGACTTGGTATATTCAGATTCAGAAAAAGTGTCAACTGTCGTTTTATCCAAATATTGTTTCACAACCAAACCCTCAACCATCGCATAACCACCCAACTGTGACTTGGTATTATTACACAAATATTTCAACTTTTCAAAATCCAACACTCCACGATACACAATTTGAGCACACATCAATCCCAATCGTTTGGCTTCCATTTCAATTTCATCAGGAAGTAAATAATTTCCCTTATCATTCTGAACATCAAACAAGACAAATGATTTTGGAGGAATGAAGCCATACATGACACGACAATGTCTGTAACGAGTGATGGTTTCACCTCGATAGACATAATTGGGAGAAAGTAAATGTTGAATTTCTGAAATGGCCTTGATGGCATTTTCAAAACAAATGTCATTGGAAATTGGACCTTTCTTGGTTCGAAAAATTAATTTCTTATTTCCTTCTGAATTGGAAATGGCGTCATCGTTGTTGGCAGTGTCATTGACGAGCATGAATGACAACTGAGAGCCATCAATTTTTTCTTGAGCATAGACGTAAGTGGAATGTGCAATCCATCGTTTCGAAGATTTGATAGCATGTCCTGCACCACTGGATTTTTCTTGAGCACTTGGATATTTGGGAATGAGAGCATAAAAATCTCGTTCGGATTTGTGACATTTGACTTTTCCGAGATCAATTCTTCAGAGAATGTCTCTTCCGAAGTGTCTATTGAACATAAATCATTCATTGTTGTGTGTGAGTCTTCTTTTTTTTAATTGAATTGCCCGCTTGTTTCAGGCCTGAAGATTAATAAAAGTTACAAAAGTGCATTTTCAAAATTCTAAAACGAATCAACGGAACTTGGAATTTCAGAAGAACCAATCATTTAAAGATCGACACGTCTCTAGAATTGCACACCAACAACTCTCCAGTGAATTCATTCAAACACATTCCCGCGTTGCATTTCAAACGATTCGTGAAATAGGATTTTACACGTTGTTCATCTCTAAAGATTTGAATTCGATTAAATTGTGAGCTCACTGAATCTGTAATGAGAATATGACCTCTACTCTTATCCAGACATATTCCTTTTGGTGAATTCAATTCGTTTGCTCCAAAACTTTTCACACTTTTCCATAAAGCGTTGGAATCATTAGTTGAAAATATTTCAACACGACATTCGGAAGACTTTTCCATTGCACGCTTTTCAAGGACATATAGAAATCCATCAACATGGTTCCATTCTGATCGATAAGGACAAAAATCAACAGGTCAATCATATGTACTAATCTTCCCGAGGACAAATCCAAAATAATAATGCTTTTGGAAAGAAATTCAGAGATGAACACATGTTTCTTTGAAATGGATATTCCAGTAACATTCTGAAATGCTTGTGATTTCCATATGACTTTCTTGTCAATGGCAATGTCAGTGTCCATCCTGTGAGAATGATTCATGACATTAAGTAAATCGTATTTCAAACAACAATGACTTTGAAACATTTTAGATGAAATCACTAACAGAGCATCGTGATTCAAATGATCATAATTCTCCTGAATGCAAAAATGATACACTTCCATGGAAATTGTCGTTATAAACTTTTTTGACGACAAATCAAAAAATAATAAACGATGATTTCCCGAGTCACAAATTATAATACAAGAATGATGATATGAAATTCTAATTTCTGAAGGATGTTTCAGATAGACATCATCAAAATTTGACAATGTTACAGCTGTCGAACAAGACATGGCAGGTGAATGTGTAACCTTGTCAATCGTGTGAACAAGTGTAAAACTTTGCGAGAAGGGATTTGCGATTCTTCTTGATCCTGACATGATCTTTTGGCTCAATTTTTCAACCAGTTGATCAATATGATCATCATCATCACTTCGGCGTGAATCTGTCAACATGCACACAAAATCAATGAGAATGAGAGGCATGAAAATTTTTTTTTGCTCATGTCAATAAATGGTTAATCCAAATCAATGCGCGCTCGTACTAAGCGGTGTTTTAATAAAAATCCGCTTCGACTTGCCTCATTGTTGTTTCGTATGAAACATTATGATTCATCAATGATAGTATACATTAATCTTCTAAAACAAGACATTCATATCTGGGTTTCTGAATGGATGCATCAATCAGTGCTTCTACTGAGAAGCTACTCGTTTGTGTTAATAATCTTAATAGGCTAGCTGAGAATCCAGATAGTAAGGCTACACCCTGTTCATTCTTGGTCACTGGAACGGTGTTAAAAGTTCCATTCAAATTCCAATAAACAATTTCTGGAACAGTATATCCATGACGCTCAAATTTTTCACGAATGAGTTGATGATCTGTTTTGGTACGGCCACAAGATTCATCAAATTGCATGTCTGAAAAAACAACCATCTTTCGAATCATTTGATCTTTGGCTAAATTGTTGCTTACTGCCTTCTCCAAGATTAAATCAAATACTTTTTGATAATTGGTATTCATGGACCAGTTGGCAGCAGACAATGTGAAAAGTCGTTCTCTAAGAGGAGCCTTTGGATTCAATGACACAAATTCTGGCTTTTCGGAGAAGGTGCAAATCAGTCCCTTAAATGGATTGTCATTCAATTCAGACATCAAAATGCTAAGTGCCATGGCAACGTTCATAGGCTGTCCGTTCATACTTCCTGAAACGTCACAGATAGGAAGACAATTTGCTAGCTCAAAGTTTCCTTGTGTTCGGTATTTTCAACTAAGGTCTTCCATTGTAATTCTAGAGTCAAAATAGCATTCTTATCTTTTTCAACCATCAAATTTTCCACAATTTGATGAGGAAAGAGAACCTTTCCAGAAATCTTTTGTTCTCCTTTCACTACTTTTCCTAAAAATTCAGAAAATCGTTCCAAATCTCTACGCATAAATAATTTCTTGTTTCTGTGCATGCATACTGATGGAACTCTTTGGTAAGGAATTTCACTCCATCTTTTTGCTGCCATGAAAGTTTCAATCACAGGAGTAGCAGCTCTCAATGGTGCCAAGTACTCTTTCTGGTATTTGATTTTTGCTAAATATTCATACACTTGCTCGTCTGTGAAATTTGCATCTCCAAGTCCCTGTTGTCTCTTAGTGAGTTGAATTCCTCATTCTTCACCCAATGGGAATAATTTCTTAGCAATGTCAAGACCAATTCCATCTAATAGTTTGTCTGCTGATCTTCCAATCGATGGAGCCCACTTGGCACAAAGAGAATGAATACCAACGGGTTGTGAGGGTTGTGCTTGACTCTTCTTAATCATGTATTCTTTGTCCTTCCTTAATTGGTCGACATAGAGATCGACAATAATTTCACGTGCTTGCAGATAACTTTGTCGAAGAATGATCTTTTCTTGAGCAGAAAATTCCATAAGCTCACGACTTTCTGAGATGTTTTTCATGTGCCGCAGAATATCCATTTCTGTCAATTCCTCAGATATGTGATCCTTATCTTCAGTCTTGTTGTAAGAACAACGTTTTAGATATCTGAGAAATTGTTTCAAGCCAAACACGGACGGAAGTCTTGACAAATGATTCTGTTGCCTTTGAAACCAACGTGGTCGTTCATCCATTTCATAACCACCGTATCGAATGTACGATAGCAAGTTCAACAAATCTTTCCAATATCCAAATTTCGAAATAAACTTGAGATTGGCAAGGAACGTTTTAGGATGATGCAATGCAAGCCATCGTTGACACTCATAGAATATCTTCTTTTCTCCCTTTCCCTGACGGATGTCCAAAATAAAGAATATGACTTTCAATGTTCTTGTTGGATCTTCTTGCCAAGATTCGGAAAGTAACTGATGAATTCCACGTTGTGAAATTCCTTCCACAGACTTGTAGAAAAAATCAACCAACGCACTTCCTGAGGATTTATACGCCAATGATCCATTCTGAGTTAAGGTCCAATTTGAGGAGTGACCCGAGTCATCCTCCACAGCTAGTAAATCAGAGAAAAAGGAGGTGTTGGTCTTCTTTTTCTTGAAAAGCGTATCCAAGAATGAATTCAGTTCTGTGGATGTTGAAGAGGTAGGGATTGAATAATGTCTACGAAAGGTACACGAACCATTACTTAAAATCAATGAGGATGTCTGATGATGGCCAGCATCACCACCACGACTGAATCGATACACTCCAACACGCTTGATGAGTGTGTTACACGCCAATAATGATGACCTATTTCCGAAAGAGAGCATGTGGAGAACTTTTTTTTGTAAGAGTGGGAGAGATTTTGATTGGATTTGACATTACGGATGGATGTGGAAGCTCGACGATCATGATCTGCTTAATGGAAGTTCTAATTTTCAGAGCGTAGTGAAGATGTTAATTCATGAAGGAAATGTCCAAATCATGATAATGTTTCGAGGACAACATTGGTCTTGCAAAAGGACATTTTGCAGAGTTGTGGAAATAATGATGCACATAGTCCAATTCTTCGGGTGTTGCTGGTAAATAATAAGCATAGCCAGGTCGACCAAGTCTGCCACATCTACCACTTCGAAATTTGCAAGTTGAAACGTCTCTGGCAATGTCATAGTGAACCACAAGGTTGATTCTATGAATGTCAATACCAATAAATGCTTCATCGATGGTAATCAATATTCTATTTTGTGCCTCTAAAACTGGTCTGTTTGGAGCTTCTAAATTGATTAGTTTTGCAACATCTTTGTGTTTACGAGAAGAGTTCAATTTTTGAAATAATTTGAGGACAGAAGCTTCATCCTGACAAAATATTATACATGCATGATATTCATTGTCAGCCGTGGCGATTATCCTGAGCAGTGTCTGAAATTTTTGCCCTTCTCGAGGGCAATATTCAAAACTTTCTGAAATATTATCGTGAACGATATGGTCAGACGTCCGTATCATGTGACAGTTGCTCAATCGTTCTTCGTATTGATAGCATGTCACGGAAGGAAAATTAGACCCAAAACATAAAATGTCAGTATTCGAAGGAATTTTGGAAAAGATCTTTCTAATATTTTTTCTATGCGAAGAATAAATCTTATCATTCACATCATTGATGATGCTTGACGCATTAAAAGGATGTTGAAAATCCAACATGATATCCATTTCATCAATGACCAATACTTTCAATTTGCTCAGGTCATAACAACTTGAATAATACAACAAATTGGATGAAGTTGAAACAATCACATGAGGTTGCGATGACAGATCTAACGTTTCAATTCTTGAGGACCTAATGTCCCCATTGGGACGTAGTAGTGCTTTTGACATGAATCCATTAATGTAATCTGAAATGGAATTCAAAACCGATTGCACTTGTAAGACCAACAGGTCCGTTGGACATAAAATCACTCCGAGAACGCTCGATGAGTTTTTAATCATCTCTTCATCAAAATTCATCAACAATCCAATGATATAAGCGATGGTTTTTCCATGTCCAATGGAACCTTGAACCATCCAATTTCGTTTGGCTTGTCCATCATTTGTCTTACTCGGAGAATATGCAGGTGATCCATCCTGCTCATCATCAGATCCAAATAAAAAACATTGTTGTACAAAAGTTGGATATTCCAGTCCGTATGAATAAATTCCTCGCAACAACGACCATTGGTATTCGGTATTTGAATTTGCAAGGTCGTCAAAGGATTTCGATAAGGCATTTTTTTGTGTTTTTTTGATGAGCTGATTACAACAAGGTCTGAAATGCAACTTTGAACGATTCTTTTAAATGAAATACAAACACAGAATTGATGCACAAATCATCAACCAGTAATGTACCAAATCAATATGGACAGCGTCGTTGGCTCTCTCACTTCTCGATTTAGCAGGTTCAGTTTTTGATGGAATGGGTGAGGACGAAATAATGGGTTTCACTGGCTTTGATTCAGGAAATGTTAAATAGACAGGACCATCATACATGTTCACATTGAACTCGTTTCCCTTGAATGTCATTGCTTCTCCAAATACATTTACAATTGTAGACGCATTGACAGCTTTCACACTTGTGTTTCCATAAAAGTCCACAGGCCAAACAATAACTAGTGAATCGTTTTCTCCCTTAAATCTCATGGCATTCACAAATGGATGCTCTGTTCTCAAAAAGCCATCAAATAGCCGTCCCTTAATCGATTTGGTCAATTGTCGAAGTGCTCGCATGGCTGGTTTATCGGTGCCATTGTTGAAAAGCAATCCAAAATTGTGCTCTCGTTCACTTGGATTGTTTCCATCATTCTTAAAGTCGTAGTACATGATGAGTGGCAAACCGAGAGCAGTTGACACCAAAAATCTTGATACGACGGCGTTTCCATGAATTTTCAAGGCTGTGTAATTGTGACCATTAGAAGTAGAATCGTAATCGGTACTCGTAAGGCCCCACTCAGTTTCCCAAACAGGTGGAATCGTTGAAGTTAAATCGACCTGATGAGAAGGTATTGGACTATTTGATCCTCCAATTCCCAAAGTTTCATTCACAAACTCATTGATTACTCCACGAAATCTTCGCATTCCTTCTGTCAAACGTCCAAAAGAGGCATCTGTATTTCCAATGAAATAGGGATGAAGACCAATAGCATTCGCTCCATATCCACCTCCTTTCGATAGATAGGCCCTTAAAAAATTCAAATCAACACCTGCCAATCCACTTGTAGAGATTAAGACGGTGGGATCGACTTGATGAGCAGCATCAATAGCTGCCTTTGAAAGATTTGCATATTGCTCTCCAGTAAAACCATTTCCATTGGCTTCATTGTAAATTTCATAAATAATGTCATTTCCTCCATAATGTTTCACACAAGCTCGTGTGTAATTGGCAAAAGCTTCAATGGCCTCTGGAGAAGTAGGAGCTCCAGATTGATACAAACTATTTCCGTAAGTGAGAATAAATAGAAGTTTTAAACCTCGAGATCGTATCAAGGCTACATATGGATCGTATTTTGCAAAATTGTATTGACCTTTCACAGTTTCAACAGTTCCCCAAAATAAATCAGTTCGTATCCATGTTAAGCTTGCATTCTTGATAATGTCAAAAGTTAAGGGGCTTGTGGTAAAGTGAACACAGACACCATATCTTGGTAAAATGTCAATCCCTAAAGATTCTTTTGGTATAAAAGCACTAGGAATAAAATCTTCAGAATTTAACTCAATATTGGTTTGATTAGTGGCAACAATTTCATCAAACATGATAAAACCAACAGGTGCAACGTTCCTATTGACCACTGAAAGTAATATACTCATCTCTTTGAAAGGTAGTTTCATGACTCCATCATTTGGACCTCCAAAATAAAAAGATGGTTTTGTTGAGGTCGAAAGTACAATGTCTCTCCACCCATGTTGATCGCCTCTACCATCGTCACGTTCACCATTATAAGTTTCAATGGTTCCAAAAAGTCCATACTGAAAGGTTTGACCACTACTGTCGACAAGTCTCAAGGATAGTCCTGAATTTGTGTCACTTGTTTTGACTTTGAATGCGATCATGGAGAAATGAAGCTGTGGATTGAATTTGAGTTGGGCAGCAACGTAGGAACCTTTGGTTAGATTGTATCGAAGAAGAGCAGCTGGAGTGTTGGCAAAGCCATTCGGAGCGAGGGTCAGAGAACCAATGGCACCTGGATATTCGGGACCATTACTGAAACCCCATGGTGAGATGCTTGTTCGGTTGAAGTCGTCAATGACCTTCTTGCCAAGGAGAGCATGCACGGTAACAATACCGGATGATAGTGCCAGAGCAATTAGGAGCAAGCATAAGAGTGTGAACAAGGTCATGTTGTGCCGCTTATTGCTGAATACGACAGCATGATATGGTTGTGTCATTTTGTTTGCATAGAGGCGTAAACGCGAATGAGGTTAATTGTGTCCATCAAAAATCACCAAAACTACGAGATCTGAGAATTGTTGAGCGAAACAAAGATCTGACGACCAAACTTTCAGCCATTCATTACGCTTGCTCAATCTTTTCCTTTAATGTACACTGCATGGTAGGAGCGAAAAGGATTTTTGATGTCTGGTTCACCTTCATAGTTTTTTCTTCCATAACGTGAGTTTGACTGTTTTGGTGCGCTGAATGTCGATAAATCTTCACAGTATTCCAGTTTGAAACCTTGTTTTTTCTCAGTGGTACTACTCTGAGCGATTGTTTCTGTGTCTTCTTTTTGGTCAACAACGATGGGCTCAGTGATTAACTCTGTCCATTCATCGCTGGATCGATATTCGGCAAAGTATTCAGAACAAAAATTGGGCATCTCTCGAGGAGAACTCCAAACCAGTGAATATAATCCATGCATGATATCGAGAGTTAGAGAAACTTCAGGAGGAGAACAGTCGTGCTCTCGAATGATTAGAACCCCTCCTGGCTCTAAAATTCTGTAAACCTCTTTGATTGTTTCTTGCACGTTTTTGATGTGATGAAAAGACATGAGTGCTGTCACAAGTGAAAATGAATTGTTTTCGAAAGGTAGATGATTAGATTGCTCGCTTATAAGATGGAAAGTAAAATCATTGGTATAGGTTTTTCCAATGTCCCTCACATCACAACCATGAATATTTTCTTTTGTTAATCCAAGTTCATGCCCAATAGCCTGCGTGATTGATCCTTCAGAGCATCCAATGTCAAGCATGTTACGGACTTTCAAAGATTTTGGAATAAGCTCCTTAATTTTGCTAGAGCGATTGCTACTTCTGTATGAAGTGTCAGTACTTCTGTCCGTACTCATTTTCGTAACGTTCACTGGATTTTCTTTCAAATATTCTCTAGATTTAAATACCTTATTTTGGAAGAGGTCATGCAACTTGTCATAAATTTCTTGGTCATTGGACGAAGTGTCAATAAATTTCTGTATCTGTTCCTTGACGATGGCCTGCTGTTCATAACATTTTCTCAACATTTGTTTGCACAAAATTTGTTCAGTTCGCTTCTTGACATCCCTTTTGATTGATGCCACACATAGTGAAATTGTTGTTGAGAAAATACTGTTGGCAGTCCGTGCTTGTTGGTCATTTGTTGCTCCGAGTTTAGCGCTGTTATAACCACGAGTGTGGTAATACTGCTACATAATCGTAGCCATCTTGAAGAGTCCTGTTATGAATTACTTTTCTTGTTTTCACATGGCCGAGAGCAGCAAGAACACTTCCTTCCTCAGCGTTTTTTACTCGTACTACAACGAGTGGGCATGAAAGATCTTCCAGTAGTGCTTTGAGTACTTCAACCAAATTAGACTCTTTTTCAGAATTGTCATTTGTTGTCGGTAAAGCCAATGAAAACAAATTCAAATCAATGAACACGCAAGATTTAAAGTACTTGACATTACTATAATTTTCTTTCATCCAGGTCAAGAAATGTGCATTGACAAATTCTACATATTTTTCAAGTTGAAATTCATCCATGACGTTGTGTTTGAGCGCAGAAAACCTCTCAATACTGCTTTCAACAGCTACGATATTGTCAAATCCACTCGTTCTAGCAAATGAAATAGAAGCACAGCCAACACCAGCAAAGGCGTCAATTACAGTGTTTTTACTCCTACTCAATTCGGAATAGCTTAATAATGGGCAATATTCATCTCTAATTTGCAGGATCCAATCCAGCAGGTCATACTGTGCTTCCTCGGGAATAAAGTCTTCGAGATGAAATTTTAAGTCGTTCAATTCAATGTTTTTATCATTGCATCTAGGAAAAGCCTGAGAAATGCTATTACATTTTATAGGAGCCTTTTCTGGTTTTCTTTTCTTTTGATAATTCTCAGCATTGTCATCGTGATGATGATGAATGTAACTATATTTGGAATTTTCATTGTATTTTCTCTTATAGGATGATGAAGATGATCCACTATTTTTGTTGGAAAATCCTTTGGAATATGTATTTCTGCCACCTCCTGTCTTGTTGGAATAATGGTGTGAGTGCGAGGATGAAGCGTTATCGTTGTTCCGATGATTTGGCATTTTTTATTATCTATTTCCGTCCACATTTAAACTCAGCCAGTGGCTTTTTATGATGCCAATTTGTGAAAATATTATTCTTTCCTATTTTCCACGACAACAAAGGGAATCCAAACCGAAAGAATTTCATGTTTCAAATGTTTTTCTTCCTTCTTTCTGACTCTCATTTCGACACTTTGTGAATGAACTCCATTTAAAATAGACGAATCCTTAGACCACTATTGGAACATAAGTAAGCAACAGAATAATGAGTACTACATACACTAAATAAACAAGCATCAGTTGTAGAAGAAAATGGATTCAATTCCACAACATAAATTTTTCCATCTCTGGCAATGGCCAAGTCACAAATATAATCCTTAATCGGTATCGCACAAGAAATGTTCGTATTAAAAAACTCAATTAATTTCTCCTTAATTTCAGAGGAGTGCTGAACGAGTTCAGGAAAGTAGCATGTATCAAAATATTGAGAGATGGCTGTCAGTTTTCCATTTTTCACAAAAGATCTAAATTCATGTTCAACAGGAATCTCGACCCATTCTCTTATAATGATTTGAATAGGATCCAATTGGATTCTCGTGTTTTGGATTGAACCAAATAAAGCATAAGATCTTCCAACACTCGAGCAGACTTTTTAAAGTAATAAAATTCCTCAGCAAAACTTTTCACTTTCATGGATTGAATAAAAGCTTCGTTCACTGCTATTAATCTCTCATTCTCTGAAGGAAGTTTCTGTGAAGAGTTCTTTTGAATTAATTGATTGATCTTTTCTTCAAAGATGGCTTTCATCTTATCACAAACGGCGAATGCATCTTTTGGAGATCGGCATGATAATTTAATGAAACAATATACTTCATCGGAGGAATTACTGGACACAAGTTGTTGAATTTCATGATCGATCGACTCTTCTAATTGTTTCAAAATATTCTTCTTTTTTTCTGCATCAAAGTTCATCAAATCCATTCCGATCGAATGTTTCAATTGTTCATTCTCCTCCAAAGTAAAATACTCATTCTCACTGATGATGGCACAAATTTCATCGTGTGAGAGAGCAACCATCCGAGTTCTAGATATTCAATAATTAGCAGATATTGTGGACGTTGTTGCGTAGTAAGCATTGATCAGAATCAAAACGACACAAGAACTTACTTGAACGTATGATCTTGGATGGCATTGATCCAAACGTCGAGATTAGTGTCAAACCAAGTTTCAGACATTTTTTAATGTTAAACTTCATTTGTAAAACTTCGATTAGGTCATACATGAACTGTGAACATTTCATCATTTCATGTTTGTCCCTAAATAAGCATCGTAATAGCAATGTTTCATTCTTTCTCGATATAATTCGTCACTATACTTCTTAGCGTAACCATTAAATTTAACAGCTGCTGAAACAAGTTCTGGATCTTGTCGCAACTCTTCACTGGCATAACATAATGCATAGCCATTATTCTTCACTGCCTCCAACATGATTTCCTTGTCAGAACAACTAAAATTGTCTCCTATTACTCCAAGACTATTGTGTTTGATTGCTTGTAACACGAATTCCTTGTCATGAGTATATTCTTTGGGTGCATATCTAAAACAATTTTGACATCCAAGCTTGATAACTTCTAACAAGAAATGTTTGTCGTTCCAAAGTTGCTGGGAAGCATATCGTACGGCATTTACATCTTGTTTGAGGGCTTCTATTACAATTTCTTTATCAAGTTTCAAAATGTCATCCACATATGCAAGAGCGCTGCCATTTTGTCTTACCGATGTCAATACAACTTCTCTGTCGCGTTTCAAATCAGCAGATGCATGTTTGAGGGCAAGTCCTTGTTGTCTTACAGCTACTAGTACAATGTCTTTGTCATTTTTCATATCATCTGGTGCATGTTCAAGAGCAAATCCAAATTTGGTTGTTGCTTCTAATACTACCTCTCTATCCTTCCTCAATTCATCAGAAACAAATTGCAATGCGGTGCCACAATTTTTAAGGGCTACCAACACAATTTCTCTGTCATTCTTCAAATCATCAGATGCAAAACAAAGTGAATATCCATAGTTTCTGACTGCGTTTAAAACAATATTTCGATCACGCTTGAGATCAGTAGATGCAAATTCAAGCAAAAATCCAAACTCTTGAACAGCCTTGAGCATGGTTTCTTTGTTTGAATAATCAAAGGATTCTAATTCTGGATATATTATTTTGAAAACGGTTAACATGAAATTGTGATCTTTGAGTAAATGTTTTGGTACAATTTTCAACGCGTTTTTGGTTTGTTTGATTGCTTCTAATAGAACTTCTTTGTCGTTTTTCAACTCATATGAAATAAAGTTTAGTACATTTTCATTCAGTCGAATTGCTTCCAATATAAACTCCTTATCATTTCGAAGAATTATTGATGCGCATGCCCATGCCATTTCATTTTCTTTTACGGCTTTCAATATCACTTCTTTATCACTTCGAATACTATGACTAGCAAACACTAATTCATGTTTTCTTTGTAAGACCACTCGCAACACGTCTGACCGTAAATTTGATGATGCGTATTTCAGTCCCTTTCCGTACTTTTTAATGTGATTAAACACAAATTCTTTATCATTCATAAACTCCACTGGGAAGAAATCTGTATATTTCAACTCTCTATTCTCAAGCCATTTCTTCTTTCCCATTTGTTGCCATGCAAATTTCTGTTTCAATAATAATTCCAATCTCCCAGCTGCTCTCTGTCATCATGAAGAAATGAAGAAAAATCAGCAACAATAATCATCTCATTTTCAAGTTTTCCAATCATTGTAGAAGAGAGCTTGTTTCTTTTAGGTGTATCTAGAGGGTCATCATCATCTCTGTCGGCAGCAGCGGTTTGATTTCGTTTGGACATTTTTTCTTCACAAAATTAAAATGACTGCCTGCAAATTTTAGTTAAAAGCGTTGAGTTCACTACTTTCCGTGCAGATTTACAAATTGTATGTATTTATTAATGAATATTTACTATTACCAATACAATAAATTAAACGGCCTAGGTGTCCAATGTGTTGTACAACTTAGGGATAGAGCTCCTCAACTAATTCACATAATACATCTGCATGACAAGGTCTTTCATGCCGTTCACAAAAACAACCAAGAGTTTTGCCTTTAAGTTCAATCAATTCACGTTTCAACTTGGGCTGACTCAAGATATACTCTCTGTACTTTTGTAAGCTTTCAGATTTTGGTAGTTTTTCAAATGGATTGGCCCATTTCGATTCTTGCAATCTCCATCCTCCATGAAAACACTTATTGCCCACATAGACATCACAATTCACAACAGTTTGTCCTTTCTTCTTTCTAATTCTCACAACATTGGTTTTAGTGTTGATCAACTCGGCATTCAAAGGATGTTTGGTTTTTGGCTTCTTTTTCTTGGGCGACAACACTGCTGGAATTAGCCTTCCCGTGTGTTGGCTCTGTACATATAACGTTCCATTGTTGCCATATCCTACAATTTGTGGGCAAAAGAAGTTTTGATGTGGTTGTTGTAATTGATCGAGTGGTTGATGCTCCATCTCACGTTCATGATTTGCAGGTTCGTTTGGTGGAATCTCAAGAGCGTGCTCAGCTTGGTAAGTATCAGGAACAGGGTGCGGAAAAGAGCCTGGATGATCCATTGGCTCGTCATTCCAAACAAGCGGAGATGGTGTTTGGCAATCCTCAATTTCTTCTGTAACAACGTGATGATCTTGATGATTTTCAGCTTTGAATTCCGTTAAATTTCTCTTCCCGAGAAATGTTGCTTGCAAGCTCAACTCTTCTCTGTGTGGCCGGCCAGAAATTGTTGTTGCTTCATGTTGGAGATGATCATCATCATGGAATTTCATTGACGATGGATCCATGATGATGGATGAATTCGCCCGATGATGATGAAGAATTGGGATCTCTTCTCCTTCTTCCACAGCGAGTTGCCTCTTGTTGGTTTTATTCGTTATGGTGGATTCCATCATCCGAAAGTTCCTTCTTCGGTGATGATGTTTGTATTCATGAAGTGGCTCTTTGGTATTTGTTGTGGAGCCATTGTTACTGAAGGCTTTGGTGCTATTGCTCAGACTGGATGAAGTGCTCTCTTCTTCAACCGTCACTAACAAGAACCCAGCTTTTTCTTGATGAGATGAAATCATGATATTTTTTCTTCCAACCACTTCTTACAAACTCTGGAAGTCATTAGAGATGCAAAAAATGAAACCTTCGCTCAAAGTTGAATTCAACAAAAAAAATGATTAAAGAAGAGGACCTTCCCGATTCTGTGGATAACATTGACTACTCGCTTCCACAATATTTCATTGTCAAGAATGATGAGAAGAATCAAAAGATTTATGTTCCAAAGCCTATCATTGAATCGGAATCTGTATTTTCAATTGATTTTCATCCAAAATTGGATTTAATAACAATGGGATTAGTGACTGGAGAATCAAAAATGTAAGTCCCAAATCTCGTATATTCCTGTACCCGTGAATTGGTCTTAGTGAATTATGGTTGTAAATTCATCATCACAATTTTGTTACTCGGAACAAATGGAATTGTACAAATTCACAATTATTTATATCATTATTTAAATTCATCATAGCTACAAATATTCCATAGACATTGAAAATACATGTGTAGCTACATTTAACCATCATTCCGAAGCTTGCCGTAAACTCTTCTTCTCTGATGATGGCAAACTCATGTTCTCATCAGGTTCCGATATGAAACTTGCTGTAACCGATATCAAAAAAGGAGCCCTCAAATATAGCATTAAGGATGCTCATACTTCACCTATAAACACTCTCATTGTGATTGATGATGATCGGATCGCTACAGGAGATGATGAAGGTTGTGTTAGAATTTGGGATATTCGACAACGAAAGGCCATTAAAGCCTACACTGAACATGGTGATTATATCAGTTGTTTTGATTATGCTCCAGAAACTGGATTACTTTATTCAGCCTCTGCCGATGGTTGCATTTCAGTGGTAGATATGAAAAAGAGTAAACCTAGCGGATTAGCAGTTACAGAGGGATTGAATGATGATTTGGTGAGTTTGACCACGATGCAAAGTGGACAGTTATTATATGCAGCAGGAGCGTCTGGAGTGATTTATGAATTTGATACTGATAAATTGTTCCAGCCAAAGAGAAATATCAAATCATTGTCAACGTCGATATCGAGTATGATTCAAGTGAGAGATGGAATGCTGACCTATGCAACGGATGACGGAGTTATTTATTCATTAGATACCAAAAAATCAAAATTGAGTAATCGATTAACAGATCAAACAAATGAGCCAATTATTGACATGAGCATTTCAAGAGATGCCAAATATCTGGCAAGTTGTCGTTGGAAAATGTTCGATTTTACAATGCAATTGGAATGTTTGACATGTCACTGACTGATGTTGTAGATAAAGAAGAAAAGAAACCAGAAATTCAAAAGATGAAAAAGAAAGAGAAGAAAGCAGAAAAATCCATGTTGAATCCTGAAGCAAAAGCCACCATTGACGAAGCAGAGAAAAATGTTAAAAAGAGAAAGAAGGCAGGAGGCGTTCAAAGTGCCACCAAAAAGACCAAAGTTTTGAATCAAGCTCGAAAACAATTTTTACACGATCTACTCGTCGATTATTAAAACGCTTGCATGTCTTTTCGAGTTTTTTGATACATCATCGTTTCATTCTCCAAACATTTTGAATTCAAAAAAATTTTATTTGATTTTGAATTCAAAAAAATGAGTGAACAAGCAAGCCGCAACACCACCAGCTCGGTATCATCATCCACATCGGAAACGACGACAACAGCTCAAAAACCAAAATATACTCCCGGAACCTATGTACCAGTATCTAAAACAGTCTATAAATCTGGTAAAGTTTGGAAACAACAAAAAGATAGATTCTCCGTAAAAAAGACAAGAGCAAAGGAAACCTATGAGGAACAAATGGAAAAGAAGAAGGAGCTTCAAGAAATGAAACAAATTGAACAACAAATTAAAGCAGAAATGGAAGAAGAAAATAAAATTGAAAAACGAAAAATGGAACAGCGACGACAGGCAAGAATTGAAAGAATTATTCGAGAGAACAAGAATAAACCACTTAAACAAGGACGAGGAAAATGCATGGGAAGAAACAAGAGATTGACAGAAAAGGATGTTCATCGAGTCAAAATTTTCCACGAAACTCAAGGATTGTTCTAAAAAGCAAAATGTACATTCGTTTTTATCCATAAGAATTTTTACATACATGCACATCATAGCGTCACCAATGAATAACAGAGACATTGGTAATTTATCTTGGCAACTAGGGTCGTGAAGACAACAACGCCTTAGAAGTGATCAACAAGTGCATGATTTATTTCAATCGACTAATAAATAAATTAAGAAAATACTTCTTCAATAACAAACATATGAAACACAAAAAAAGAGGTTACCTTAATGTTGTTTTCCAAAACCTCCACCTCCAGGTGTTTGAATTAACACATGATCATGAGGCTGAACGTCAAAACTGTTCTTTCCTCCTAAATTGTGGACGAGACCAGATTTTGTAACGAGAATGTTCTTTCCTTTTGCACCATTTTCACCTCCCAACAAACCACTTGGAGAAAAGACTCTTCTTTCAGATAGAATTCCCACACGAAGAGGTTCCAAAAACTCAAATTCTCGATTCACACCATCCCCTCCTCTAAATTTTCCATGTCCTCCCGTATTTGGTCGCAAGCTGAACTGTTTCACAACGAGAGGATATCTTCGCTCTAAAATCTCAACATCAGTAATACGAGTATTTGTCATGTGCGTGTGAACACCGGAACAACCGTTCCAGTATGGTCCAGCACCTGCTCCTCCAGCAATTGTTTCATAGTATCCAAACGTTTGATTTCCAAATGTGAAATTATTCATACAACCTTGACTGCAAGCAGCAGCAGAAAAAGCTTTAAGAATAATATCTGTAATTCTCTGAGAGGTTAAAACATTACCAGCCACGACTCCAACAATTCCATCTTCACCAATATCCAGTAATGAATGTTTTTCAATTTTGATGGTAATAGGTTCAAGACATCCCTGATTGAGAGGAATATCTTGTCTGACGAGACATCTCAAGCTATAGAGAATGGCACTTGTGGTAATTGCTTTTGGTGCATTGATATTACCCAACACCATTTCTGAAGTTCCAGTAAAATCAAATTCTGCCACAGGAAGCTTTCTCAACAAGTCACTTTTGAATTGTTCATGTCGTTGGTTACGAATTGTTAAATTCAACTTGATGACAGAGCCATCATCCATAAAATCTTCGGATAATACACGAATAGATTCCTCATTGGAATTTTGTGCATGATCATCAAATACTTGTTGAAGCATTTCTCGAACAGCGAGTTCAGCATTATCTTGAACATGTTGCATGTAGCTCTGTACGACTTCCAATGAATATTCATTAATTAAATCTTGGAGTAGAGAAATACCTTTCGTATTGGCAGCGATTTGAGCTTTGAGATCGGCAATGTTATCTTTAATACATCTGGCTCCAGATTTTTGTAATTGCTGTGTAATTCGTTCTTCTTGGAAGACGCCGTCTTCAACAATCTTAAGAGAAATAATGGCCATTCCTTCCTCTGAGAGAAGTCTACTGAAGGGTGGCATGGAACCTGGTGCAAGACAGGATGATATGGTTGACAATATTTAAATGATTAATAAAATTGTATGAGAGAATGAGAGTGAAATACTTACCTGGACTAATACTTCCAATATCAGCATGATGACCTCTATTTGCAACATAGAAAACAACTCTTCCATTCGAATACACTGGTGTAATGACTGTAATATCAGGCAAATGTGTACCACCAGCACATGGATGATTGGCAATGATTACTTCTCCTTCTTTCCACGAGTCGCCAAGATGTTTGATTTGGAATTTTACAGCCTCGCTCATGGATCCAAGATGAACAGGCAAGTGAGGAGCATTGGCAATTAAGTCACCACCAGGAGAAAATAAGGCGCATGAAAAATCCAATCGTTCCTTAATGTTTGTAGAAATGGAGTTCTTTGAAGGGATCGACCCATTTGTTCTGCAATGCTCATAAATCGGTGATTAAAAATACTTAATCTCACAGCGTCAACTTTAACCATTTCACTGAAATCGACTTGTTGAATTCGTACCTCAGAGAGAGTTATTTCAACATCTCCATATTTGGTAATGGAGGCTGTTCCGTTAGGTTCCACTAGAATGGTCGTTGTTTCATGAATAATGATGGCAGGTCCTTGAATTTCATCTCCTGCACCCAAATTTTCCAAGTTATATACGGCTGTTTCAGTCCATCCTTCTTCAAAATACGTTTTTGTAAATGTCATGGGTTGAGGTTTTTGTGTGGATTGTGGAATTTCAATTTTGCTGATGGAAGGTGTTGATCCAATTCCAACCACTCGAATATCATCGACAATGACAGATCGACCAGCAATAATAAATCCATATTCTCTCTTGTAGGCCTTTTCAAACTCTGCTAGATAATCCCCATCTAATCCATCATGTTCCTTTTTTAACTTTTCTGGAACGGTTGTCATGATGGAGTAGTCCGTACCTTTATATTTCATATTGAGATAGTAGGTAGTCTTGATGTTAGAATCATCAAAACCAGAACGTTTCAAATCATCAACAACTTTGATTCTGAGATCTTCCAAACGTTTTGTAAAATAGGAAAAGTTTTCTGTTTCATATGCTTTTGCACATGGCTCTTGTTCATCAAAAACAACATCTGCAAGTCCAAGGCCATAAGCACTCTACGGAATTTCAGAAATAATTCTTGTAGTTAAACAAACCCAAAATGTCCATGCATCGTTTTAAACTTACCAAAATACCAGACTGTCTTGGAATAAATACCTTTTTCATTCCCAAATTACGAGCAATGGCTTGACAATGTTGAGCACCTGCACCACCAAACGAGCAAAGAATATGCTCGCGTGTATCGTAACCTTTCGCAACTGTAATGGATCGAATGGGACGAGACATGGACTCATTGGCAACTTGAATGAATCCATAGGCCACTTCTTCAGGACTTTTTAATTGAGCCTTATCTCCATTTCTTTTGAGCTCAAATTCATTCACTTCATTGGTCAGTTCTTCAAAAGCTCTCTTAGTGACTTTTGTATGTGAGTGAAAAATTAATATTAAGGGATTTGTTATCCATGTGAATAAATCCATGGAATTATACAAACTGTCAAATCTTACCTTCATAATCGAGAGGTTCATTCTCTTGAGGACCAAAAATTTTAGGGAAAAACTCAGGCATTAATCTTCCCAAGAATAAATTAGCATCGGTAATGGCGAGACGTTTTTGAGGAAGTAGTGTTTGCTTTCGATAGCATACAGGTCCTGGATTTGCACCCACAGATTCTGGACCCACTTGAAACACTCCACTTCTATGAGTGCAGGATGTGTCAACAAGATTCACGTAAATAATAATACATACTTTGTGAAAAACAATCTACTACCTCCACCAGCAGCCACTGTTGTAATATCTAATTGAGGTGCTTGAATAGTAACACCTGCTGTCTCTGTCTCAAAAACGTGATCAAAAGTTCCTCCAAATCTACTAACGTCTGTGCTTGTACCTCCAATATCAATGCCAATACTGGAATACCATCTTCAGCATTGTAGGACGTTTGAGCATAACCTACTACACCACCTGCAGGGCCACTCAAAATGGAGTTACAACCTTTGAAATTAGCAGCTGGAGTTAGCCCTCCATTGGATTGCATAAATGTGACACGTTTCAACAGCTTTCGTAAAAGTTAAAAAAACCACTGTTTGGTTGTTAGAACAACCAACTTACCTTGTCATAATCAGAAAATCCTGCACAAAACTTTTTGACATATTCCTTAATGATTGGGCTCAAATATGCATCCACACACGCAGTTTGTCCTCTGGGAACAGCCCGTATCATCGGCATGACTTGGTGTGACAATGAAATGTATTCAATTCCAGCCTCCTTTGCAAGAGAAGCAATTTCCAGTTCGTGTTCAGGATATGTATACGAATGCAACAGCACAACAGAAATACTATTAAATCCGCATTGATGGAGCTCCTTGCATGCATTTAACACAAATTCCTTGTCAACGTTTTTCTAATATAGATCTCCTCTCCTGAAATACCACGTTTTAACCTTTGTGATTTCCATTCCTCTACAGAAATGTTGGATCCATCATCTTCAGGAGTTTGGAATTTTTTGAAGGAACCATAGACCTGCTCTGTAAGGCAAACTCTCTCGTCAACTTCAATAATTCTGTCATAGAGAAGCTCTGGTTTTTGGATGACTAAATCGAATATTTTAGGTCTTGATTGATTTCCAATTTTCAACAAGTCACGAAATCCTTTGGTTGTAATGAGAGCACATTTTGAACCTTTTCTTTCCAACAAGGCATTCGTTGCAACCGTAGTACCCATTCTAATATACTCAATCTTGTCAATATCAATTTCTTTGGCATCTTTCATATTTAATCCAAGCACCTTATTCATTATTCTTTTAATTCCTAAATTTGTTATCATTTTCGCAAATATTGTTTGAATAATGTGATCAATAATTATTGAAATTCATCATACCTTCTCTTGGAGCATCATCATAATGTTGAGGATCCTCGCTCAACAATTTCATTACAAAAAAGGGTTGAAAATTATGATGTGGTGTTCTTGGTACCTCTAACATGAATCATCATGATTGAAAATTGTTGAACGAAAATATTTCCATCCAATCCATGATGTTGTTGATCGGATTACAACAATTATGAAAACGACCCTACCTGCATAAATATCAGTAAAAGTTCCACCTCGATCAATCGAGAAACGAAACAACTCTTCCGATGATGATGATGATACTGAAGACATTTTTTAACTTTGATTGCGTGAGGAATAAATCTTTGCAAAATTAATTCATTTCTATGCAGGCGGACAATATTCTCGACAGTGAAAGAATCAGTTTTTCTTTTCAATGAATGAACAAACGAAAACATTACTGTTGACTCCATTGTTAAGGTTAGCAAAGTACCCACCTCAAGAGGATTATTATTATTTCTGATACGAAAATTACAAAAAAATTCAAACAACAATAACACCATCATCATGCCAGCCTCTAACGGAAAGAAAATTGATATGCACGTCCATTATTTACCTTCCTACCTACCTGATTGGAAGGAAGAGTTCGGATATGGAGGATTTGTTACTTTGGAACATGATCCGGTGAATAAAGGAAAAGCAAACATGATGAAAGATGGACAATTCTTTAGAGCCGTTGAACAAAATTGTTGGGATATGGAAGCTCGGTTGGAGGATATGAAGAAGACCGGAGTTACTGCGCAAGTATTGAGTACTGTGCCTGTGATGTTTAATTATTGGGCAAAACCAAATGATGCTTTAAAAACATCTATTTATCTGAATGATGATATTGCCAATGTGTGTAACAAGTATGAGGATTACTTTTTAGGATTGGGTACAATTCCAATGCAAGCTCCAGAGTTAGCTTGTAAAGAAATTAGACGATGTATGGAAGAATTACACTTGTCAGGAGTAAGTAATCTTCAAGTGGTTCATTCAAATTGTGATGATTATGATAATAATATAATTGTATATGATGAATTGTGACGATCTATTATTGCTATTATTCTTGTCACTTTTATTATTGATATCACGCAACAACATACAATAATATTTGACCATTTCATGATGTGACAAAATTATTGACATTTATAGATTCAAATTGGATCTCATATCAATAACTATTGTTTGGATGATCCTTCCCTGTTCCCTATTTTTGAAACAGCAGCTGAATTAAACTGTCCCATCATGATTCATCCATGGCAAATGATTGGTTCAGAGTTGATGAAGAAATATTGGTTACCATGGCTTGTAGGTATGCCAGCCGAAACTACTCTTGCATTGTGCAGTTTAATATTTGGAGGTGTTTTAGAGAGACTTCCAAACTTGAAGATTTGTTTCAGTCACGGTGCTGGAGCCTTCCCTTACACTGTGGGACGAATTGAACACGGCTTTAATGTGAGACCAGACTTATGTCAAGTCGATTGTAAGGTAAATCCAAGAGAATTCTTGGGAAGAATATGGGCAGATACAATTACACACGATCAAGATGCTCTTAATTTACTTGTTAAAGTTTTTGGAGACAATAGAGTGATGTTAGGAAGTGACTATCCTTTCCCTCTTGGTGAACATCACCCAGGAAAGCTTGTGGAAGAATCAACAACACTCTCGGAAGAACAAAAAGACAAGTTATTGTACTACAATGTCAAAGAATTTTTGGATATTCCAAAAGACAGGTTTTAAGTGACTTGTTGCATACCTACCAATTTTCACAATCGATAACCTAATTTATTATTGCTCAATAAATGAGACACAACAACTTACAAAATAATAACAAACAACTAAGCATTTATTACGCATGACATTGAGCTGACCTGTCTGGTTTTTCATCTTTTTCCTTAACATTCTTTTTACTTTTTTCGTTTTTGTTGTTCAAAGCTGCTAGCGCCCGATGCTTCATTCGCTCGCTTTTGGGCTGGATTTTTTTGTTTCATTTGTTCTTGTTTGACAAGGCGTTCTCCTAAATATTTTGCTTGGAAAAATGTCCTGAAGTGAGGACTGTCCTTATTATTCTTCAATGTTTGAGGAGTTAATGGAAGAGAAAATCTATGTTGGTTCTCTGAAATAAACTTGTTCACAAGGTCGTCATCGTAAAAAAACGATTCAGATGCATGTTGCGGATGTTGATTGAACCACTCAATCAGAGCATTCTTATGCTCTTTTAGGAATCTTTTTCGTTTTGATGTTGCGTGGTCGTTCGTAGTTGAAGTTGGATTTTTCTCTGGCTTGGGCGTCGTGGTGCTTGTCATTGATGGCGAAGCTAAAGTTTGTACTGTGTTTGGTGAGGTAGATGCTTTTCTTGTGGCAGTATTGGAGGTGGTTGGCGGAGTAGAAACGAGACGTGTTGCTGCTGGTTTAACTTCGCTCTTGACTGGTGTGACGACAGTAGTGGCAGCTTGATTTGATGTTACTGGCTTGAAGAGTTTCGAAGGTTCTGTTTTCACATGATTCGAAATTATTGTTGTGGAAGAAGTGGAAGGTGTTTGGACTGATGGTGTTTTTTGAGTAGTTTGCTGTTGTTGTTGTTGCAGACTCAATTTGAAAAGTTTCATTCCCTGAGCAATATATTGATCAATGGCAATGACGACTGTTGAAATATCTTTCGTTCGTGTTTCAAGATGATTACGAGCAACTGCATGAAACTTCATGTCGAATTGTTGAATTAAGGCAGTGACTCCTGATTTTACAGATGTTTCACAAATATATTTCGCCAAAGTATAAAGTTGAGATAATCGCTGTAACGAAGTACTTGATGAAGCAGCTTCCTGCCACACATCAAAAACAACAGGAGCCAGTGAAGGATGTTTCTTTGCTTGTAAAACCAAATATTTAGCCACTTTTGGAATCAAAATTCATTTTAAATATTTTCACAACAATTAACAAATTTCAGAAGTCTTCACTACTTACACATTTCATCTATGCAATCCGTTTGGATTTTGTACGAAAATGTATTCTGTGAGTTTGTTCCAGAGAAGGGATTTGAAATGGGTCCGATGCTGATGTTGTGTTTCGTGATGATGAATGCAAGTGTTGAGGTATCGTTATTAAAGGTTTTTGTTCCAAAACCGAGGTTGCGGAAGGCTTGTGGGACGATGCCGTTACGAACATGATGTGCAATTAGTAAATTTATTTTTTTTTGAAGAATTTTTTGCGCCAAATTGAAGGTTTAGTGTTGGCAGGAACCTAAAGTCAAAATATTTTGCAAGAAACAAAAGTACAGCGAACAACAACCTTTCAAAAAACCGAATTAAATAAAAAACATGGACCTCAATAGAAAACATGAAAATTGTTAACAACGCTTCTCCTTTCAACACAAGAAATTAAACCAAACAAACTTCAATGATTTATCATGTCCGTGTCTTTAAAGTCTCAACAGCACCAAAATAAGCGAACATTAATCCCCAGCACATGTTATGAACCAAATTAATTACCGATAATGCTATATTTTTTGAAATGGATGAGCAGGTCGTGTGACTCTTTGGATCAACAAATGAAAAAGTTCATGGAAGACAAACAAAGAGAAGAACAGGAAGCCATCATGAAAAACTTCAGAACATGACCGAAATGCCAAGATGAGGGAGTATAATGCCACAAAAGAAGCATTGTCAATAGATGGAAAACACTCACATCTGCTTTGAATATAAACATTGAAGAGGCGTCCTGTAATGCGTCCCATGTCTAAGGACATTTCACAATAGACACCATTTTGCTTTTTGAGGCTGAATTTTAATCAGGAGACAACTTTGAACATGGTTCATGCTATCGTGTTCCAAGTCCCTTTCAAAGTTCAGCCCAAAAAAAAATACTACCAGAGAACGACAGGCTTGGCTCCTCAATAAGAAATTCAAACATCGATCTTCCATCACACACAAATCAGATCATGAGCCAGTCTTCCGCTCCCTCTTTAGACGATGCCGCTTCATCACACCAAATTATATTTTCCATCAATTCTGTTGATAAGGATGTAACAAATCAAGCAAACCCAATACCACCATCCTCCTCCTCCTCCGAGAATGATCCCAGTTCAAAAGATCAAGTGATAAGCAGACCATCCCCTTCCACGAACATCACTTCAACAGCATTGCAAACACTTCCGACGAGCAATGCTCTCTCTGGATTTTCCGTCAAGTATACATGGAGAAATATTCCTATGGAAGTACTTGTTGAAATTTTTAAATATTTAGATCAAAACACATTAAGTTCTTCATCGTTGGTGAGTCGAGAGTGGTACCATTCTTCGAAACATGATTTGTTGTGGTATGATAATTGTGTGGAATTATTTAAGAAAATTTACTCCGAGCAAATTGATTGTAAGTGACAATGAAATTATATGAAAATTCGATGAATGACATCATGTGTGTCATGGTTGTTGTACAAATTAGACTATGTGAGTGAGAGACAACGAATTGGATATGTAAGTTTAATTTGAAAAATAATTTCTGTATGAGATAGATTGTGGCATAACATAACAGATGAAAACATATGGAACACCAATTCCTCCTCCACCTAAGAAACCTCTTGTTGAAGATTATGTGACATTCGATAATGACAATAAGATTATTAGTATTGGTACTTTGAGAAATTTACACATCAAACACGGAAAAAAACAGTACAAAGAACGAAAGCGAATTGCTAAAGAAAAAAGAATCAGACAGATGTAAGTATGGTGACAATGAGCTTGTCAATTGACATTTTTCAACACAATTTTGTTACCTTAGAAAAGAGAAATATCACAACAAGTTAAGAAATCACACAAAACCTTTTATCATCACCAGCACTTCCTTGCTGTATGCTGGATTTTTACTATTTTTCATCATGACCGGTATTACTGATGCAGTAGATCCACCAATATTTAATGCCATTGGTGTACGGTGGCAAATATTTTCTTTCATTCCGTTATGGTTCACTTTCGCTGTCGCTTTTTTAATAACGACCTATTTCACCTGTCTGGATTGTTTAAGGGAATTTCGTGAAGGATTTTGGTTAATAGCAGTTTTGATGAAAGGATTAATTGCTTCTTTTTTAATTGTTGCAGTATTGACATTTATTAACTTGCTGTTGCCGTTCACTGAAAAAACTCTCCCCAATGGAATGGTGACACGAACCTATGTCATATCATGGTTCTACGTTTTAATTATACCCTATTTGTACTTTTTAGTAGTAATTTTTGCTGTCCCTATTGGTAGTTGCATTTTCGCTACTCGAATCTTTAAAGATGATAGACCAAAATTTCCACTCTATTTGTGGTATATTACTGGAGTGAATTTTTTGGCGTTTCTTCTTGAATCATTTGTGGTCATGTTAGGATTTGGTTTAGAGTTTGCAGAAAGTGGTTTTTATCTCATGTATGCAGCAATTCCATTTGAATTATTTTTCATCATTGGATTTTTCACTTTCATGCATTACATGATTAAGAAAATTAGAGAAAGCACTGGAGTTTCATTTATAGGAACAGATGCAGAAATATTGTTATGGTTCATGATATTTTCTGGTCTCTTATTTGTCAATGTAGCGGTGGTGTCATTTTCTCCATTCCTTGGTCATTATACTTGGTTTTCATCTTTACCTCCTCTCACTTGTGCCTTTGCCTTTACCATTCGAACTGTAAGAAAATAATTTTTTGATCGTGTGGAATATCCAAGACAGAAATCATGTTCTTCACAGGTGGGCATGTCTATTTACAAGTACTCCTCCGATATCTGAACAAGAGATCATTCAAAGGTCGATCACAAGATATCGATTTTCATTAATTGAGTATTTATTGATGACCACTTCCACCATAGGCAACCCCAGCTACTCGATCCTTAATTCTTGAATGTTCAACTTTCTGGGGTGGAATATTTGTGAACATGTGTCTCTGTCCTCCCTGTTTGTGCCTGAAAATAATGGTGTAGTCTCCTTGGTGATTGAGATGATAATTTTCAACATTGTAATTGTCATCCTTAACCATTGCATCAAACTCTTCGTCTCGAGATCCCAGGTGAGATTCTTTTCCGCCCTCCATTGTGTAACTTGGTTGATTTACATTCTTCATGTGGATGCTTGGATCCACGTCGGAACCTCCTCGTTGCATTCTTGTTTGAACAAAATATATGGATGTGAAAAAAAGAATTTTTGTTTCGAAAGATGAATCAAAACAAACTCTATGTGAAATCAGCTGGGTAGGAATGAAATCAAGAATTAACTTAATTGTTGTTGCAACTAAAATTGTGAATTTTCCTTTTTGAAAGAATAAGGCGTTCTTCCTCAATTTCAAAACTCTGAGAGTTCCCAACGAATTCCACTGCTCTCATTTTCAAAGTTGAACCGGCGTGTTCTGTCACCACAATTTCAAATAAAACATGCCACTCATGAACACCCACATCACCTCATCATCTCACATCTCTATGCAAACGGGTCTGCTCTTTTCCAATGCTTCCACCATCTGCGTTTCAGAAGAGAAATACTACAATGAACTTGAGAACAGGTCCGAATTGAATTCAAACAACCGCGATCATTCTCAACATGAAGAATATTTAACGATCTGCAAGGTACCTCCCATCGGAAATGATCATTCCAATGACGTAATTTCATCATGGCGTTCCCAAAACACCAAAGAGATCATTCCGAAGAGAAACGCTTCAGCCATCCTCCCACATGAAGATGATCCGTTCGCTGCAGATCTGTTGGCAGAGGTTGAGGAGGAGAGTGGTGTTTTTTTCGATGCTATTTCCAAACAATTTAAAAAGAAGAAGACCACGAAAAAGAATGCCTCCACAAGTTCCAATAAGAAGCAGCTAGCTGTTGTCATGGAGATGAATGGTCTGGGGATGCGTTTGGAGAACTCGGCAAGTGGTGCTGCTCCCGTCTCGATTAAGCACGTAGCTTTGGGATATAATCATATTGTTCTCATGACGGATGGTAATACAGAAATTCCAAATAATTCATTAGATTTTCATCCTCCAATGATGAAGAAGGACCAACGTCCATCATCTCCATTTTCTTTTAGGCTTTTTGGCCTCGGAAGCAATGTGGACGGCCAACTTTCATTTGAGAAAATCAATCAAAGTATTTACCCTGGAAAAGAAATGGAATCAGTCTATAAGGCTTTCCAACAAGATCATGATGAGGAGGTGAAGAAAGAAAAAAAGAATTGCACAAAATCTTCCACTCGCCCTAGTTATCTTTCAACTCTGAACATTTCGGATATTGGATGCACTCATTCATTTACCTTATTTCTAACTTCAGAAGGAAAAGTATTTTCAGCTGGAAAGGATCAAATGGATAACAGAAGACAAAACTATGAAGTATTGAGATTAAGCGGCACAGAACATGTTCGAGTTGAAAAGATGTCGTGCTCTCATTATCACGTTCTATTCCTTGGTACTTGTATCCACTCTGGAAAACGAGTAGTCATGGGATTTGGAAGTTCAAAAGCACATCAATTAGCACAATCTGGAGAATATTTGAGAACTGCATCGGAAATTCATGTTCTAAGCTCCACTACCGATGAAGTGGTAGACGTTCGAGCTGGTACCCAGTTTTCCTTTTTTCTCACCAAGAAAGGGTTTTTATATTCGTGTGGCAAAAATTCCCATCAACAACAAGGAAAACCAAAATCATATGTATATATTATGGATATTATGAAAATTACGACGAAGGAATTTAATTACAATGCTTTCAAGATTAGCTCGATATGTTGTGGCACCAATTTTTCTTGCATTGTCACACAAAATGGAAAGGCCTTTACCACCATCAAGCCGGCACATACATCAGTTGGAGAAAATAAGGAGCACGGGTTCTTTGAGGTAGAATATTTCACAACGAATAACATTCACATTAAGAAGGCCTTTGCCACAATGATGGGCCTAATTTTCCAAACCTCCAATGACACCTTGTTCTTTGCCGAGGTGAAAGAAGTTGTCAACAATTCGTCATCATTTGTAAAGGCATTGTCTATGGGACGGCCAAAGCTGATATTATTCGACAAGTACAACGTTTCCAAAAAGAAGATATTTTGCTCCCCTGATTCCGATAATTTCTTAATTATGAATCTCAGGTCCACCCATATGGAAGACTTTGTTTCAAACCTCAAATCTTCGACGTCCTTCTTTTCAGATTTGTCCTTCTCATGGTGAAGGTTGCAAAATTTTATGGATTTCTGTAAATTCAATTTTGACTTCAAGTTCATGTTCCTAATTTTAAAAATAACATAAAAAAATAGCTCAAAATCGAGACCGATCAGATTACAAATAACATTAGAAATACCATAATCATGAGATCATCTTGGAACGCTGTCGGAAAAGAATCCGTCTTGTTATCGGAACACATTTTCAATTCCGATCAAGGGAAACAATTCATTCTCCAGGTCCGTAAAGGAGATTTAACCATGGAGAAGGTTGATGCTATTGTCAATGCTGCCAACTGCCGTCTTCAACACATTTCAGGCCTTGCCGGAGCCATTGTCAAGAACGGAGGTAAATCCATTCAAATTGAATCAAACAATATCATCAAACAGTTAGGAAGAGAATTAGAGAATGGAGAAGTGGTTGAAACCTCGAACGGTGATTTACCTTGTAAAATAGTTTTCCATGCTGTGGGCCCAATTTGGTCAAGTTTTAAGAGCAAATCAACTCCTGTCGGAACTGAACAAGAAGATTTTGAATTGAGCATGTGTGTGGAAGCTTGCTTGACCAAAGCACTTGAAAAGGGATTGAACTCGTTAAGTATTCCTGCAATTTCGAGTGGAATTTTTGGATATCCAAAAGATCGATGTGCCAAAGTGTTGTTTAACACAGTAGAACAATTCTTTAAGGATTATAAGGATAAAATTCCAGTAGACCGAATGGAAGTGAGATTTACAAATTTTGATGATGAAACTTGTAATATTTTCTCGAACGAATTTAAGCGCAGATATTGAGTAACGGAGTGTTGTGACAAGACTTGAAAATTAAACGTCGTGCATTTCATACAGTGTGGTGTATCTATTTTCCACTTTCTTTGATTGACCACAAAAGGAAGTACAAGAGATGTTGAACGATTCCGAGGATTTATTCTTTTACGGTCATCTACCCTCTTATTTCATCATCCTTATCAACTCGGGCCGAGCCTGTTGGATGCCTCAATAAAAACAGTTTTAAAAAGAGACGTACGTTTTGCCAACATCTGTGTTCAAACGCCAACAATTTGAATTATCTTCCGTCCTGTTATCTAACAGGAATAATCCATTCTTGCTCAAACACTTTCGCAACCAAGTGTACACTCGAATCATTTGCTGGATTGATACACCTTTCACCTACCAGACTCACTTGACAGCCATGTCGCTCACTGCAAAACTGTTCTCAACGTGTGTCCGTGGTTTTAATCTTCTTTGGAGGAGGTTTTGTTGCTGGTATTCCTGGTGGATTACTTGTCATGGAGACAGATTGAATCATACCTCCACCTCCAATCTTTCTTTTAACGGAAGGGTTGGCAGCAGACACTGGCTTAATATTTGTTGGAGCATTCAGGCTGACAGTTGGCAAAGGAGTAGAACTAGACACAGACATATTTGTGGTGGGAGGAAGAATGGAAGAAGCCATTGGCTGTTGTTGCTGTTGTGGTGGTCTCTTTTTGCGCACTGTTATTGATTGAATTTGTATGCATATAGCACGTTTGACAAAGCAAGTAGATTGCCAAATAAGGTGTTAGTTATCGATAAGGATGTTCGTTGATCAATCTCAATAATACTTACATTGACGCTGTTTTTCTAGCAATTTGAGTAATTCATGCTCACTATTATTTGGACAGTAGTAAAGAGGAGAACTGGGATTTGACCCGTTGGAGAGGTTCGTTGAGGAGTGGACTGTGTGAAGAGCGTTGGTAGAGCCATTGGTTGTTGTTGTTCCAACGACATTGCTTTGTGGAGGAGACATGTTGTTATTTCCAATAACGCCACCACCTTTACCATTGGTTGGTGTTTGTGGTTGTGTTATCAGTGTTGTTGTTGCTGTTGTTGACGAGAGTGGGTTCGTACCGTTCTGATGATTGACACTTCCATTATTATTATTGTGGAGGGTCGTATTGCTGGCCGTGGGAGCATTGGTTGTTGTTTGCAACACAGGAGGTTGCTGTTGTAGTGAGGTGGAGGAGGATTCTACCACTATTCCTCCTCTATCACTCCCAGTACTCATCACTCCTGGAGAGGAGCTCTTATGGGAGGATGTCGGTGAGAAGGATCCGTTCTGCCGAGTTGCAAATAACAACTTGTCGTCCCGCTTGAGCAGGTCGAGGGCGTTCTTAAAGAAGTCCATCACTGGATGGTGCAAGTATGTTTTTGGGAGGATGGAACTTGAGTTTGCAATACAATAGGTTCAATCAATGTGGTGGGTAGTGAATGAATGAAACACACACGCTCTCGGAGAAGCAGCAGTTGGAAATGGTAGAAAGACCAGAGATGGGAGCAATGTGGCGCTTTACAAGCAAGCCTGGTGATGGCTTTTTTTTACGATCTATGGACGATGCTGAAGTTTGAAACCAAGCTGTGTGTGGTCAGCGACTTGCGCGCTCGCTGAGGAAGAAGACTCACAAACAAAACAAGAGAATGTTTTGAGGAGGAGGAGAGCAAAGAGTGTTCAGACAGACTGGCTGTGTTTGCTTTCGGGGCTGAACGGTGTCTTGGATGGCTGCAATGATGAGCAGAACGGGAGCTGCAGCAGGATTATCAATGATCGTTGTTCGTTTGCACTGTACCGAAGTGGCAATGTGTTTCTGAAAGGAACAGAATATGAATCCTCTCTTCTCTTCAATGAAAGTTTGTACAACAACTCTCAAGAACAAATACACTACACTGTATTATGAACAGTTGGCCAATGAAGAAAAAAGCTCTTGCTCCTGATGGAGGGTGTTTGCGGTATGGCTTCAACGCTTGTGGATTCAAGCGATAGGGTATGATTGGTTTTTTTTGGATTGGTCCTTTGCTGCTTCATTGATTGTGCTCTCTTGTTGGGCAAGTCTTTAGACAAGAAAACAACTTTTGTTTGAAGAGGAGTGCTTTTGTCATTGAAATAAATTGATATCAAGCGAGCGCAGCAGGAACTGTGAGTGATGAATTTAACACCATGTTTTAAACAGCATCAATTCTGGCCATACACAATTGTGTTCCATTCAAAAAGAGGTCACGAGGTGACGTTGCTCGACAACACATCGCTGCGTGATTAAAAATCAATCTCACTTCAAGTTGTGAATTTTCATCGAAAACTCCCATGACTGCGAATGTTCGACCACTGGTCGTGTTTTGTAAACAGTTCCAAATCACCTTGTTGCAGCATTACATCTTTGGCCAAATTCTCAAAAAGATGTCAACTATTCAATTTCCAAACTTTCCCAATCCATAGAATGCCAATAAAAATCTTCCACAGGTGTTCCTTGTTCATAATCTCTCTTGTGGTCCACAATTAATTGTGTGTTGATAAGTCTTATTGTTTCTTATTGTTCAGTGTTGTTGGATGATCAAAAAGAAATCAAAAATTGCCTTCACTTTTCAACCATCATCAATTCGATCCATTGATTTTAACTCATCACACAAAAAAATATTGTAAATCACTTGCACCCGGAGAAGAAGAATTTTTTTCAAATCTTTATCCGTTCTCACGCTGACTGATCATCATTATCATCATCAAATTTACAATTAAATCCATAGATTCCATTCATCATGCCAGCTTACCATAGTTCATTCAAGGATACCAAAACTGAAGTTGTTTGCGGTACAGCCTTTCTTCCTCTCAAGACCAAAGTCAAGGGACCAGCACCAAAGGAACTCGATGATAAGAAGGAAGATATTATTGATGAAGTTTTGAAGTATTTCAAGGCAAACATGTTGTTTAGAACATTCCAAGTGGAGAGTCCTGCTGATCGTACTCTCATCTATCTCACATTGTACACACACTACCTTTTGAAAAACATTGAAAACAAAAAGACAACAAAGAAGGTGGATGCCGATAAACTCTTCTTCCAATTGTGTGAAACAGACCTTCCAGGTCCTGGAGACTCATCCTTCGAACTTACTGCTTTCTATGAAAAGCCAAGAGACAACGAAGATAAGAAGAAGTGGCAAGCTTACATGAGACAAGCAAAGGAAGAATTAGGTTTGCGTTTGGCTGCTTTATTGTTCACAGATAATGCAGGTCCTGATAAGTATTGGATGCAATTTAGCAAACGTAGATTCCTCGGAAAGACCTTTATCAACTAAATATTATCATGAGCTGACACTCAAGAGAATCATTTCTAGTACTGTCTATGATTTGTGTACGAAATTTACATGATAGATGTCCGTGTGATGGCATCACAAACAAGTCAATTTTGGATTATTTCGAATGGCTTGTTTCCAAGAAATTGTAGACAGTACTTGTACTTAACCTCCCAGTAAAACATAATTTATTATTATTTACCAGCTGTGATATATTGCTGGAATCTTGTCACACTTGACACTTGTCGTGTTCACAATGAATTCAGATCTGTTACCAAGTCGGTTGTTTACAACGAGAGGAACAACACATTTCACAAGTCCAAGAAATGTTTGAGGGTTTTTACTTTTTAACTTTCTTCTTTGATGGTTCTGTGGTTGTTGATGGCGCACCGTTTGAGGTAGCATCACCATTCTCACCATTAGCTGAAGAATCAGAGCCTGCTTTGTACTTTCTCTTTCCGTGTAAAAACTTGTTCAATTGTTCCATCATGTCAACCTTCTTTTCAGTTTCCTCTGCAACACCTTTGCGCATTGCCTTGTATCGTTTTGTACCAATAGTGCTGATATCTTGTTGTTTGACGTGAATCTTTGCTTGAACATTGCCCAATTCATCTCTGAACACATTCTTCAGACGGTCCTTACTCTTCTTCAAAACATCAGGAACCTTCATTGCGTTCTTTTTCATGTCATCTGAAGCCCATCTCTTTCTTCGGATTTGGAGCTTCATTGAGGGACCAATATCAACCAATTCGACATGAGGCGTCTTTTGTCCACTCTTTTCAAAATTAATCTTGTAATGATTAAAGGCCAAAGTATTGTTATCGAGGCTGGTAATAGAAATCACATGATCTAGACCTAATAGATTCACTTCAGGTGTATCTTCCATTCTGAAAAAGTCAATAAACAATGACCTTATGGATTCAAATTCTGGATTGTTTTTAAATTCATCTCCTTTAAAGATAATACATGGTTTACTTCCGAATACGTTTAAAAGACTTGCTTTTGATTCCATTTGCTTTAAATCACTCACTCCGAACTCAACCATATCTAATATCTGATGATCAAAACATCGTCCCATAATAATATTATTTGGTCTCTTCTTTGTATGAGAACCAATTAAAAACAATGATGTATCTTCACTTTTAACGTATTTCTCTAAAGGTTGTACTTCTTCAAAAGGCAACAAATCATGCAATTGTTGAGTAAAATTGGTGGAGAAGGGAGAACGTAACCGATGCAAATCCTGAAGGAGAGTCTTTAATTCTTTATTGACTTTCCGACCCGATAGAATGAGAGATTTCTTTGGATCCTCTATGACTTTAGGTTTACGTTCTTCCAATAATTTAGTTGCCTTTCTCTTTGCCTTTTTACGAATCATGATGATGATGTGAAGTGTGTGATGATAATTTTTTAAGTTTTTTTTCAAATTTTTGTTTGAACACAACCTGCACGTTCAAAGTACAGAATGTGCGTTTGATGAGCGAAATTATCTTTCTTGAAGATTTGGACCAAACATGAAATTTTACTCAGAAAATGACCTACATGGTTCCATGTCCGCCACAATACTTGCTAATCGTGTCTTTTTAATGAATAGTGAACGTCAATATTGTGTTCAATGAGCTTCAAAACTTATTTACTTTAGTTTCAGTTCCTTAAATATACTTCTTCTGCAGTTTTAATGCCCCTCAGCAAGACAATTTAACAACGAATAATTCACATGCTTCAATCTCAACAGATATCTTGTATTTCTTCGCTTGCTTATCGCACTAATTCAGGAGCTCCTGGTTTGCTTTCAAAATTGTGCTGCGTGCGCATATTCAACAGAGCCAATGACAAATTTGATCTCTAATTTGATTTTCAAAACCAAACTCAAACACTTACAAAAAAAATTAATTCAAATCATCACAAAATGACCAGTAATGCCATTCGACAAGCGCTATGTGTAGGCGGAACAGCAGGTATTGGTAAAGGAATGGCCATGAAATTCGCTCAAGAAAAGATCAACGTGGTCATTATGGGTCGAAACGAACAGTCGGAAAGGAAATTGTTTCCGAAATGCAACAAGTAAATCCTGATGGCAAGTATGAAATGGTGGTCTGTGATGCCTCCTCCATGCGAGAAATTGTGAAAGTTTGTGAAGAATTTAAACAAAAACACACTCGACTTGATTATTGTGTATTATCTCAAGGAATTGCAACCACAGAAGGACGTCATGAAACACCAGAAGGAATTGATAAAAAGTTGGCTCTTCATTACTATGGAAGAGTCATGTTTATCAAACAATTGAATGACTTGCTTCGAGAAACCTCAAAACAAAATGATGTAAGAGTATTGAGTGTGTTGAGTGGTGGTGTGCATCGTCCATACACAAATTTGATGATTTGGAATTGAAACAAAATTATTCCTTGATCAATGCAGCAAACGCTGCTGGTTTTTATAATGATTTGGCGATGGATCAATTGTCCAGAGAGCCAGGAAATGAAAATATTTCCTTTATTCATGCTGCACCAGGTAAGTACATTCAACATTGACAATGTCCTTAAAGCATATTGATGAATTGTAATGGAATGAAAATTGTGTAATTATATTCATGTCATGAATGATATGGTTAGGCTTTGTTGCAACGAATTGGGGTACTGAATTGCCAACATTACTTCGATGGGGCACTCGCTTTGCTCAATTATTTGCAACCTCTCCAGAGACTTGTGCTGAAAACATGATGAAGGGATTAACGAGCGAGGAGATGAGAAGAGGATTCACTTGATGAGTCCAAAAGGAGAAGAAGCAAAGAGGACCTCTTCACACACGGATGTTTTCAGACAAGCGGTATGGAAACACACGAATGAATTATTGAATAAGGCTTTGGGATTTATCTCTCAGAATGAATCAAAATAATTTTATAACCACATGGGTGGTTGACTGACTAATAAATCGTACTGTAAATGATAGAAACAAAACTTCTTCAAAGGATTGAGGAAATGGAATGGAATGGCTTCCAAGATTTCAGACACATGCGGATTCAGCTCTTGTAAAAGAAGATATTTATGGTGAAAAAGAATGATTTAAAGATAAAGATTGGCTACGGCCAGGTTGGAGACAACTTGGGAACCTGCAGTGCTGTAGCCTTTTTTCTTTTTTGAAAACTTGATCTCAACAACGAAATGCCACCTTCGTCATGGAAATTTATTGTTGAACCACATTACCAATAATCTAGTTTCATCATTTCTAACCACGTTAAATGCAACACTTCAAACATTTTAATTCTTAACAACATTTGGAAAACAACAAAGGCTTCTCGCTTTTGTAGCTCACAGTTCATACAGTCAAAGACTGTAGCGGGAGTGTCGCCATATTCCTGGCAGGCATCCCGTCCATAATAATTATTAAGAGAATTATTTCTAATCATGATCGAATTTAATAGGCATACCGTCCATATTATAAACAAGAGAGAAATATACGTTGGCTTGAAATTAAAGATTTCAATTATTTCAACTCACGAGAATTATTGCTAGAAGAAAAATGCAAACAATGAACTCTTCCATGGACGAGATTGTTGTGAGTCGGATCTTGTTGTTCGTCGAGTGGAGTGATTGGACAACGATCAAGCCTTTTCTTGTGAACAACAAATGGCATCATGTGTTCAGTTCGGAACTCTTTGCTCAAGAATATTATGCAAACCTGAAACACTTATCGGAACAGCAGCAAGTCATGTTGCGAAATACTTTACAACACAATTGGCAAACGGAATCAGCCGTTGTTAAAAAGAGAAAGTATAATTCTAGCTGTTCTTGGTGTTACGGTTATTGGGGGATTTTAAAATGTTGGGTAATATTTCAAATGAAGGCTCTCGCACGCAGAAAGTATTTGGAAAATATCAAAAATCATATGCTCAACGATGATGGTTGGCAAGAACGGCTCTTTGAAATTGCTGTTCATGAAAAAGATGAATCATTACTTCGAAAAGGATTTGCACAAAGGTGTGACGGAGAGTTTTTACTTGCAGTTGATTCTTTGGAACGAATCGCCTCAATTCCTGCCCGACTAATTTGTGAGCATTTTCATATCGATGCATCGTCCATAAACTCCAGCTTGTTCCTTGAAAGAAGTCACATCTTGAATGAGGAGCGAACAGCTCTCATGTACGCAAGAGGATCTGCTCAAGTTATAGATATAGCTTTTACATGCTTTCTAGATTTGGATATCCCATTCGAGTTCAAATAGAATATGCATTTAATGGTGTCAGAAATTGCAATGACTATACTGGCAAACAGACCATTTATATGAATGGCGATGAAGTTTTTGACATCTACTCAGCTGAATCAATGGAAACCAAACTTCAAGTAATGAGCGATAAATTGACAGACATGGAAAGAAATATATTTTACATTGAAAATAGCAATCTATTGTATGAAGGAGTGTTTGGACAAGATCAAAAATTTGAAGTGAATTACGATAATTTAGTGCACACAATTCTATTGAAATTTTTCAATCCTAACTTCTTTATCAGAAGAGAAAGACATTACTTGGAAGGGATTGATTTCATCACCTACGAAAATGTCAAGACCACGCTGTACTATAATTCCATATTCACAAATTGAACGTTCTGCAACATTTTAAATAGTGCACAAAAAAAATGAATAACAAACAAGTTGAACAGAATCCTGAAGCACTCGAAAAATCCCATACGTTACGAAATTACATTAGAAATCAAAATATTCCTGCCATCACAGAATGTCTTTCGGAAATACTTTCCAAACCAATGCAGCATATCCAACTCATATTCATGCCTGAACTTGCCAATGATGAACATTCGGAGATGGTTTCTGCTCCGTTCTCTGATCATGTACCATTATTGTGGACAGCATGTGAAACTCAAAATTTGAAAATTGTTGAATTGTTGTTGGATGCAATACGTAAATCACCGTGTGATGTGGATACGTTGCTTAATTTTGAACATGCCTGTCCTGGGACGTATCATACTAAAACTCTTCTTTATCATATTTGTGAAATTGGCTGCAATTCGAATATTGTTGAATATATTTTGAATGAACCAAAATTAGATAATTTTCGTGGATTATCTCAAGGACGATACGGAATTCAAGAATCTCCTTTTTATGCTTGTGTTAAAAACGGTCATTTAGAGCTTGTTAAATTACTTTTCAAATTTGGTTCTAATTATGCACATGCGGAGTGTTCAGAACTTTTGGTTCGAGATCCTGTTAGTGATCCTTGTTTCTTTCCATTATGGGTCGCTGCTGCAAATAATCGATTTGAAATTGTGAAATATTTAGTGGAAGAATGTCGAGTGAATCTTGATGACGTTTCTGGAAGTATTGGTTATTCAAGCGCATTAGGAGTTGCTGGTAAATTGAAAAATGCAGAAATCGTAAGATATTTGTTAGAACGTGGAGCCAATGCAGGAAAAGATGTTTACGAAAACACATTTAAGGAAGCGAATCAAAATACTATTTCATTACGCAATAATAGCGAATTTACCATTGTCCAAAGAGGGTTTCCCCATAACTTGAACAAAGAAGAAGTCGTTGAGGCAAAGCAATTTGTGAGAGATCAATGGGAAATTGTGGATTTGTTCATGAGAAAAAAGGCTGAAATGAGAAATAATCTTTATATTAGTGTTGGTTTTCGTTGTGACGATGATTGCACGGCAGACCCCTTTCACAAACCCCAACTCAGAGATATTTATGTGATTACGAAGAAGCGGTAGCTTTTTGATACATAACTCTAAATCATGTATCATTCATTCAAAATTACCATTATTATAATAAATAATAGACAATTGCTTTAACAAGCTCTTGTTCGCTTATTGTGTTATTGAGGCTTGGGTTGTTTGAGCTCTATCTATCATTGTGAATGATATTACCTTTTTTTGATGCTCTGGTAAGAAGTTTATAATTTACATGAAAAGATTGAGGTCAAATCCAGGCATGTGAATCAGTGTAGAACTGGGAACGGAGCCACCTTGATAACAATCCATACATCGTACAAGTCCATCCAAAACAATCACAGAGCCAGCAATTCCTTCGAATAACGACAATGGATGATCTGGAGTAGAGATTAGTGCACTCTGATTTTCACATCCAAACTGAGCAAATCGAATGGCCTTGTATAAATATTCTTCATCGTGAAGTGTTGTGTACAGTTGAAGAAATGGAAATAAATTTCCAAAAATTCCATGACACAGCCCTAGACCTTTCTTAAGTAGTCCATAAATCCACAAACAATGCGATGCCCTTTTTACAGAATCTACGTACGAGGTTTCTCCTGTAAGGCCATATAATTTGAGAAGTAAACCAACGTATCCAGTTGCTCCATGGCACAGCTGTAATAGCCGTGAAGTTTTACTTCCCAATGATGAAGGGAAATTACCATCTGGGTATTGCGTGCTCATGATTGAATTTATAGTGTTCAATATCTTGCTGTAGACTTCTTGATTGTGCCTTATTTTAGGAATGTCCAATAATATTGTTGTGATTCCAGCCTAATTTGTGAAAAATTAATAAATTCATGTCATTATTGGTTTTAAATTCTATTGAAATCGTGATTAGTTCATGTCCACTTACCACACCATGCACACTTCCTAGATACTGTTTATCATGCCATTCCCACATGTATGAGTTCTTTTGATGAGAGGACCCATCTTTCAGAATTTCATTCACAACTTGATCAATTTCTGGATCGTTTTCATATGCACTGTCGGTGATTGTGTTGGTCGAAGAGGAACTTCCTGCGGTCCAATTTTCATTCCATGTCTTGTATGCATGCAGAAAAGCTCTGCCATAAACATATCCAATTCTTCCAAAAAGCCATTCATTCGATATTGGTTTTGATTGATTTTTGCTGACATTGATCTTACACAATTTAGAAATGTAGTGTTCAATCCGTGTGACGGCCAACTCACTGTTGGTAGAGTCTCCAAGAATATCATACGCAACAGCACACAATGTAAAACATCCCATCATTCCTCCAATCATACTAACATCTCCATTGTCTAATTGTATTGTACTCGTCTTAAAGACTGCCTCAATAATTTTCAGACAGCATTCAATCTTTTCTCTCAAATATTGCAAGGAAAAAAGACTTGCATTCAAATTTTGAGGAGAAGGAGATGGAATATTTGTTTGATCATTGTCTTTCGTTGTTGGTGAAAATTCAGCTATTCCCTCTGATGAACATTCGGAGGGAGGAGGTGACGACCAAGTACACTGGCTATTGGCTTTGATATACAAGTATATAAGCATGTACAAAATTCCTGATATTCCCGTATACGAGTCAAGATCACGAGCAGTGATTTTTAATGCGTTAACCCCTCCTCCATATTTAGATGATGAATTGATCATGGCTTGGTAAGGCTCATCAATTTGTGTTTTTACAATCAGATCCACCCATGCCTTAATACAAGAAACAAACTCTCCTCTACTCCTTTCAATTAATTCTATTAAAACTTGATGTTTGGATGTTTGCTTATCTGAAGCTTCCGATCTCAACGATGTATTAACAAACGGATTTTCTAGACATCTCTCATACAATTTCTCATTGGTTTGGGATGATCCGTATGTAAACCACGATGATGGTAGATGGGAATGTTGTGCATGAGAAAGATCCGACGAATGATGATGAGATGAACTCATAGAGGAAGACAATCGATGTACAGACATTTTTAATTAGCAGCTTTCCAAAATAATAAAATTTACAAAAAGAAAATCTTTTGCCGCTCCATTCAACACCATTCACAAGAATTCTTTGGTCATGTTTACAGCTTTATATTTCGTCTTTGATCAATATTTGAATTCAGGGATGTTCATGTTTGTTTAGAATTTGGTTTGACCAGCCAACGATCGTAAAAAATGTTGGTATGAGTACGATGATAACATTTCCGTTCACTTTCTTCAATCATCATGCGATGATACTTGTTGTGGTTGTTGCTGTGATTTGGTGTCCAATTTCAGCAAAAACCTTCTCTTCACTCAACCCCACAAGTATCTATACGTTGCCGATTTATTACGTTCAATCTCAAACATCAAATTTGCATATTCATCAAGGTCACCATGATTATAATTGTACGCGAGAAAGTCCATGCCATACCATTCAACAAGCATTGCAATTAATTATCACTCAATTTAATAGCAGTGTCATTGGCAAAAGGTCTGGAAAAATCATCTTGCTTGGGGACAGTTTCGGAGTCGATCAATGCAATATACAAATACCTGGAAATTGTAAAGATGAAAGATTCGTACACTGTGCTGCTTTTGATGAAATAGTTTTGGATACTGAGCTTGATAGAGGAGTGTCTTTGGATTGTGATAATCAAAGACTTTTTAAAGAATTGGAGGTGCGAAATTTAACAATTCATAATTTGAACTTGACAAGAATTTATATTGGCTTAAATCGAGCACCTGCGGTTGATCGATTGATTCTTCAGAGCGTTTCAATGTACAACATTCAGGTGAAGGACACTTCAGAAATGCCAATCAACTTGGACAAGAGAGTGGTTATCGTTGAATCAAGCATCGTTGAACGTTGCACCATTGATCTCATTGGGAAAAGCGAAATTCAAATTTTACAGTCGAGAGTACATGGTACTACAATGCACACCTTACAATCAGCCATTTCTATTTGGAATTCCAATCTCACACACTTTGAATTTCTATTGCAAACCACAAGCGACGATTTGGAGAATGACATGCTTGATATTAGAAATTCATTTCTTTGTAATACAACACTAAGACTGGACCGTTTTAAGTACATATCTTTTAGTTATGCCACGTTTTCAGACAATACCTTTCTGCAGGTTTCAAATAGCGACTCAATTTCATGTGGTAATGTTAATGCGATTGGTGGCCATTTTTATTGGCTTTTTAGAGAAAATAATCTTGTTACTGTTGCAAGTTCCGAATTCAGTTTCCTAAATTTATTTGATGAAAGCTGGAGCAACAAACTGATCGACATTGATTCATGCAAACAATTATTTATATTTGGTTGCTCTTTTGAAAACAATAGAGGAATCGTACTTGGCATTGAATTCACAAACATTCTAGATCTACAGGACTTGTCTTTTGAAAATAATTATGGAAATTGTATCTATGCTGATATGTCACAACGCCGTGGTGTTTCCCAAATGACCTTGGACAGTGTACTATTTCGAAAGAACAAATGTAGCACAGATATGAATGGCTGTGCACTTTCGGTACAAGCACATGAAATCTTTATTCGCAATATTAGGTGTATAGAGCACAGTGGTGCCTCTAATGGAGGGTCCTTGTACATTCAAGCAAAGAATACCTTACAAATTTTCAGCTCACTTTTCTTGGACAACTTGGCCAGTCAACTGGGAGGAGCTATTTATATTGGCAACTCAGCAACAGCTACTTTCACGATTGAGAACACAACTTGTGTAAACAATTCGGCTCAGTATGCAGGAGGTTGTATTTATTACGAATCACCTCAACAAAAAGAAGCATCCATTTTAAAAGATAACGTCTTTTACAACAATGAAGGAAAATCATATGGCAATGATATTGGATTCCACTTTACAATATGAAATATGAATTGAAGATGTTCTACAATTCTAATAACGTCCAAACGTTCCAGAATTCAACTGAAATTACTATCTATCCAGGACAGTTTATTTCTCATATGGAGCTAACACTTTGGAATAATGGCACTGACAGAATACTGTTTCTAGAGACTGGAACCAATCTGATTTTTAGGTTGAATGAAACACAAGATCATCAAGCAGTGTTACATTTTGAGAACAACAGAACAAACTCTCTGAGATTAGATCGTATTGCAGTATTCATGTATTCTGCTCATGACGTTCCCATTACGTTACACTCCGCTCTATCCATCTACAATGAAAAGAACTGGGCTATTGAAGTTGTACTTCATGTGGATGATTGTCCTTCTGGGTTACAAATGGACCTACAGCAAATTCCTGCCAACTCTTATGGATGTAATAATTCTCCACCAATACCGTATAATGTTATTATACCAGTTGTTTCTATTGTTTCCATCCTTTCCATTTCCATCCTTGTTTTATTGCTATATGTCACATTCAAAGTTTTGGGTAGCATATTTGCCAAGTTAAACCGATTGAAACGAAAAGAAGAGGCAGAGAAGAAAATGGAATCAAAATTAATTGACAAGAGAATTGTTTTGATGGATGAAGAATATTCCGTCTTTAATCAAACTACAGGTCAAGGAATCGATGAAAGTACATCATTGTTACACCCTAAAAGAGAAAAATCAGTTGTGCCCGGCACTACAAGTATTAATCATTCGACAGCACAGAATTCCAGAAAAAATAATCTGCATCATACTTGGATAATTTCCATCGATGAAATAGAAATCTTACGAAGAATATCTGAAGGTGCGAATGGGACCGTTTATTTGGCATCATGGAATGGAACACGTGTTGCATTGAAAACCTTAAAAACCTCAAATTCACAGACGAGAATGATGAAGCAGAGAAAGATGAAGAATTTGAAAGAGAAGCATCATTGCTGGCCTCCATTCGTCATCCAAATGTTGTTCAGTTTTTTGGAGTCATTATGGCTGGAACTAAGAAATATATGGTTGTTGAGTATTTGGACAATGGAAGCTTAGATCAATTAATTTATCGTTCCAAAAATGGCATAGAAAAATTGGATATTTATCGAAAAATTGACATTTTACTAGGTGTTTCTAAAGGAATGCAATATTTACATTCGTTAAAGCCACACGGAATTATTCATAGAGACTTAAAACCTGGAAACATTCTTATCTCCAAAAGCTACACATCGAAAATTTGTGACTTTGGTTTAAGCAAGACATCTAAGAACCAAAGCACTTCGAATAGTGCCGCCACTACCAATGTCGGAACATTATTTTACATGTCAAATGTGAGTTTGAATTTTCATTTAAATGTTTAAATTATACAAAAACCATAGGAAATGATCAGCGGAGACTCAAAATACAATCACAAGACTGATGTTTACAGTTTTGCAATTGTTATGTGGGAATTATTTTTCGAAGAAAATCCTTATTTAAATTTTGGATCTAAGAAATTATATGGAAATATGGTTGACACGAATGCTATGCACACAGATGTCTATGGGTTTAACATTCTTCCAAAAATTGTCAACGGTTTACGCCCAATAATTCCATTTCACACAAAGACAGAGTTAAGAAAGTGGATTGAAGAATTTCACTTTTACCAAGAGAATTCAGATTTGGAAAAATTGTCTGACATTTGCGAGAAGTACATTTCAATCATGAAATCATGTTGGAGTCATGACTCTAGTGCACGACCTGAATTTTCGGAAGTCACCTCCAGATTAACCGAGCTATTGAGCTTTTAACATTAGTTTACAAAAATAAAATCACAATAAATCCAGGACAAATTGGAACTCGATAGCCGAAAAAAAATGTTTGGAGCCATCAATGACCAAAAAGATGTTGCTGATGTTATGCTCATGGATCTAAACGATTGTTTAAAGAAGCAATGGGAGATGCACGTTCAATCATCATCAGAAAAATTCAGAAATGATGAATTTCAAAAGGAAGCTACGGCACAGAAAGGCTCTCTTGAAGCACTCCGAGACATCAATTCCCATATTTTCAATGTTGAAGAACGGTATTCCAATGATAGTGCTCTTGTCAAACAATGGATCACTTCGGATCAAGAAGAAGAAGAACAACGAAAGAAGAAAAAATTGCAATCATCAGAACATGAAAACAATAATTCTTCGGTTGAACAACAACAGGAAGAGAATATCCTCCAATTGATTCGGCAACGACTGGATGACAATTCCAAATATGATATTTTAGAGTACATTCCAACGTATTCCAGATGGTCCGTGTTTGAACAAGAAGGAACTTATCGCAAGTATTTGCAAGCGATCAAGTATCCCTTCTTGTCAAGAACGATGGCATTACCACATCATCTCGAGTATCATCTGATATTCCCTTCATTACCTTTCACAAAATGAGATTGATTAGCAAAACATTTAACACGAGAATGATGAATCGAATTTTACGAACCACGGAATTGACCTTATTTTCCTTAGATGATCACACACTGCCATATTTTGCAACGTTTTTGAGAATGCAACGTTTGTTTAAAGAAAACAACAATCGGCTTACTTCTGACAGTATTTACTTGTATGAGGATCGACAACATTTATGTTTGGTTTCCAACGAGCGTGCCTCCCTTACTTTTGGAATTTCAACTTCTCAACCGTGTGCAGTGTTACAACTTACAAATCCATCGTTGTGGTTGATGAGTTCAAGTTCACCATCTGTGACAACTACTTCGGTAAGTCAATACGTTTCAACAAACAACACTCTTCAACTTTTTAATATGGATGTGACCATATGCAAGATTGAGGACGTAGCCACAATTCATAATGGCGACATCGATCAAGAAGCAAAGCCTCTGCAACCTTCTAAACCTTTCATGCTTTCTTTTAGTGATCCTACTCCAAATATCTTTGGTGCTACCCCCAGCACAACTGATAATTTTTCATTTGCCTCCACTGTGGTGAGTAAGAAGGACAAGGACGATATGAATGAGCAGCAATCACTCATACCTCTTCATGAAACATTGGAATTTCAAACATCTGATGATTCTGAGGTTGTTAATTCCATACCAACAACATCCACAGCTATCTCGAGTGATGACCAAGGACTAAATCCCCCAATGGGAACTTCTCTCTTCAACACCAGTAGTAGTAACACAGGTTTTAGCTCTAAAAGTACCACACCAGAGGCTCACCTTTCAAAGATCGTATGAAAGCCAAGTACGAAATTAAGGCTCGATCAGGATTTAGTTTTTTAAGTGAGATACCAGCGTTGCCCTTCGTACCGTATGTAGAAGAGTCCAAGGCCTGTTCTCTGGACACGAGCATTGAAGAGGCTGTATGCACCTTATTCATTGGAAACAATACGACACTGCAGTCCTTGATTGTATTCACACCCTCTAGAGATACATTCTCCCTTTCTCGCATATTGAGAGTTTTGACAGTATTGGACCATGTCCTTATATTGACAGCGAATGGTGGAACCGTTGTATTCACAAATGAGAGCGTCAAGAATGTTGTACTCATTAACTCGACCACTAATGAAAGTCTTCTGAACGATCTCCAAACGTTGAGAAAGTATTGTGTTATGGATGTTCCTCAGGCTCATTTGGTGCAATATCCAGTGATAATATTCGTGAAAAAATGGAGAGCAAAGATGTTGGTGATCTCGTCGAATTGTTTCTGAAATTAGATCAAGAATTACCATGAAGCTCATGGACAAAATCACCAAAATCCACAGTCAAGGTTTCGCTTTTGGATCCAAACAGCTATTGTTGAGAGATATTATCCAACAATCTTCTGAAAATGACCTTGAAAAAGCAAAATCATTCATATCTTACTTGATCAAGGATTTGAAATATCCATGTCAAGACCTGAACTTGTTCGATGCGTCCTTTCATTCTTTGACTGATCAATGTATTGCACAATACGTTGTTTATTTATGTAATGAGTATCAGGGGGGAAGATTAATGAAAATACCAGAAGATGACAAAGGATGTGAAGAGATTTTATTGGCGTTATTGAGCTATGGATGGAATTGTTGGAATCAAAAAGATGAATTGATTTACATGATGTGCTCGTGGATTACTAAGAAACACTCTATTTTGGAATTTATGTTAGTTAATTTTTACAACACATTGGACACCGATGGATTATATTCGTTGATGGTACATTGTTGTCGTCAAGTTAGAACACGAGCTTTAGATGCCATTCTTTCATACAGTTTGTTGCATAAGGAAGAACTATTAATGAACGCTCTCATCATGCCAGTGAAATGCGCCAAGAGTCGTTCATCCTTTAGTACAACGATCGCACAAGGTGAAACTTTTACAACATCACTACTTGGAGTATTATTCCAACATGGAGCTCACGCCTGTAGTGGATTCTTATTGCAAAGAACAGTTGAAAGAATGAGCCATGAAAAGTTTGACAGTCTTGGCGTGAACGAGAATGGATAATATTCTTCACATCTTTGCTACTTCTGTGAGATCGACCAACATGAATGGAGATCTCTTGTTGACACTCATTCGAAAAGCACGTCGTTTGCTTTATGCTGAAAATTTAAAGAAGCAGTCTCCATTGTGGCTACTCCAACTACCTGACTCTTATTTGGTGCATTGTATGGAGCAAGAATTGGGAATGAAATTGGGCATTGGACCTCTGAAGTTCCTTATTGCAACACAAGAAAAAAGTTCTAAAAATTAGAAGAAAAAAATGAAACGAAAATTCGTCACCCCGTTCAAAAACCCACCACCAGCAAAGCCTTCGACTACCGCTGCTGATTCCAATAAAGCCTCTTCAACAAGTTCCGATAAAGCAAACTCAACACAACCAGAGTCATCAAGCCAGTCGTCTACTACTGCTAACAATATTCCTTCTCAATCCTCGAATGCCAGTCAGGATCAAGGAGTACTTCCGGAGCCAAGACATCAACATCCTCATCGGGTTCCAGTGCAATCAAGAAGAAATTTGTACCTCCCACCCGAACAAAGCCTCTTGAGGAAATAAATAATTCTGCTAATAATGATGATGATGAAGGAGAGGTTTGGACAGTCATGCACACCAAAAACACCAATAAGAAACACAAAAAATTTGATGATGGAATATTACTCATAAAGAATAAGAGGTACACGTTGTTTGATTCAGGTGGAAAACAATTGACTGCCAAACCTGTGTCAAAAATCGAGTAAGTAGTTCCATGGAAGGATAATTGGGTTATTGTTGAAACAAATTCAAAATCTAGAACTTTTCGAGAAGGAGACCAGATGGTGTTGGGAGCAAAATTGGTTGAATTCATGAACAAAATCAAAATGGAAGACTATGTGAGCGGAAGAATTTTTCTCCAATACAATTCAAATTTGACAAGCAAAGCATCTGCACCCTTGATATCAAAAACTGCTACAACCAAATTCAAACCTCACAGCACTACTAAGACAGCAGGTCTTGGTTACAACAACAATGAAGTGGAGGTTATTAAAGCTCCTGAGGGAACTTATATTTTGAATGAGGGACATCCTGAGAAGGATAAGTCAGGAACAAAGATTTCTGACGTGTACATTGATAATTTTATTGGAGAAAACTTGAGACCTCACCAAGTAGAAGGTGTCAAATTTATGTATGAATGTGTGATGGGTATGAAAGATTTTGCTGGAAAAGGAATGCTGCTGGCCGATGAAATGGGTTTAGGTAAAACATTGCAATCAATAGCCTTGATATATACGCTGTTGAGAAGAGGTCCTTTTGGTAAACCTGTGATCAAGAAGGCCATTGTGGTGACAAACTCGTCTTTGGTGAAAAATTGGACACATGAATTCGATAAATGGATCGGCGACGACAAGATCAAAGTTCTCACTGTCGCAACAAAGACTGCAAAGCAATCACCTTCTGAAACGTTAAAAGTATTCAAGGCAGGATATCATCAAGTTTTAATTATTTCATACAACCTTTGTACAAATTATGTGGATGAACTACAAGAGTGTCAATGTGATTTGTTAATTTGTGATGAAGGTCACAAACTCAAGAATGCTAATATTAAGATTTTCCAAACCTTGAAAAAGCTCAGCACACCAAGAAGAATCGTTCTCAGCGGTACTCCTCTTCAAAATGATTTGAACGAGTTCTTTACCATTTGTGATTTTATTAATCCTGGATTATTGGGAGATGCAACTTCTTTCAAAAATTTATTTACGAACCAATTAAGAGAGGACAAGAACCCAATGCAAAGAAACAAGATAAAATTCTTGGTGACAACAGATCAAAAGAGTTGAATAAGATGGTTTCACAATTTGTGTTGAGAAGAACCAACATGTTGCTAAGAGAACATTTGCCACCAAAAAGTAAGTTTGTAACATATATTTCTATTCCATCATAATTTTTATTGTCGATTTAGTGGAAATTGTAATATTTTGCGGAATGACTGAGCTTCAAGAAAATCTTTACAAGCACTTTGTGTTATCAAAAACTTTGAGAGGCTTCATCAATGGAACGTTGGACTCCAATAACGCACTTGCTTGTATTCTTAGTCTTAAAAAGCTCCTAACTCACCCAAATATGATTTATCCACAAAAAGATGAAGAAAGTGAGGAAGAAGAAGATAACACTCAACTCTTTGAGACATTTGGTCTCAATCTGAAAAGCTGTTTCCCAAGGATTTCAACCCAAGCAGCTCTGAGTACAAGGAAGAATATTCTGCCAAGCTCACCATCCTAGATTGCTTGTTGAAGGAAATTCAAGAGACGGGTGATAGGGTTGTCATTGTTTCCAACTTTAAATGTGTAAGTTTTTCATGAATTTCTAAAGTCACGCTTTGACACGATCCTTATTTTAGATTTTGAATGAAGTCGAAAAGTTATGCAAGCACAGAGAATATACATGGTCTCGATTGGATGGCTCAACTTCATCTGATAAGAGAATGCCAATTGTGAATGCATTCAATTCTCCAAAATCAAAGGATTTCATTTTTCTACTCTCTAGCAAAGCGGGTGGTTGTGGATTGAACTTGATTGGAGGTATGTTTTGAAATCAATTTTTTCCTTTCATAGTACGACATGTTTAACAGCTAATCGTTTAATCATGTTAGATCCAGACTGGAATCCAAGTAATGACGAACAAGCTATGGCTCGTGTTTGGAGAGATGGACAAAAGAAAAATGTGTTTATTTACCGATTGATTGGTTGTGGTACAATTGAAGAGAAAATCTTCCAAAGACAAATTGTAAAAACTGGTCTTTCGAAATCCACGCTCGATGAGAAGTCCACAAAAGCTCAGTTTTCTTCTTCCATGTTGAAAGAGCTGTTCAAGTATGATTCAGACAGCAACTGCACAACCTATAAACCAGAAGAAAATGACATTGGTGTGGCTAAAGAGAAAGATCCTGTTCTTTCAGTTGTACTTGACAATGAAAATATTAACATTCCATTCATTAAGATTACATTGGACACTGAGGAAAAACCATGATGACCTCTGAAGAGAACAGTGACAATGAAAGCGTCGATATGGAAGACGATGAGAAATCAGAGGAGGAAGAAACCAATGACACCACCGAGGCTCCTCCCAAAAAGAGAAAAATGGATTTAGAAGATGGAGAAGACGAATTTGTTTTTGAGGATGAGAAGCAACATGACGAAGAAGAATAAATTCGTCTATTGGTAATGTTTCTACTTTTGATCATGCTTCCACTAAATAATTTTTTTAATTTTTCTACTCGTTTTCTGAATCAGACAATTTATTCTTTATTTTAAAATGTCAACCGATGACAACCTCTCTCCGATTAAGTTTTTCATGAAAAACACAAAACTCTACTACCTATGGAGCGAAGACGTAATCATCCTGTTCCCGAAAAATAGTTTTCTCTTTTCACAGGATGAAATTGTCAAAGTATACACCTCAAGAGAAGACTACGATCATGAATTTCCATTCGTTGTGTGTCGAGCAGTCGCAGCTAATTGTCAATTTCAATGTTTAATTCCTCTCTTTTTCTGCAATAACCGTCCGCCATCAATGACACGTGCGAGACAAGATCCACAACTTTTATATTTGAATTCTTTAAATAATGAACGCTCTGAAAAAGGTTTGCTACATGTAGAGAGGTGTCACACCACTCTCCAACTGTCACATTTGAGTAAGGAAGAGGATTTTATTGGAAAGAGTTTTTGCTGTCATGACAAGGAATGTTTATCCAAAGTCATCCTTCCAAAATGCTTCTTCTTGATTTATTTTCACACTCCATATATTGTAAGGATCCCTTAGCAACATCTACAATATCTTCTTCTTCTTCAGCTACGATCGATGTGTTTCATTCATGTCACAATCCCATTCTTAAAATTCCATCCAACAAGATTCTCCTTACTGGAATTTCCTCTATTGATTTATTTAGTACCATTTACGTTGGTCAACACGCAATCATTTCCACAGCCACACAATTACCTCATCATTCATTAATTATGCAAATTTGTGAACAAGTTTCCATTTATTCTCCAACGAACTCTCTGGATTTGCATCTTTCTGAGATTGAAAATTCTTCTTCAACGAATGAATCGAATCAACATGACAACACTACTGAATTGATCCTAGTGTTTTGTCTTCAATCGTACTCTCCACAGCAGGATTGCAAGATTTTTAAATCCTTTTTCACAAATACGACTCATCGTTTACAACATAAAAGTGTGTATTTATGTAATTGTCACACTTGTGGTCTCTCCATGAATCATACATCTATTCCTAACTCTGCATGGAATGGAATGGAGGATTGTCTTCCATACATTGCCATGTCCATCAGTGAATATTTAGCATTTCATTGTCACAAACATGTCTTGTTCATTTGGTATGAACTCTCATCATTTAAAGAGTTTTGGAAGTTGTTGGAATGTCTATCATGGCGCACTCAAATCCAAGTTTTCAAATTTATTTTCAAGATGTGGAGTGGTCAAAGGAAAGAATTCTGGTTCATTGAGTGCACTTTCCGTGATTGAAAACCCGAATGACGATCATTCTCACAAATTTGTGGATGTCTTGAATGGAGTGGCAGATTGCACCATTGTTTTGGATCGATCCTTAACCAATGATTGTCGACAACTATATCCTCCCATCAAGATGGAATGGGGAAGGTTTCGAATCCCGGCAAGAACCACAACTTCAATTTCTTTCAGTGAATATTGGGATCCAATACGTTCGATTCGAAAAGATGTTTCATTCGTCAGAAATGTATTATTGAGATTGGTTCATGAAGCGAAAGAGATTCACTCACAATATGCAATACTTGCATGGGATTGTGTTTTACTAGATGATCAGATCATGATGGATTTTCTGACAGCTTTGGAATTGAGAGTGATTTCTCAGAGACGAGACGAGTATCGACATTTGTGTGAAACTCTAAATTTAGTATGGAAATTATTGGTGGAATTCTTTTCATTGAAATGTTTGAAATGGAAATATCCTGTACCGTATTCAGAGGAAGCATCACTCGTGGATGAGTTGTACTCTTCATTTGCCAAACTAACAAAAAGAAGAAGGATTCTCAATATGGAAATCTTTCAAATGAACCTTTTTAAAAAGTGTCAAAAAGGTCAATTTAATGACATGATTCTTCATGCACAAAGATGACACTGTTCAATAAAAACACATTTGTTTACATTTAATAGTTGAAATTGCACATCATTGTTAGAATGAGAGTACTGCCGGCTAGAACAAGTATATACTTGAAACTTGATTTACTTTTCTTCTTCATCATTTTGCTGCATCATGTTTGTAGAATGGAAAATAAAGATGTTGTATTGTTGTTGTGTACACACGGAAATTGTCATTATCCAAAAAACCGAATTTCATGAACATTCCAAGTTTCCAGGTCGTGTCGTGATCATACCGATAAAATCATTGAATCATTTCATTAATAGAATGTCCAAAAGTTTTTCAAATGTACAGATATATGTAAAAATATAATGTTGAATATATACACAAAAACAAAAATCAATGATGACAAACATACCATCAACTCATCAAACCAATTCTTAAATTCATTCCATTCAATCTCTCCTGATCCATCTTCATCTAAAATTGCCATGGCATCATCCAATTGTTCATCCGTAATATTTTTCATGGATTCATCTCCCATGGCTTCACCAATGTCACGAACAAGTACAGATAATTCGTCTCTACTGATCGTTCCATTACCATCACGATCGTAGAAATCAAAGAAGAATTTTGTGAGTTTTTCATCGATTTTTGCTCCTTCGATGGCTTCTGCGAGAAGAGTTAAATCTTTGAAGAGATTGCCAGTGGGTTTGACTTCAAAGAAACGAAGGACTGGTTCGAATTCTGTTTTGAGTTTTTGTGAGTAATCGTAGGGTGTACTTGGCATGTTGTGTGGAATTTTTTTTTTGAAATTTTGTTTGATGGGTGAAGTTTGACAGCTAATTTAAAAAGAGGTTGCTTTTCAAAAAAGTCGCTTTAATTATTATTATTCAACTAGTTGGTTCGATTAACTCAAAAAGAATGAAAAGTTTGAATAATCTCTAAGGAGTGGATTGTAACCAGATTTTGTATCAAACTTGCCTTTTTGTGCATATTGATTCATAAATTGAGAGGATTTCACAACCTTAGAACCTCTCAACGCTCCATTGCCATCTTTACAAACTTTTCCATACACTTGTTGCATGGTTGCAAAATCTGTGGCAAAGAAAATATCACATTCTCCCTTTGGAACGAGATACGACCTAAATGCATGGGATTCTACTGAGAAATTTTCTTCTGATGTAACATCCTCTTTTTTGAGAAAGATGGTTCCATGTTCTCGAACTTTTCGTAATAGATTGGAGGCCTTCATGAATTTAAACTTTTTTTGTACAAGAGGACGATTGCTCTCACCAGGTTCATCAGTTCCTAAATAGTCAAAATCAGCACAGATGAGTCTGTGTTTGGGAAAGTTTTGTTGGAGCTTTTCAATGATTTGAAGTTGAACGGTTGGAATGAACATGACATGATCTCCTCCTATGGAGCTCATTAATAAGGATCGCATTCCTCCAACAGACTTGGAGAAGAAAGATCGAATCGCTTTTTTGATTTTTCCACCTCTTAAATCCTCAATAGATTTGTAAAAGTATTGTGAAGAGATTGCTGTGTTTGATGAATTTGGTGTGCTTTCTTCAATAATTCCAGATAAATACAGATATCGAATAATGAGCTCATCTTGACAAGGAAGGAAAACCTCTCCATAGTAATTCGTGATGGAATCTTCAAAAACATGACACTCTAATACATTGCCTTGGCCGTCAATAGATACCTTATCATGAGCACAGTTGTCTAACACCTCCATGGCAATCACAAAACATTCGTCTTGTTCGATGTTTGCCCAATCCATAAAGGAAGCATGGAAAAGCTTCAATTTACCATTTCTTACATGTCTAGCACATCTAATTTTTTGTTGTTCGTGAAGTTGGGAAGAAATTTCAATGATATTATATTCTGTTCGCTTGTAAACCTCTGGATACTCCTTTTCTAAATAATCCAATACGTTTCGGGCACATGTTCCCATACCTCCTCCCATTTCATAAATTTTTAATGGTTTATCCAGATTTTCATTCTTTCCTTCTCCATAGGTGGTTCTTAACATGTATTCTGCAATGGCTATTCCATAATAGGGTTGAAATATTTCAATGGGTGTTCCCCAACTTTGAGGTCCTCTCTGATATAATTCTGATAAATTTTCCAAGTAATCTAATTGATCTTGCAATTCATGAAAGGGTAAAATCATTTGTTCATCAAAAGATAAATTATTATTGATTAAATCGTTTTCAAATTGATCATTTTCAATGGAAGCAGTATTTGTCAATTTTTCATCTCGTAGCAATGGATGTGTAATAATTAATTCATGATCCTTCTTATTGAAATATCCATATTCGGGATTATAGAGTGAGTCATGAATAAACTCTCTCACCAATTCCGTTCTTTCCTTGAATTGATATCCATATGAAACTGCTTGGGATGAATGAAATTTTCGTATCCGAGTATTTGGTTGAATGATTGCCGTAGGTAATAACAATGCAGATGAAGTTGCTACAGGGAGACTCGGAGAAGAATGATTCCTACCCGAAGCAACTAACAGCTTTTTCATCATTTTTTGATTGCTTGGTCATTCATCAACAAGGGTCCTTTTGGAATGACTTTCATTCTTGCCTATACTCTCACTTCTACAGGATGAACGAGTTCCACAAGAACAGGTTGATACTATCACCAACAGATCCTTCTTCAACAAGATGTTTGATTCAAAAAGACGAATTGCAGCAAACGAATAATCTTCACAAGTTCAAAAAAAATGAGTATCGATCTGTTGCACCTCCAAGAACAAGTGTTCAAGGATCCGAAGGCTTATCGTGATGATTTCCTTCTTCAATTGAAACACTTGGAGAACCAGACGGAAATTGCGAAATTAAGACCCAATGATGAATCCAAATATTTCATCAAATTGTTGCAATTTTTGAGTGTTGCTTGTAAAGTTTTTAAAAACGATACAAAGCCTTTTGCCATGAAGGTTTTGGAATTGTTGGAAACAAAACAACAAGAGTTAGAACCCAAGTTGAGAAGACAACTTGCTATTACATTGATTGCATTCCGTAATAATGACATTCTTGATTCGAAAACATTGATTCCGGTTTTGTTTAAATTATTTCGAGTTCATGACAAGACATTGAGAAGCATGGTCTACAAACACATATTGTCTGATATCACAAAAATCAACATGAAGAAGAAGAATCCAAACGTAAATCGATCTCTCCAAAATTTTGTCTTTTCCATGCTCAAAGATTCATTCCGTATTGCAGCAAAGAAAAGTTTACAGCTTTTAATTACTCTTTACAGACGAAACATTTGGAATGATGACCGTTGTGTCAATGTTATTTCACAATCATGCTTTGCAGAAGACACTGCTCTTGTGGTGATTGCCCTCAAATTCTTCTTGGGTGAACAATTAGAAGATGCAGATGAAGAGGATGAGAAATCCAAACAAAAGAATGATGACAGAGATCTTGGACACTTGATTAGAGATTTAAAGTTCAAGGTCAACAACATCCACTCAAAGAAGACAAAAAAGAAGGAGCACAAGTTCAAGAAGGCTCTCAAGCAACTTAAAAAGAAGGATAAACATAAGGAAAAGGGTATGGAAATTGAATCTCTAAACACCCTCAACATGTTGAATGACCCTCAAGGTTTTTCTGAAAAACTATTTGCCAAATTGAAAACATCCAACGAAAAGTTTGAAGTCAGAATTCTCATGATGGACGTAATTTCTCGATGCATTTCTTCTAACAACTTGATTGTTCTAAATTTCTATCCTTTTGTTCAAAAGTATTTGTTACCGTCACAAGCCAGTAAGTATGACAAATTGATGCTATGAATCTCACAAGCTATTTCAAAATGTATTTCTGCATGTTAGACATTACAAAAATCCTTGCCATCACTGCTCAATCAGTTCATGATTTGGTTCCTCCTGATGTTATTCATCCAGTTGTGATGACTATTGCCAATAACTTTGCGAATGACCATTCTAAGCCTGAAGTCATTGCTGCAGGTTTGAACACGATTCGAGTGATGTGCTCGAGACAGCCAAGAGTCATGACCAAGACATTGTTAAGAGACTTGTCTCAATATTCTAAACACAAGGACAAGCAGGTATTCCACGCTGCAAGAGGAATCATTACTCTCTTCAGAGAACTCAGTCCAAAAATGCTTGCAAAGAAAGACAGAGGAAAGGACCATGATCCAGAGGCTGTTATTCCAGAATATGGTACCCTTAAAGTTGCTGAAGGTGTTGAGGGTATTGAACTTTTGGAAGAATATGAAAAGAGAAAGGAGAGCGAAAAGGATCTCATCGCAATTGAGGGTGAAGATGATGATGAGGGATGGATTGATGTGAGTGATGATGAAAATGAGCCGGTTAGCATTCCAATGGGTGAGGATGACGATGACGAACAAGATGACGAGGACGAAGACGGCGAAGAGGAAGTTTTGAATTTGGAAGATGTGTTTGAATTAGACAGCGATGAAGAAGAAGTTATGGAAGATGAAGAACAACCTCAAGAAGAAAAACCAACAGGTCCCAGAATGGATCACTTCCGAATTCTTACGCAAGAAGACTTTGATTTAATCAAGAAGCTTAAAAAAAGCAAAGAAATGGAAAAACTAATGGGAAATAAGAGAAAGAGAATCCCCAATCTTCCTGCTGCTGATGAAACTGTCGATGAAGATGATATTGGAGATATTTCAAAGGGTGATGAATCTGACAAGGAACAAGAAGAAGAGCCTGAGAGCAAGAAATTCAAGAGAAGACATTGGGATCAACCAGGAACCACCAATCATCAAAAGAAAAAGAACAAACCATACATGATGTTGAAAATGTCTCGATCTGTCAGACATAAGAACACTATGGGTCAAAACGAAAAGAAGATCAGAAAGAAGTTGTCTGACAAGAGACAATTGAAACACAAACTCAAGCATCGATAAATGCTCGAAAATTCACACAATTTCAAATTTTTGCACGAATTTTTTCGCATGCTTTTACAAAAAATTCACACCTCATCAATGGCACGAACGAAAGCAACTGCCCGAAAAACATCATCGTCAGGATGGCGAACGACAAGACCCAGCAGTTTTGGATCCCCGTTTGCAAAGAAGCTCAGAAATGATTCATCTGATTCGCAACAGGACGAATCCAAACGTTTTATTCTGTCCAAATTCTTCGGACTTCAACAACAACAGAATCACAATGGCATCATGACCCCAAATTCCAATGAAGAATTTGATATTTCAATTTATTCCAAAGTCTCGGATCTTGCTCGCCTATTCATCATCCAAGATCAAAGAAGAAGAAAATTACTCGGTCACAAACCACCATTCTTGGAGGATCAACAATGGAATGAGAATGAACATCAACTCGCCCTCGATGAATTATTGTGATTTTCCAAAAAGTGCGAAAAAAAATCGAGTAAAATCGAAAACGACTTGCTCAAATTCGGTCAACCCTCATTTTTTGGACGTTTCTTCCCGAAAACGATTTTGCTTGATGTTGACGAGATTCGATGTTGATGCTATTCGTGCAAAGTCGAAAAAATCGATCACGATCGACCTGAATCGATTTCCTCAACACGATTCATTTCTCAACGTCGATGTTTTTCGTCCAAAATCGAAAAAATCAATTATGATCGACCTGAATCGATTTTCTTGATCGTCAGAGTTGAAAAAATCGATCATGAAGAACCTTTAATCAAATAAACTCTGATAATTTGCTTCTATTTGATTTTTCTCCTCTTCCTCTTTTTGTCTAATCTTCTCTTTCTTTACCTCAATCAATTTTGCAACTTCATTCACCAATTTGGTCAAAGGTTTTACATACTGTTCCTCTTGTTTTGCAATATCTTCTTCTTGTTTTTTAAATCTCTCAAGTAACTCCTCCTTTTCTTTCTGAATTTTCAATAATTGATCTGCAATAACTTTTGAATTATTTTCTTCCATGTCTTTCATAGTTTTTAAAAACTTTGTCGAATTTTGCATATCCTTATCACAGTCTTGTTTAGCGTTAATAAAAATTTGCTTCTTTAACTGATCCAATTTGAAAATCTGGAATTCTAAAACAGGTGATTTGAACGTAGTAACTTGTGGTGTTGACTCAGGTTTTGGATCAAGATCAAACATATCATGCAAATCCATGCCACATATATCAAGCTCAGGAGCCATTGAAGGTGTTTCCTTGGTCTTTGACTCGTCCAATTCTTTCTTAATGACCAATGATTTTTCTTGAATAGAAGCAAGAGCTTTTTTGAATAGAGGAGAGACGCTTTTGTCTGTATCACCTTTTCTTGTACGCTTTTTCGCATTGTCTCTCAATTTATCTTGCGCTTCTTTATACATAACTTCCTGCAAATCGTTGCCATTATCATCAATCCAATCCAAATCATCTTTCTCATCATCCCGATCTGAATGTTCTGATTCGCTGTCACTACTGTCACCTTGAATTTGTGAAGCCAATGATTGTTTTTTGTTGGAGTGAGCAGAAATCTCTTTTTCAATCTCGTTAACAATCCATTTCTTGTTTTCTTGAATGAAAGTATCAAAAAAATCTTTCACACGTTTGTCATCTTTTGGGGCGTTGCATGTTGCTGGTAAACCATCTTTGTATTTTCTTGAACCTTTAGCAGTAGGAAATGTGAAATTTGTATTTTTTTTTGTTTCTAATTGCTGCTTTTGAATTTGTCATTCCATGAGAATAGAGCTCATTTGAACAAATAGGTAATGTGGTTGCGAGTATTTCGCAAAAACGATCAAACGTGTTCCACTTTGTTTTGTCTTTGCCCATTTTTTTTAAGTGAGAAAACCGTTGTTATTGTTTTTTGACGTTGACACAATCGCACAAAAAACAAGACGCCGTTGAGTTTTTTTTATTCCGAAACAAATCAATGTCGTTCAATTCAACATTTTCGATATGAGAACATTAAACAATTCAACATAATCGAGCAGAATTGATTTTCTCAACAATTTCTTATCAATTTTGCTCGAAAAAATCGATTTCCACAGGGTAAAAGCAACTCAACATCGATTCACAAACGATGAAAGACGAGTTTTCAAACAAAAGACAGGTGTTCAAATATCTCAAAAACTAAGACCATATATCCAAGGTCAAAAATTAGCCCCAGAACAAATTGAGTTCATTAAATTGGTGTGTGGAAAGTATGGAGATAAACCAAAGGTCTTGCAATAAATTTTACCTTTCGCACCTTCAACGATTTACAAATATTGCAATGAAATACAAAAAGAAAAAGCTCTCGGAAGGCCTCCACATTCAGGTAAATCAACCCACCTCTCTGTGTTAAGATTTATTGATATTATATTCAGTGAATATAATACTGTTAATTATGCAGAAGTACGTCAAATAGTTAAAGATTATCTTGATGTTTCAATTTCCGTATCTCAGCTCTCCAAAATAACGACAAAATATTTGTTCAGGACATATAAGAAATGTGAAAAAGTATCAGTATATCGAAAAAGCCCAAGAGTACAATCTCAAAGAACTGTGTACAGGCGAACTATTCGAACCTACAAAACAAGAATCATGTTTTTTATTGACGAATCGCATTTCTGTTATGACCATTTGATTAGAACAAGGGCTCACATCAAAATCGGCAACACTTGTCAAAACAGTGCGCACAGAGTGAGTGGAAAACGTTTTTCATTATTGGCATGCATTAACGAGAGAGGAGGTTTGGTTTACTGGGAACTTGTCGATACAACTAAGAAAGCAATTGATGCTGATCGATTTAATATATTTCTGACAACATTGAGCAAATTGATCCCAAAAGATTGTATTTTAGTCCTTGACAACGCATCCATTCATAAGGAAAAAGAAGTTCATAGTATAATGAATGGCCAAGGTATTAGTGTGTTTTGGCAAAGCCCATACTCTCCTGACTTCAATCCCATTGAATTGCTTTTCGGATGGATGAAAACACAGTTGAAAAACTATGAACATTCGGTTGACTCTCTCGAAGAGATAATGGAGCAGGTGTTTGATCAAGTTACACCCAAGTTAATCAAATCGTTTGTTCATCATTGCAAGGAAATCTGGCATGATGAGACAAAAACTTAATAAATTTCGAGTTTGATCGAAATCGATTTTGAAGGATTTCGATGTTAATCAACATCAAGTCAAAACGACAACGCATCAATGTCGCTCATTTCGAACTCGAAAAAAATCGCGAAAAAATCGTCGATTTTTTATTCGCACTTTTTCGAAAATCACAATACCTCTTGATTTGAAATATGCAATTATTGATTTCATTCCGACCTATTCGAGAAGATCTCTCTTTCGTCACTCCTCACTCGCTCTTCAGAAAAACCTGGCTGCATCCGGTATTGAATCACTCGAAGAGGTGTTCTATCATCCCTTTAATCCATTGGATCCGAAAGAATTAGATAAGAAGAGAGTCCATGAATGTTTATTCGAGCAAGATACTCCCTTCATGACTTACCACAAGATGAGGCTTATCAATCGAGAATATTCCATTCGTATGAAAATCAACATCTTGAAAACCACTCATATTGATATGTCCTCGACTCATGATAAGACTTCTTTCTTGTTTTATTTGACTTTTATGAGAGCTCAACGATTGTATGCAGAAGGCTTACTCGACATGAATCATCCTTTCATCTATCAAGATAGGAAAACAATCTCTGATTTATTGAGTCAGCAACACCCTAATGTGGCATTACCACAAATGTTTGACGATCCTGTGAAACTGAACGATGATACGACGTCCAATAGCAACACAAGTGAAGAAATTGTTGAAGAACAGTTGATTCCATCTTGGGATGCATTAACAAACCAAGAGTCCCTTTCTGATGAATTCTTGAGCTCGACCATTCAAAAGATGGCTACTGAAACGATCAACAAATCTCTAGCTAAGACGAAGAAGGTAAAGAAAACACCCTTACGAGCGAATTATGATGCAAGTGCTAAAACAAATAATGAAAATTCAACCGAAACAGTGTATAACTATATCATACCTTTTGAATTGTTTACATTATCCACTTTTCCGGAAGCCGATCGAAATAGAGCTTTGGGATCGGACCAACTTATTGAATATATTGGAAAAAACACTTTATTGGAATCTTTAAGCTTATGTCAGCTGAGAGACGATCAATTATTGGTCGTTTTTTCATGCTGTCCAAACCTCACCAAGATGAGAGCCATTGATTGGGATTCATTTCACATGGACCGAATGCCTGCGTTATCCAAGTTGGAGACCATTGAGATTTTCAATTGTTATTCGGACTCATTCTTTGAGTCTCATGAGTTTTTGGATAACATTAGAACATCAAGTCCACTCACAAATATTATCCTCTCTCTGTCGGACCTATCTGAAACAGATGCATCTACAGTTTCAATGTGGAGAGGTGCGTCTATCTTTTATGGGAAAAAGCAAATTCAAACAAGAAGCAATGATTGCAAGATCACTGTAAATATTAATCATATTTCGGATACAGACTACATATCTGACATTATTGAGGCGCTCACACAACTGGCCTATTTCAAAAGAGATGGTCTGTCCTTCCATAGACTCGTACAACGTTTATGTAGGGAAAATATCTTGTGTGTCAAACAATTAATGGACACTTTGTTTAGAGACTTTATGATTCCTTTGGAATGCATTGGTGGAAAACACAGACTCCCAGCAGCATTGTTTGAGTATGCTGTATATTTGGCTAATACTTACCAAAATGGAAGATTTTTGAGTAGCCAAGCAGGAATGGACGAATTGAAATCAGCTCTTGAAGCAGGACTTCAAATTGGTTCGTGTTTGGAAGAAGTTCTCTTTCAGCTTACTCCTGCTTTAATAGAACCCGCCTTAACATACTTGAACACTATTTATTCACCAAAGAAAATGGAATGTCTTGTGAGATGTTTATTCCTTCACACTCTACACTTTAGATCAGACCCTGATTTCTTTGTACCAGTTCTAGCATTTATTGCACATAACAATATTGACACAAGTTTGATTTTCTCACCCATTCGATGCGCATTGCCTCGTTATGAATCACAGAGAATACGATTTATTACCAATTCAGAGATGAAATATATTTCCATTCCAAGTGCTGCCTTAGTTATGCAATCCTCATTTCAATGTGCATCCTTGTATTTGGACTTGATTTCTCCTGATCAATTACTGTATCAGAATGAATTAGGTGACACGTTTTTGCATATTCCTCTCGTTTTTGAGGAACAATTGACATTGGAAATTGCCTTACAAAAACAACCCAAGCTGGCTCATATTTTAAATAATGAGTCACGTTCTGTGATGCACATTTTAGCAAGGAGTTACACCAACGCACCAATTCTTTATCGATTAATTACTCGCTATCATGCTGATATTTTTCACAAAGACATGTATGGCCAAACTCCATTTGATGACGACAATGAAGTTGTTTTGGACATGAGTAACAATAATGTGGTTCTTCTCACGATCCGAGATGCAAAAGGATATTTTGCTTTTAAATAAAACAAAGCTTATTACTCAACCAGTGGGTAGAACGGACGATAGATTAGGAAAGAACATCATCAAAAAAAAGCCTTGTTGAAATTTTTCAACGAGCACAATCATCGTCAAAGGCTTTTTGTTGGCAAACACGATCGTATTTTGGTTCTTTGCATCATCATTCCAATTGGTTTTTTCAAATTCTTTTTTAAAACCAACAAACCGCTTGAATAATTTTCAATACAACCACGGTCTCGTCCGATCATCAGCAAATTAAATAATTATTTATCCAAAAAGACAAAATGGTGAATAGCGATCATAAAGTGAAATGGAAGCTAAGAAGCACCGGGCAAGTAACACCACGTGCTGGCCATTGTGTTGCAAATATTCCTGGTACTCCTTTCATGTACGTTTTCGGAGGAAGTAATAATCATTTAGGAGACCAAATACCTTCAAAAGAGTTGGATGTTTATAATTGCACCAAAGAAGGATCTTGGAGAAGGGCTGGATTATCATCCAATGTAGAAGCTGAGGATGCTAAAATTCTACGACCAAAAGCAAGGATCGGAGCAGTCATGGTTGGAGTTGAAAGAGGACAAATGATCGGTGAATTGAGTTATGCTTCTACAACAATTTCCGAAAATCAAGAGCCTCATAATGCACTTCTTTTGTTCGGAGGCTGGCATGAAGATACCGTTCTAAATGATTTGTGGAAATTTAATTGTAAAACTGAAAAGTGGATCAATTTAACTGATAAGCAAAAGAATCCACCTCCAGCACGTTCAAACCATAGTGGAGTTCTCATTGATAACAATTTCATTATATTCGGAGGTCTTGGAGAAGAAATTGAAGATGTAAAGCAAGACATGTATATATTAGATATACAGACATTAATTTGGAGAAAAATTTCACTTGATGACACCGATGAGAAACCACCTGCAAGTAGATCACATGCTTGTTGTGTGCATAGGAAGTCAATGGTTTTATTTGGAGGAGGAACTGAGAAAGTATGCTTTAACCACCTCTATAAATTCGATTTAGAAGTAGAAAGATGGTTTAAGATTACCCCAAATAAGAGTGAAGAATTATTACAAGCAGAAAAAGACCCAACAAAACCGATATCCTCAAATCTTGTGCTCACTGAACCTGAACCTCGCATGTTTTCAACAGCTGTTGTTTATGATTTAGATAGAATGTTTGTATTTGGTGGCAGAAACGGAAAACAAAAGATTAACGAGGTTTGGCAATTTGATTTTGCAAATTTACAATGGAATTTGATGCAAGTTGGAGACTATCTAGAAGATGAATCCAACACTCTTGTCCTAAACGATGATGACATGGCTGGTTCTGATGACTTTGATCAACTTACTCTTCAAGCTTCCTTACCGACAACAAACAATGATGATGCTATGAACGATGTTTCACCTCTTCCATCTCCTTTAACTCCATTTTCAAGCAAAAAAAGACCAACCAAGCCAACACCAAGAACTGGTATGGGCATGGTAGTCGTCACAACAGGAAAGCAATTAGGTCCCAAGACCCAACGAATTTTAATATTTGGAGGAAATGACGTCAAGAAAAAGTTAAGCGAGGTTTGGGAATTAATTGTTAATCCAAGAGAGTTCTCAAAACGAGTTGCAGCATTGATAGAATCTCCCAATTTCTCAGACATTAATATTAAAGTATTTTAGATCCAAGTTCTTTAATTCCTCAACACAATTTTGTACATAATTCAATCGTTCAAATTCTTTTATTCTGCTTGAGTCCAAAATTAACGTTTCAAACAAAAAATGTCTCAACTCCCAGAAGGCTGGCGCATGAAAGAGTCCTCAAGCAGACCTGGTACTTTTTATTATATCAACAAGTATACAAACGAAACTCAATGGGAGCGTCCAACCAAGCCAGCAACACCAAGCGGATCATCAAGCCATGATCACTCTGCATCATCGGATCAACAAGTGAAAGTAAGCCATCTTTTAATCAAACACAACCAATCGAGAAGACCATCATCATGGAGAGAAGAAAAGATCACCCGATCTAAACAAGAAGCTACCCAGATTTTGAGTGGTCTCCGTGAAGAGATTTTCAATGCTAGTGATATTGCCGAGAAATTCAGTGAATTAGCATCAAAATACAGTGATTGCAGCAGTGCTAAGAGAGGAGGTGATTTAGGCTTCTTTGGTCATGGCCAAATGCAAAAGCCATTTGAGGATGTTTCATTCCGGTTGAAAGTTGGAGAATTGAGTGATATTGTTGAAACAGACAGTGGTGTTCATATTATTTACCGGTAAGTTTAATTTGCTTCCAGTTACCGTTAGTATTATTTAAATTTTAATATAATGTTAACAACAGAACGGCTTAAAAACCCTTGATGATAGATAAAACAGTTGAGTGAGCTCTTTTAAGACTATGAACATTTCGCTGCTGTTGTCTTCTCTGATCGGTAATAATTAAATTTTGAAATGTTTATTTCATAAAAAACCATTAATTTAAAACTTCAATAAATCCATAAAAGAATTAATCTGATTTCTTGAAATCTTCTGGGTGTGATGTCCAACGTTCCGAAGGGATTGAATAAAGTGGTGGACGGGCTCTTCTCTATAATGCGCAGCCGATGATGAATTTCAAGCATTTCACCAAATCACCACAGTTTGTCAATTATTAAAATCATGTACGTTTGCGTATTTTCAAAATAATAATTTACAATTATCAATCATGAATTGTTGTGAACGATATTCAACAAAGAAAAATTGATGATAGTGTCGGACACGATGATGACGAGGAGTGATGAACGTACCTCGAATGTTGCGCTGATTTTAAAAACTGGAATTGCTAATAAGAATACAACACCTAGAGCAATTTTAAAATTACGTGGAGCATTCTTTGAGTTGGTGTAATAACCTCCAGTTGGTGTCCAAACATCCTTTGGATAATTCATACGATGACCTCCCATTTTTTGTTTTAAAAAAATTAGAATTCTTTGTTTTGGAGATGTGGGATGCAACGAAAGACTTAATAATTTACATTTATTGGACGTTCCAATGGAAGGCTTTCAATTTTACACTTACATGATCCATTTACTTAGAGAGCAATTTGCAAGTGATCAGCAATAACATATTCAAACTGTTAATTCATTGCAAGTCAATGACATGCGTGAACATACCTTATGAGTTCTTGTCCAAGGGAAAGCCTTTGCATCCAAAGCAGCCTCTGTCACAATATCCAACGATGTTGTAAGTCCAACCCATTGATGATGAGCTCCTCTCACAAGAATATGATGAATCTTCTTTTTCATTAACAATTCAGCAACTTCATCTCTTTCCAAATCTTCACTACAAAATTCGAGATTCTTGTGCATAATTTCTGACACTGGTGTAGTGGAGGGCTTGGTATCTACAAATCCAGCTCTCACTAAATCACTCTTTGTTATAATTCCAACAGGCTCACCAGAGTCGTTAACGACAACTACACTTCCGATCTTTCTTTCAACAATGAGCTTACTAGCATCTGCAAGGGTTGCTGTTAGAGGAACGCTAGCGACCTGAGTGTATTGAATTCAGTTTGTTGAAATTTGTGAGTTCCATCATTTGGAATTTTCATGGATCATGAAGAAACAATAGCCATGTTTGAAAACGTGATCAGCACCACACGAATGAATATTTTCAGTTCATAAATATCATCATTCCGATTTTCAACGAACAATAATAATACAATCAATACAACCAAGATTTGTGGTAGTCATGTTCACCAAACAAATAATCATCCTGGTTCCACAACCAACACAAGCCAGAATATAATCTGTACATACTTTGTCCTTTGGGATCATAAAAAGCTTGACTTTCATTCTTCAATCGGATGGCTCAATCACAAGAGAATCAATTTTTTGATAGGTACAAATTTAGAAAACAAATCCTCTGAGTCTGAGTGTAAAGATGGATCACACTTATTATCACTTCTCTGATACAATGTACTTGAAATGTGTGGCTTCAAACAGATGCCAATACGAAAATATAACTTCTTTTTGAGATCGTTGTAAAGTGTGGAGGTAGAGAAAATGTAAAAGTACAAGACTTGGCAGTAGAAGCGTTTGTTTCGCATGACGTAAATCGTGATGACATCTCTTGGCTAATACTTTAAGAGTAGACTCTCTATTTTTGAGAATGTATCTGTTGCTAATGTCTTCGCCTCGTCTGACCATTAACGGGACTGCTTTCAGTAAAATATTTTCGTAATCTTCGATTTCACTAGTTTTCATACCTACATAATGAGCGAGATGATATGCTTTGGAATAGTAGTGGAGTTTTTGTGAAGGACCCATCCAAAGATACTTCTGAGGAACGTGATCCTTAATGAGAAGATGTGTTTCTGGAAGCAAGAATAATCCTTTGTCTGTTACGAGTTTGAAGAGTTTGGCTCGTTGATAATCATATGCCATAAGCTTAAACATTTGTTTTTCTTCCTCTGTTAAAGGTGACATAAATCCAAACACATTGTGCATTGATTTTTCGTTCAGGTCCAAAATATTTCCCTTCACAGCAGACTTTAAGATTAATGTTGAAAGGAAAGTCATTATGAACCTCCGTAACTTGTGTAGCTTGAACATTGGCTCATCTGTGGTTGACTTGGCTACGTTGTGTATTTGTACAGAATCTACACGATTTTCATATGTTTGCAATTTCTTAATTCTATCTGGGTTTGTAATGCCAATAAAAGATAGCACCTTTTGGGGAAATAGGTCTGTGTTTCCTTTTGCTGTTTGTGTATGAGTTTCTATATTTCGAAACAGAGATTGGACGTCCTGTAAGTTTTCACAAGTAAATTGATTCGCTAACATCCGAGCTTCCAATTGTTGAATGTTTCTGATGTTGAGGTGAGTATTCGATTCTTCAGTATCTCCAAAAGAGTCATTTTCTGACCATTTAAGAAAATCTAAACAAACGTTCTTCCGCTTCTTAGAGAGGTTGGATGCACTTCATAGAAGGCAACACCCATGTCCTTTGATGAATTGTGTTGGTCACTCGGTATGAAACTGTATGATGGTTTAAGCAACAAGTAGTGGGCTATTCTGTGAGTGTAATTGTACAAAGACAAGTTGTGTTGAGCATGTTGTTTCAGTTTGGGCTTTTGTACCTCTCGCAGTTCTTCACATTGTTTAGTGAATGTTTTCACAATTGGCTAAGAAGAGATTTGGCTTCCTTATTATATTCAAATACATAATGATAAATGTCTCTGTGTTGATCCAACAGAGATACTTGTTGAGCTAACGGAGAAAAATCGCTTTCTGCAACTTCAGCTGCACCAACAAGCCGGGTGTCTTTAAAGTAGGTGGTACATTCCTCCAAGGTTCTAAGCAAATCATTGTTTACTTTTGATGTCCTACTTCCTATCACGTATGCCTTAATTATTTTCTTAACGTTCCATGTGTTTAAAAAGTCCAAACTCTTTGATGACTCTCGGATAGAAAATAATCCATCTCCTTCCAATATTGATCCAAAACAGACTTTGTTTTGTTGACATCATTCCAACACGTTGGTATATGGCGGCTTGATTTTGAAATTTTGAAATAAATACTAAAGGTACATTAATAGTGTGATTAATAAGTGATTGCGGTATTATTACTGGAGACCTTGTCAATGTGTCAAGAATAGGAATATCCTCTTCAGATATGTTTACATGTTCTAAATCATTGATGTCACCATCAAAACTTGTAAAGAAATATGTTAAAATATTAGAATCTTGCCCTGTTGTAAGATCGTTTGTAACTTCTCGTGATTGGTTGGAATGTGCTTGAGCGAGTGGTAAATTAAATCTGGAAATTGAAAGAGGGTTGTCCATGAGCAGTAGTGCATCAATTATTTTTTCTTCTTTCAATTTCCTTCCATAGAGAGTTTGTAAAATGGTTTGTTGCTGTTTCACAAAGATATCGGGATCCAAAATTCCATTCGTTCTGAGTTTGTCATGCATATGAAAAAACTCAGTCTGAAATACTTTGATTGTTTGCATGAGTTCATCTGAAAAATTAGGTTTGGTTTTTTGTGAATCATATTAGGTTCGTTATGATGACTCTTTTCTTTTGCAGATTGCAAATATTTCATCAAGAATTTAGAAGGAAATTTTCTATTGAGTAGCAAATGTTCAAGTCTTTCTCTCAGCTTTTCAACTCGGAGCGTCCATTTTCGTTCAAATTGTTCAACAAACAGCAATGAATGACTTAAATAATTGGCTAGCTGATCCAATTGCTCTAACAAGTAAAGCCTCATTTCACTCTCAGTTTTGCGGAATTTATTCCATAGAACCATTCCGATATTCGATTACGTACATTGTCATCCTGATGATGATGACTTGTTCTTCTTACCCGTCCCTTCACCAACAATTCATGTTCCACAACGCTCATCTTTTCATTTTTTTTGGAATGACCCTCAACGACAGAGATTCTTCAACTTTTCCCATTTTGAAAGGATAGTCATTGTTTCAATAGATTGTACAGCAAATAAATTTCTCTCCTCCCGACCTGCACAACAACACTCACTAAAAAACAAATTTTTATGGAACGACTCAGAAAACTTGAAACTATGTTCATGAAACAATGACGAGCCGTTCAATAAATTGTGCAGTACAAATCCAGTCTCAACTACACATCTCATTTCACACCAAAATTATTTGTGATGCAATGAACCTTACACCATTCAAAAAGCTTGTTTTGGCTCGTTGCAATTTCTATCGCACTAAAAAAATTTTCTTTACATTCTTTTTGCTCTCTTTAAATTCTTCTTCTTATTGAAGAGATGCACTCGGGAGGTGAAATTGAGTGGCTTTTTCCACCACACACTGGTGATGATTCATCAACAAAGGAACAGCAAGAAACAGAGCTAGTGAAACAAGAAGATGCCAATCATTGCAAAAAGGCTTGTATGAGCAAGAAGGCTTATTGGAGCAAGATGCTGCTTCGGAAAAAACACGAGCGGAATGTTGGATCGGAGATTAATGAGTTGCTCCAAAGCAGCAATAATGAAGTCTCTGGAGCAGCGTCATCATCATCAGATTCATCTTATGATAATCAACAAGAGTCTCTTGCCGATGATGTAATATTGGCTGTATTAGATCAACAATATTCATCTACTTCCTCTCATTTGCAAGGAATTAAAATAGAAGAGATTTTTATGGATGATTATGTTGAAACATCAAATACATCTTTGCCTTGCCGATCTCAAACAAACACAACCTCATCATCCTCATCATCAACAAATGGCAGCAAAGATTCTCAACCAACTTGTACAAAACCCAAAGCAGAAATTATTTTGGATGACTTGAATGATCGTCACAGACAAATGATGCACATCGTGAAAGGTGTGGATGCTGTTGCACACAATTTTAACTTAGCTCCTACTACTCCAGATCAACGATATCTGAATCACTATATCCGTGACAATGATGATTGTAGCTCTAGCTCTACAAATTACTCAAACGGAAAAGCCAGAACGTTAAGCGATCAAGAAAGTGATTTCAGCTCGGAAAGAGGAGATTTTGAAAGAGAGGTATTCTTTCAGTTCTCTAATGACCACCTTAACAACTATGTGTTTCTACCCGATGAGTTGTGTTACAAAATATTTTCCTATCTCGATTATGAATTCGTAGTTTTGACAATTTCTTGTGTAAATAGACAGTTTTTAAGCGTTAGTAACAGTGGAGGATTTTGGATTCCTTTCATCAAATCAAGAAAGTGTTCCGAATCCATCAATATTTTATCACATTATCTGTACAGTGCTCCTTCGATTCGTCCACTAACTCAACAATCCAAAACAGAAGATATAACAACTAATATCACAACTGAGACAGCAACAGATCCTACAGAACAAGAAATCACAGACAATATTCCAACAATATCACAAACAACAGACGTAGTTTCATCCCATGCTTTGAATCATGATCCAGTCAATCACTTGACAATTTATAGAACACTCTTCTTGAGCTTCCTGTACCACAAACGTAATTTGAAGCGATGGTTCTTCATCACAGAGGCCAATTATTATTTATTGTTTTTAGCTCCATTGACTTTGCTTACTTTCCTTTTCCTTGCCTCATACGTATTTCCTGTATTTCCTCAATTTTACAAGTTAAATTTATTTCAAGACAACGTCGAAAAGTCCATTCCTAATCCATCACTATTAACTGATAATCCACTTACTCGTAGACCTACCATATATATAGAAGGTATTGGAGAAACATTTTCTAAATTTGCACTTGGTGTATTTGGACTTTGCGTATTGTTAATTATTTGCTCGTTTTTATTAATTAAGCCCTTAACAACGAGAGTGCTAAAGGCCTACAGCCTAACAAATATTCCTCCAGAGGATTGTTCAATGCTCACTAAATCCATTATATCCAAGATCAAACAATCAGACTCAGAGAAGACTTTAATTCGATCTCCAACTGAAGTGCTCCCACTCTCTCTTCGAAAAAAATTATTCAGAAATATTTTAGGACACGAAATGCTTTGGACTCAGGAACATTATGTGAGAAATATGATGCTATTACCACTATTAATTTGTATTCTATCAGTCATGTTGAAAAATTTTATTTATATTCCAGTTATCTCAGAGAGTTATCATGTAGTATTAAGCTCACCTGCCTATTTAATCATTTTAGTTCTTATCAAAAAACATTGGTACATGGTTTTTAAAACACAAGGATTCTTTTCCATACTGATTTGCTATTCATGTTTCCACTTTTTAATGAATCAACTCAAGTGGGATATGCTGATTAGACCAATGTTCTATTTTCTCGGCCAAGTCGTTGGAGTGTGGGCATACATCATTCTCAACTTTTGGGTATTGGTAAGTTTTTACTGTACTGTAAACACATTCGTGACTCATATTTGTGAATGAATAGGGAGGACCAGATAGTAGTGGTATTCCATGTGCAAATTAGAATTCAGAGATTGTCAAATTCGAAGAGAGATTATTTTTTCATTAATTTCTTATATCTATCCAAAAGATTTGTTTTAGGCGTTGTATCGATATCAGAATGTTTTTCTAGAGATGTTCGTGGTTTGTCATGAGATAGCATTTCAAATTCCTGCTCGATATCGGAATCCAGAGTATAGTGTTCTGTATTCACTGATGCTGTGGTGTGGCCACTTGAAGGATTTGGTAGTAGCGTTAAAAGTTGAAGCATGGCAGATTTGAGAGTTGAAATAGCATCCCAATATGTGCCATCAAAGGGGAAAATAGTACTGTTGCTTGCATTATGTGAGAAATCAATCATAAAATCAAAGATGGCGAAAATGGTTGGAATGTTAGCTTTCACAATAATGTAAATAAAAACAGGGAGTAGCTTGTGCTCAAATTCTTGATACTGGATACTGGTATGCTTTGTTGCAATGTCTACAACGCTCGAAAAGACCTCCTTTGCAAGCTTAATTTTCTCACTAAGCAATTGCGTCTTGCTAATTTCCCTTAGACGATTGATTATGGGCTGATAAAGATTTTCACAACATAGTTGAGGATCTGTGCCCAAATCAAGAAGTGAAATAGTTCGAAATTGGGTCAATCGTTCTTGAATTAATTTTGCTTCATGCTTGTTCAAATATAATGCCATAATTTCCTTTTCAATTTTGATGATCGTTGTTTGGCAAATGGCGCTGTAGAGAAAGTTCCTGTTCTTGGAAAGCACTAAAGAATGTTTCCAAAACGAATCCACTAAATAAGTGGCAAAGTTAGCACAAAATTCTTTCACATACAAGACTGCAAAGTCTGCTGTAATTGTTGGTGTTTCTTCTGAAAATGAAAAATCGAGTTTAAACTTGTGTGCAAATTTTTCAATAAGAATAGAGATTGGATGATCTTGAACATTCATAACATATCCAAGAATAAAGTAATAAAGATCTTGACTTTGGTTGATAATGTTCAATTGATTTAGCCATTTGTGTTCATAGTCTTGAGCTTCTTGAGAAAGAGAGGATGCATGAAAATTGTCATGAATGAATTGAAGCCACATGGCATCATAGCCTTTGCTTTCAAGAAGCGCATTTGGTCCAACGTCTGTAAAAGACTCCACATCATTGTTCATGCCTCCACTTGAATCATACATGTTGTTTTCAATATAATTTTCAATGACGTCCACTTTCCTATGGAGAGTATTTGCAAGCTCTAATTCTTTGTTATAGAAGTGAGCCCGTTGTTGATCAATGTCAATGAGCTCCTTTTCTGTTTGTTCCTTCATTCTTGCTTTTTCTTGAAATTTTCTCTTCATTTTCAAATAATTCTATCATGTGAAAAGTTAGTAGCTAAGTGAGTTTGTTAGAGAACAACCTTACCTCTCCACTTTGCTGTTGTGAGTGGTCATTAATTCGTTTCATGAGCTCGTTTTGTTCTGCGTCCAATTTCATCAATTTTGCTTTGGTAAGGTTGAACTGTTCGTTCAATCTTTCAATCGGAACTTGATTTGTAGCAGTAATTCCTTCGCTCGATTGTTGTTGAGTATTTAAAGATGACGAGTTATCTGCTCCCAAGACCATACTTCTTGCATTATTGATCCAATCATAGAAAGGTTTCATTTTCGGAGAACTGGAAAGGGTTGTTGGATTGGAAGAGCTGCTAGTTGTTGTTGTTGTTGTTGTTGAATCAGAAGTGATTGTATTCATTCTATTATTTTGTTGTTGGAGTAAAAGTATCGTTCTCTCGGAACACTTTTCATAGATCATTTTCAACCGATCCACATAGTTGGAATTAAATAGACCGTTCAATACATCCTTTGATTGCAGCATGCTTCCAATTAATTGAATAGCCTTTCCATAGTTTGCAAGAGCTTCATAGAGTTGATCGGAGCTCGTATTTGATGAGTTCATTTTCTCTTCATAATTTAACGCATAATGTACTTGAGAATACACTTGCTTAATCAACTGATCCACTGATGATGATGATGATGGTAATAAAACCGACATGGTAGCTCCGTTGTTAACTTTAATTCTAAAAAACTCAATCCGAGATCTAATGATGAGAATCTTTTCACAGCTTTTTTTTTCTAATTTCTTTCCATTTTCTCAAGTGAAGTTCCTTACTGGAATGAGGTAATTTAATTAACCAGGATCGAAGGATTGGATCGGATTGCTCCAGCGTTTATTTTTGAACTTTCAGTCAATCCGATCCAATCCCAAAATCCGATCTATTTAAATTTCCTCAATGGAGTCAATGTTAATGCCGGTCACTGGAGCCAAGACAAATTCTCCAAATGACCAAGCATGTTTGAAACAATGTGTGTTCAAGTTGCACCATGCACTTGTTCATTCTCAAACACGCATGCACGCTCAGCAGAGAGTGGTTTACAAAAAAATGAAACAAAAGCAAAAATCGTCGTCTTCAAAGGCTACCTCATCGCCAAATGCAAATAATTCTCAACAACACAGCCATTCATCTTTGCAAAAGGGTGCTACTACTTGTTCTTCAGAAATGTTCAAAAAAGCCCAGGAAAAACTCAGAGTAAAAGGAGAGGTTCATCATTAGGTCAAAACAAAACCACACAAGAATCTCATCCAAATGCTTCCTTGGATCAAAGTGTTCCGAAAGAAATGACAGAGTCAGCAACTACTTCATCACCGATCAATGAAAAGTCTATGATTACCAATAAGGAAGAGCAAGCATTGCCTGATGCAAATATTAAAGAATACGAAGATGATGCACAAGATCCCATGGAAAGATCACAAGAAATTGAAGCTCTGCAATCTATTTATTGGGAAGACTTCAAGTTATTAGCATCGGATCGATTTGAAATTACAATTCGTGGAAAATTAGAATTGACTTATCCTTCACCAGATAACATCACTCAAGGCCATTTCTCTGTATCGGAAATTCCATTTAAAGCGTCACACATTGGTTTGTCACTAACAGTTACACACGTACATGGATATCCATCTAAAACTATTCCCAATATTGAATTACTTCCTTTGTACAAGATTGAAAGTATTTTAGATCTGCTAAACAAGTCATCACAAGTCTATGCCCAAGTGAATTTAAAAAAAGAGTTGTTGAATGAGGAGCTTGCGGCTGTTAAGCAATCTCTCCTAGAAAAAGCAGAAGGCATGATAGGATCCGTCATGGTCTATGCTCTCGTTCAAGAAATTGAAGAGTACTTGGAAAAGAATAATGTTAGTGCAAAAGAGCAGAGGAACAATTTTTGTCTATTCAAGAAGAAGGAAGATTGTCAAGAGCTCTGTCATTTTACGTGTGACCAAAGACAGTGAGATTGAAAAGGAAGAAAACAAAGCTTCAGTCAAAATTGATGCAAAATATGGTAAGGAAGTTGAGCCAAGTCAAGTCTCTGAAAAAACAATTCAAATTCAAAAGAAAAAAGTCAATAGCAAGGGAAATGTTAGCTTGGAAAATATTCAATTTTTCGGAGTTGTTGAAGGCAGAATTACGGTCAACCACTTTGTCAATCAAGCCTCAGAATATTCTCAAATTCTTCCTCGTGAGAGTTATTGGCTAAATCGATATTGTCATGCTTCTGCTGCAGAAAACAGTTCTTGTTTTATGGCTTTTGGAGGAATCTTTAACGGATCGTTTAGTAGAGATTTAGTTTGTTACAAAAACGACAGAGCATTCCTGCAACAAAACAATCCTGCAGTTTTTGCAAGAATTTTCCATACGTTTAATTATATGGCATCTTTGAACGCATACGCTCTCATTGGTGGTCTTGGAGAATCAGGAGAAGCTTATAACGATTGTTGGATTTATTCCTCAAATTCGAGTTGGATTAACGCGAAACCTATTCCTTACAAATGCTATATGCACACGACTAGCATTACAGGAGATAAAGTTGCAGTATTTGGTGGCTTCGATGGAGAAAATTATATTGGAACTTTAAGCATTGGTTTTTTTGGTGACATTATTGCAAACAACAGCATTGATAATCGATGGAGTGTCATGAAATATCCTCATGGGCCCTCTCCCAGAGCTGGTTCTTCATCTTTTATTGTGAACGATGTGGTTTACATTTACGGAGGTAAAGACGCCTCCACTTATTTCAACGAGATGTATTGCTTTGATTTGAATATGAAATATTGGATCAGTGTGATTCAATTTGGTACTTGCCCTTCTGTTGCGTTTGCTGGTAATTTTTGCATCGGAAACAATTCCAACTCGATGCTTCTTTATGGTGGATATAATGGAATGGAATGGAACAAACGGTTGTATGAATTCTCAGTGACTACAAACACATGGTCACTTCACGTGAACAGTCTCATAGATAATAGAATTGCATTTTGTAGCGTTCATGAAGCGTCCAAGGGGACGTTAGTCATCACTGGTGGAAATGAAAACAAAACAAGACTTAAGGGATGAAACATTTGGAACAAACAATGCTACAAAAAGAAATGCCACATCAAAGCGACAGTCTACGATTTTTATCCAGTGTCACTAGGTACACCATGTCAAAGTCCAATGTGGGAGAGGCATATTTCAATTGGATTACAACCCAAAAGGAAAGAGACTCTGATCTCATCATTAGATACTTTTCGAAAGATGAAAATGGCTATCTCGAAGAACAACATATTTTGTGCAATCGTTTGATTTTGCAAGGCAATCCAACATTTAGCAGGTAAGGAGTTATATTTAGGCAATTTATGTTTCACACGCTACTATTAGAATCTTGTCTGTTCAAGCAATCAGAGAAAATAGAATTGAAATGACTTCAGAATCTGATACACCAATAATTCATCCCAAAACGTATTTAGACATTCAAGCTCACACAGGATTTGAGGATATTCCGTTCAACATTCTATTGGCATGTGTTCAATTTTTATACTCCAACGCATTTGAGAGCAAATTAGTGACCACTGAAAAGGATGCTCTTGATCTCTATGATTATGCCAACAAATTCAAACTCAAGCTTTTGTGTGAACTTTTGTGCAATTGTCCAACATCTACCTCCTTTGAGAGTACTATTATTACAGATCTTGAAAAACTTTTACCATCATTCTTAAATGTTATCCAGTGTCTGCTGAGGAACAAGAATTTCTTAACACAAGAGAGGATTTTGAAATGTATAACAGCGGTGAAGATAACAAGCTTGGAGACATTGGTATTGTCAGAATTGTGGCTCCAGATTTGTATTCAAAGATCAAAGTAGAGAGAGCAAGATATATCAACTCAATTAATGCAGCACAAGTAGAATCTCCAGAAGAACCACCCCATGATGAAATGATTTTAAACACAGAAGATCTCTCTAATGAAGAAGTCATGGACGACGAATTTTTGAACAATCTCGACGAATATGGAAATCATAGCGATTGGATTCATGACAAGAAGATTCAAATTCCTGAAGATGAACAAATTGAATGGAAGTGTATTTTTGCTCACAAAGGAATTTTAACAAACAGATCTGACTTCTTTTCCAGCATGTTTGAAATGAACTTTGTTGAGAATAGAAATAATGAGATTAGAATTAATGACACTTCTATTCAAACCATTGAAGCAATAATTTATTGGATGTATACTGGAAAATTTCCAAATGTGCAATCTGAAAATGCTATTGAATTATTTGTGGCATCCTGTCAATTCAACCTGGCTCCTCTAAAAGATTGGTCAAGACTGTTTATTCAAAAATATATTGACTTTGACAATGTTGTCACAATTTTGGAAATGGCAGAAGTTCTCGGAGACGTCGATTTGAAATCTTGCTGTGTCTGTTTTATGGCCAATAGATTTGATATTATTTCCAAAGATCCCAACTTTACTCAACTACCATTTAACCTACAACTTGATGTTAAGGCTCTCAACAATAAGATTAAGATCAAATCCAGGAAGAAGAAGTCTCCACAACCTCCAAGCAAACCTTTACGATAAGCAATCATCTGCAGATTGTCGCTTGATCGCTTAATAAAATTGTGGTGAATGTCTCAAGTCCAATTTCGTTCTTTTTCTATTTGAGAATCCTTTGAACTGTGCTGATCGCTAACGACAATGATCATCACGGACACTAATCTGGTCTCGTGTGTGATTTTCACAGTCTTCTTAGAGCACGATGCCTGATATTGCCAACCTTCACTGCACCCTATTGTCAATTTGCTTTACAGGAAGAGATATCACTCTTTCAGAAGTTGCAGTTGCAAAATCTTTTAAATTGCAGTCGTTGCGAGTGCATGATTCTGAAAAAAAAATGCAAAAATCAATTTCCAAACATTCCGTCAAGTCCGTTTTGGCAAAGAGTAAGTAGAAGAAGCTTTGAGCGAGAGGCCTCTGATGATGGAATTAAACCGTAATGAACTAACTGCTCACGATTCATGATCAGTTGCTTCTAATCAACAACGTAATTTCAAGTTGGATCTGACTGAGGCCAAGAAGCCTACTCATCTTCTTCCTGATGAATATGATGGTATCAAGTTGGTGACTCCGGAGAGACCTGGACCAAAGACTAAGGAACTCTTGGAAAGAATGAACAAGATTCAAGTAAGTACTAGAGAAGATTTATTGGGCAAGCCTGGGAATTAATCCTTTGGCTTTAATCAAACTATTTGTTGAATATTTTTAATATTATTGAATATTATTTAAAATAATATTACATAATCCTATTCGTGTCATGTTGTAACGATCATACTTGCCATGTCATATATAGGACATGAGAGCAGCTCACTTTGTAGCCAATTTTGAAAAGAGCAAGGGCAACTTTATTGTCGATGCCGATGACAACATCATTTTGGACACATTTACTCAAATTTCTTCTATTCCTCTTGGTTACAATCATCCATACTTGATTGAAAAGTTCCACAAGGACCCAAGATATGCTACCAGCTTCTTGAACAGACCAAGTTTGGGCATTAATCCTCCTCACAATTACATTGATATTTTGCAAGAGTCATTTGCAAGAATTATGCCAAAGGGTATGACTGATGTTGTGACTTTGAGCAGTGGAGCCGAAGCGTAAGTAGTAGTGATTCTCAATATGAATTTATTAATGCAGTTGTACAAAAAATTTACACTTTTCGAAACCATCGTGTGAAATAATGGTGTGAAAAAATAGCAATGAAAATGCATACAAGGTTGCATTCTGTAGATACATGCAAATCAAGAGAGGAGGTAAATCTGCCTCCAAGGAAGAAATGGATTCTTGTGTGTTGAACCAAAAGCCTGGAACACCAAACTTGTCAATTTTGTCATTTAAGAATTCGTTCCACGGAAGAACTCTTGGTGCTCTCACTGCTACACACAGCAAGGCTATCCATAAAGTCGACTTCCCTTCATTCAATTGGCCAGTTTGTGACTTCCCACAATTGAAGTATCCATTGGAGCAATACGAAGCTGAAAACAAGAAGGAAATGGATAGAGTTTTGGAGCAAGTTGAAAAGACAATCAAACTTTCACACTCACCAAATTCACCTTGGGGTGAAGTTGCTGGCTTGGTTGTTGAACCTATTCAATCAGAGGGTGGTGACAAGCATGCTATGCCATACTTCTTCAAAGAATTGAGAAGAATCACTAAAGAAAATAATGTTGCATTTATTTGTGATGAAGTTCAAACTGGTGGAGGTGCTACTGGTAAATTCTGGGCTCATGAATATTGGGGTTTGGGAGAAAATGGTCCTGATATTGTCTGCTTCTCAAAGAAATTGCAAGCTGCTGGTATTTTCCATCGCCCAGAATTTAAGATTGATCTTCCATACAGAATTTTCAACACCTGGCTTGGAGATTATACTCGTGCTTTGCAATTGGGTGCCATTATTGATGTTATTGAACGTGATCGTCTTTTGGATTTAGTGAATCAAACTGGAGCTTACATGATGAAACATATGACTGAATTATCAAAGAGATATCCAGGAAAGATTGACAATGTGAGAGGTGCTGGTACTTTTATTGCCTTCGAGTCGAATAAGCAACCTGAGTTAATGAAGCAAATGCTGCATAGAGGTGTTGAAGTTGGATCGTGTGGTACAAATACCATTCGTCTTAGACCAATGTTGACTTTCCATCAATGGCATGCTAATATCTTCCTTCAAAATTTGAATGAAACTTTGGAGAAGCTCTAAAATAAATAATTTATTGCTAAATGTGTGAATTTATTGGTGCAATACAAATTGCCAAGTGTTGCATCTTCATCCAGGAAACTTTGCAGTTCTTTCAATGATTCATCTCCATTTAAGGGCTGTCTTTCATTTCTCCTCGAATGCCGATATGATTTCAGCTAATTTGACGTGAAAATTATATTATGCCTTCAACCCATCACGTTAAACAACACTCTATCCTAATAACACTCTGTCAATTAAGCAATCAAACATTTTATCAATATTAGACCCATCTTTAGCGCTCACTTCAAAATACGGCATGTCATTCTGTTGGGCAAACTCGATACCCTCTTTTTCTGAAATCACTCTCTCACGTATCAAGTCTGTCTTGTTTCCGACAAGTACAGAGGTCACATTCGACTGTGAGAACTTTCTAACCTCTCTAAAATAGTCAAAAGGTGAGTCAGTGTGAACACAGACAAAATCATTCAATCATTCAAACTTACTTGATCCATTTTTGAACATTCATCAATGCATTTTCATCAGTTAAATCAAAGACAATCACTACTGCAGGTATTCCCTTGTAGTATGAGTTGGTAATCTTTTTTTCATAAACATGTTCATGAGAACTATATTTCTAAATCGCCTCAATCAAATACCTACCGTTCGGTATCGCTCCTGACCAGCTGAAAAATGTTGAAACCAAGAAGAGCGATTAATAAGGTATGGACACATTTTCCAAATCATGCAACCAACATTTGACAATTAATTCATCCATGACTTACCAGTATCCCAAAGTTGCACATCAATATTTCTTTCTCCTCTCTGTAAACATTTTAATTTAAAATCAACTCCAACTGTGGATGGTATGCCTTCATCGAAAATGCCATCCGTATACTTTAACACAATGGATGATTTTCCAGAATTGGCTTCTCCAATTATTAATACCTTGACAATTTCAGGAACTCTGACCATTTTACATACGTGACATGTTGTAACATGAACGAGACTTACTTTTTCGGAGATGAACCATTGTGCTCTGCTGTCAACGTTGGAGAATGCAATTTCGAATTCAAAATTGGCGCTAAATTAACTTTTTGTGTAGAGAGTACTGTATTCGAGCTGTATGACAGTCCATTCATGGATTTGGAAAGGTCGACGTCTTCTTGAGTTGATTCACAGTCATTCTTCTTGGCATTGTTCCTTCTCTTGTTGAACGGTAAGCAATTGCCCATTTTTGTATAATTCCGAAATTTTGCAAAAGTTGATATATAATTTAAACAAATATTGTAGTTTTGAATGATGAAACTCGAGTTGATGATTACTTGTATGCTGCTGTTGGCAAGGAAAAATCTTTGGACACGAATCGGAAGTGTTGTTTAATTTTTTTCAAGTTTGGCTCTATTTCTGTTGATGACTGACAGAAATACAAATGTAGAAGGTCTGAAATAGCTTTTCTAAAAAGCAATAACTAATTCATAGATACAAAATAGTAAATGAAGTAACGTTCCAAAAGTATAAACAATAAAACTGTCTCTTAATTATACAAGTTGATGTCATTAACAGGAGGTCCATAAAAGTATCTCCAGCTGTAAGGTGCTTTCCATTCCATGCTGTTGAAATGGTCTAATGGTGTTGAGTTGATGTTTGTTCTTTTGAGATATGGCAGCAATATCTCTCCTGTAACAGCCTTGCATAATGAAATGCCATGTATTGAGTTTTCACCTTCGTTGCAAATCATAAAAACAATGACACGATTCAACTTTCTCACAGTACCATTATTCTCTCCTTGACTCGTTTCGTCGTTTTCAAGCAATTTTGAGTTCACAGCGCTGAAAAACAATGGGTATGTAGCCTTATCAATTCTTGGAATGGTTGTCAAGAATGAGGTCAATGGGAATTGAGAATCATTTGTCAAATTTGCGTCAAACGCTAATGATGCCAATCCAAACTCCATAGGAGACTCTTGAATACGTTGAATAAATCTGTCATCCTGCAGACCTGCGTTTGCTGAGCTGAGTGATATAAGAGTTTGTAAATTCTTCAAAAAGTAATCACCATCATCATCATTTCCCTTTGAAATCCATTCGTTCAAATCTCTTACAAAAAGTGTTGGATAAATTACGATGGATCTGCAATGAATCAAAATAATATTAGCTCCAACAGGTTGATCATTTTGATAAAATTGTAAAGAATAAACCTCTAATGCAGAGTGTAATTTTCCGTGATGGGTTTCAGAAGGAGCAAAATATGGATCATTGCCAACACAACTCAATAGGAATCCAGTCTCCAAATATCCGAGTTTGTTAATCTTTGAAAATGCTTTTTCCGAATAGCTTGAAATTATAAAATCCATAGCTAATTGTCCAACGTTACCAATGCTCGGAATAGAAATCATACACATCTCTGCATTGTGGAGCAAGTTTTTGATCTCACTTTCGCTCAAGCCTTCCGATGAAATACAAGGAAAGAATTTCATTTTTTTAAATTTAGTTTCAATTCCCAAAGAACAGCACGAAGATAAAGTGTAACAGTATCTTATGAAGCAACTTTCATATCATAAGAAAACATCCACATGCCAATCTTGAAAATCTCCAAATGGGTCTCAATTCAAAAATTCAAAAACCAAAATTCTTGCTAATTTTTTGTACAAATCATTTTCTCGTCATGCAGCCAAAACTCAAAACTCAATCTACCAACTGTGTACGTATCTGCGAATCATTGATCTCGACCTTTGGTTTGCTCGAAGTACTCATATAACTCATTGATTGTTTGTTCTCCTCCAGCTCCTCTCAATACACGCTTGAGGCTTCATGACTCTCGAACATTTTGCATTCCGACTTGAAAACATTAAGAACATACCTCACAATGAACGAGCGTACCAACAATTAGGGAAGTTTTGAAATATAATGTTTTATAATAAATTTATTGCTTGGTTTCTTCTTCTTCTTGTTGTTCAGCAGCTTCTTCTTGTTCACCTGCAATGTTGTAGTATCTCAATTCATAAGCTCTTTGGTTTTGCTTTGAAACAACGTGCAACCAATCTCTCAAGTTGTTCTTCTTGAGGTATTTCTTGGTGAGGTACTTCAAGTATCTCTTTGATGTCTTAACTTCAGTGAAAACATAAAGTCTGTTCAATTTCTTGTGGAATCTGACCTTTTCCTTCAAGTTACCAGCCTTTCCGTCGACTTTGAACTTTTCTCTGAAGTATTTCTCGAAGTGATCCAAATCCATGATACCATCTTGAACTGGAACACGGGCATCAATGTGGAACTTGTAGGTGATTTGTCTGGTCTTCTTTTCACCCTTGATTCTCTTTCCAACGGTTGGAGTGGCTCCCTTTCTCACCATTTCTAATCATTTTGGGATGAAATATTGTTGACGAAATATTTGTTAGATGTTCAAGCGAGCGAGATGAAACTAACCTGATATATTTTGGCTATTTTTTTTCAAACGAATTTTTTTAAAATATCAGTCAACCGAAGAACAAAGTTTACAACGTAGGTATAATTTCTTCTTCCTCCTTCTTGGTTGTTTCCACTCATATTACAATCTGTTTGTTGATGGATCGTCCTTGTTGTGTCATTCAAGTAAAAGCAACCATTATGTTGTTGGTAATAAACCCAAAGCACGTCTCCTTCGTCAAGTTGTTGGTCAATATTGAAAAAATATGTTCCGAGTCTCTCGCTTCTTACTTGCACCAGTAAAAGTCAAACAAACCACAGGATTGGTCGGATTCCCTGTCCAACCAAGATGGAGGGAGATGATCTTGAAACTTTGCGATGATGGATTGAAACTATTGGAACAACACAACATTCCAAAAGGAACCTTTTTCAGGACTTCAAACGAAAATAACTTTAAATATTTCCAACAAGTAGTAAAATCAACTGATGATTATGAAGTTGTTGAAGACACATTAAATAGAGGACAAGTAGAGGAAATTATTGTTTTATTGGAAGATCAACTTGATTTAATTCCAAAGATGGCCGAGTGGAGGGCATGGGAAGTTGATGCCGATGATGTCAAATTAGAAAAAGATGACGCTGAAACACTTGAATATGATTGTGATATACCAAAGGACCACGTTCCACCAAAGATGAAGTTCCTCACATGGGATGGTATCTATCAAACAGAATATACACCAGAGGAAGTGAAACAAATGTCAGAGGCTGCCAAACAACAACAACAATAGAGCGAGCATCCAAATATACATCAATTTATTTCAATTATTGGACACTACTGATGACATTCATGATTTAAATAATTATTAATATTGAATTACTTCACTCCGACAGTATCATTCAATCATCAAACATTATTTTGGATTTTTAATATACTATTCCCGTTGGGATGTTTGTATCAACAAATTGTTTCCACTCTTTTCATCTTTGTTCTATTCATGCATAGCGTTTGGTAAATGAACCAACAATTCATTGGCATGTTTAAAAGTACATTAAAAAAATGGTGTTTGAGAAATACGACTCGTGGAGAAACCATCCAAAACTCAATCCGATTCCAACGTTTCGAAATCCTAGAAACTGGGGTCGTTTGTGGCCAGGAGCAGGATGGGGTATTGCAGCATTTGGTGTTTTTGTTATTCTTGAAAAAGTTGGAGTAATCCCATCATCACACGGTCATCACGATCATCATCATGGTGATGGACACAAGAACGACCATCACTAAATTATTAATAATGTTTATTTAGTCAAAGAATAGCCTGCTTTAATGTTTCTAGACAGTGATTGGAGATTTATTGTTGTCATCGATTTTCATTAAAATATTCTTCAAATTGGATTTTAGTAGCTAATTTATTACTGAATAATTCATCACATATTCCAACATCATTCCGAAACTCTGGCATCATTGTTCATATCCAAAATTCTACCTTCTAAATTTCGTTTTAAGAGAGCTCCGATATAAAAAAGGCTACAGCACTGCAGGTTCCCAAGTTGTCTCCAACCTCAGTACTGATGCAGCTCGACGATGCTTAACTTCTCAAATCGGACGGGATGAGGTGCATTCATCGTGATATGGCCGTAGCCATTCTTATTCTTCAATTTGTTCTTTTAATCCACATGTGTCTGAAATCTCTTTTAACTTGTTGAGTGAAATTAACGGTTAGCGAGAGCTCAATCTTTCAAATCTACAGACAAGATCACTGCCAACAAACACCAACACTAATTTGCTCTCGAAGGTCTGTGTGCTGAAAAATCAAACAAGAAAAAACATCAAAAAATGACAAACACCTCCATTCCTATTCCCGAGCACAATTCCGTTATTTTAGAATCCATCAAGAAATGGTTTTATGAAATACCGTTTGCCACGAGATGTATTTTTGTGGTATTGACAGTTGTATTTTTCTGTTTACAATGTGTTTTTAATTGGCCTGAAATTGATCATGTTTGTTTGAGTTATTTGGATATCATGGAAAATACATACTCGGGTGCTTTTCGGATTGTTTTGTATGCTCTATTTCATGCCAATTTGATGCATTATTTATTTAATATTATGGCTCAACTCTCTTTGAGTAGTTTATTGGAGACTCATCGTTTTAAAAGTTCAATCAAACTTGTGGCATGTACATGTATTTCAATTGTATTGGCGTCTGTATTACAACTTGTCATTACATTCATGATGGATGCAATTTCATTGCACATCTTTGGTTTTAATTTGACAAGCGGTAAATTTGTGAATGGACGTGGAGCTAACACTTCTTCCATGTTGAGCGATTTTTCAATGATCCATGAATGCTCGATTGGATTTTCTGGTGTAATATTTACCTATCTCACTATTCTATCTATGGATGGATTTCAATCAACTCAATCACTCTTTGGACTTGTAAATGTACCATCAAAGCTTTATCCATGGATTTTATTATTAGTGACAGAGTTACTCATTTCAAACGCCTCATTTGTTGGACATTTGTTTGGAATTATAATTGGATATGTTTATGTGTTTGTTTTTGAAAGAAATACGTTCATATCGCAGCACTATGAAAATTTTCTTGGCAGAATTGAGGATATAATCATTCCTTCTGTTGTAATCAATTTGGATTGCTATTGGTCAAATTCTCAGCACAAACAAAATGCACCACCTTTGAATAGTAATGGATCAATTTTCGCTCACATGATGGAAACTGGTCAAATGTCTTCTTCTGCAAGACACAGTAATGGTGATGATTATTGGGAGCGATTTACATCAACTGGAAGATCACTTGGCTACAATTAATTGTCGAACCGACTTGAAGAACCCCAAAAACAAATGGATAACCAGAGCGAAATGATTTTTGTACACAACAACCTCTCGTCGTATGTGTCTCATTCACATGATGTGTTCGAGAGAACTCGTAGGTCATGTGTGTTGGATGATACAAGGAAAATTTATTACCTTTGAATTGTGATAGAGGTTGCAATGAAGGTCATTCGTGCACGTGAGGAGGTTGAAATAGATTACGCTAGTGTCAAGCGAAAATAAATTCTTTATGAATTTTATGTCTTTGAATTTTGTCGATTCTTATTGGTGATCAAAGCAAAACAACACTAAATTATTGTGTGATAATAATGTAATAATTGCAGCAATTAAAAAATTAGAGCTCCCATGCCGGGAATCGAACCCGGACCTCCTGGGTGAAAGCCAGGTATCCTAACCATTGGACTACACGGGATTACATTAAAATAAAACCAGGATTCTGTTAACAGGCATATAACTGAAACCTTGGTACGATCGTCAATTAATTCACTCTTTTCGTTGAAACAAAAAATGTCTTCCAAATTCTTTAGAGTTGTTCATCAGTCCACCAAAAGCAGAGCTCGTGTTGGTGAAATCATTACTGCTCACGGAATTATCGAAACACCAAATTTTGTACCTGTCGGAACTAATGGAACGCTCAAAGGCATTGATAATTTTACTTCTACAAATGTATTGGATGTTCAACTCATGTTTTGCAACACGTATCATTTGATGATATACCCTGGAATTGATGCTATAGAAAATGCAGGTGGATTACACAAGTAAGTGCCATTGAAATAGCTGTGTAGTTGTTTTTTTAAAGAAAATTATTATTTTAATATGTAATTACTGCATTGAAACACACATTTCAATGACTTTATAACGCCCATTGATAGATTCATTTCTAGAGACAAGCCTATCATTACAGACTCGGGTGGATTTCAAGTATTCTCTCTTCAAACAGTGTATTCAGAAAACCCTCAAGAGTCCAACGAAAATCAAAAAATTGAACTCAAAGGTCAATCCAAAAACAAAAGTTACACAGAAAGTCTTGTAAAAAAAGTAACAGAAGATGGAGTGACTTTTCGATCTTATCGAGATGGTAAACATTTGAAATTAACTCCTGAAGAGAGTGTCACAGCTCAACATCGAATGGGCTCAGATATTATCATTCCTTTTGATGAGTTACTTCCAGAACATGTTCCAATGAGTGTTGTGGAAGAATCATTGGAGAGGACTCATCGATGGGAATTACGTTCTTTGGAGTGTCACAAAAAGCTATCACGAACGAACAACAAAAATCAACACATGTATTGTGTGTTGCATGGTGGAACCAATTTTGAATTAAGGAAAAAATCGATGGATGTCTTATTGGATGAATCATGTTTCCAATATAGAGATTCTGAAGATGGATTACCAAATGGTTTTGAAGGTATTGCAATTGGTGGAAGTTTGGGATCCAACCGTTCAGAAATGCTTCATGTTCTACAATTTACGTACGATTACATGGATAAGAAGATACCTACAGGATGTGCAGTTCCAAATCATATCTTAGGAATTGGTGATATTGAATCTATTAATTCGTTTATAGACATTGGGTTTGATACTTGTGATTCAGCGTATCCGACACGATTTGCACGCCACGGAAATTTCATTGTTAATGCTGCTTCAGGATTCCTTCATCGTTTTCAATTAGGAATTCCAACAATTTGAAATCTCATGATCGACCTATTGATGTAACATGTGATTGTCCAATTTGTCATGGTCCTGGAGCTTATTCAATAGCATATTTACATCACTTGTTCAAGATGAGCGAGCCTGTATATATCACTCTCGCTTCTATTCATAATGTAAGGCAAATGATGATTTGGATGGAGACTATTCGAAATCGAATAAAAAATAACGAAATATAATGGAATTTCCCTTATTTTGAATTGCTGTCATGTGCATCTACTTCTTGGGATTCTGATAAGACTCGACTTCTCTTCTCAAACATTTCATTCTCAATTTTAGCTTGTCGAATTAATTCATTAAGGATATCATGTGATAATGGTTCTACTTTCGTTTCGTATAATTGTGCAATTTTTTCATCCACATCCATAATCTTGTTTCTATGTTCTCGTTCAATTCGTGCTTCTCTAAGATAATCACCCTTCTCAAAGTTTTCCTCAACAATACTTGCCATTGTTTTGTTTAAACTCTTCCATCCACCATCTTCATAATTGGACATTCCTTCAAAGAGATATCGCCTCTCCACAGGAACGATTTCTTTCAATTTTTCATGAATATTTGCAAGTTTTTGAATTTCGATTTGGCTTGGTTCATACCCTTGGCCATACGGAATTGCACCTTCCTGCAAGTCATCTTGAGCAATAATATCACGAACTCTTTCCTCCTCCTGTTCAGACAACTTAAAGAAAATAGCGTCCTCTCGAATGTCCATATTCTTTTTTACAAAACTATCGTTTTTGTTTCCAGTTCTAGGCGTTGGTCTCTTTCGAGAGAGAGATTTTCCAGAGTCTGCCCGGGTTATCGAAGCACTACTGGACCTTACTGAGCCATTTGTTTTTTCTTGTTTGTTGACATCTCTGACGTACTTCATCAAACTTGTCTTCTTCAATTTTTCTCTCTCAATTTTATGCTCTTCCATGATGTGGTTTGCTAATTGAGCTGCTGCCTTTCCTTTGTTTTCAATCTCTTGTAATAGTAAATCCAGTTTATGAATTTTTTCATGGAGCTGTCCAGAGTGTCACCTGGTTGAATTTCTTGGAATGCTTCTTCTTTTGAGATAGCATTAGCTTGAGCAAGATGTACAATTATTTCATCTTTCATTTCAAATATTTCACTGTTAATAGATTTGGTAATGAGATCCAGATCTTCAGGCAGTTGTACCAAATTTTCTTCAATTTCTCCATCCTCAGTTTCAATTACAAATTTTCTGGATTTTAATTCCTCCATAAACATCTCCAAACTTCTTCTGGCGTCATCTTGATCCAATGAAATAGGTGCTGAAGACTCCGAGAAGGCGATCGATGAATCGAGTCGGGGTGTGACCAAAGTTTTTGTTAAAGGTCGCTCACTGTACCAATATTTACAATATCAGTGGAGTTTTGGGAAGCATTATCTGAAAGTGTTTGACTCTCTTTCGTGTCTTCTGATTCGAGAGTGAAATCGGACTGCTCTTTTTCCAGTTCTTGTAATGACTCTAATTCTTCTTTCGAAAAATTCAATTCAGAGAGGTCCGTGTTGCATTCATCTCCCACGATGCTTTCATCTTTGTTTTTTAAAATCTCTTCCAACTCCAAATCATCAGCCAAAGAATTTGCTCCGTCCAAGTCAATATTGAAATTTGGAATGATGGTTTTCAAGTGTGCGAGCTTTTTTTTAACTGCTGGAAGTCTTCATCCATCATCCTTTCTTTCAGGTCATCGATTTTTGATTCACTAAAACAGAAATGCAATCATCATCGTGTACATTTTTTGTGACCGGAGAGGGACACTCCGATCGACATGTACCCAAAGGAATGTGCTCCAAGCTTGTCAAGGACACATTCACACTTAATTGAGATGATTCAGGAGTACTTATTGTTCGTTTTGTTCCTGGCGTTCTATGAGAATTCAGCTTGGAAGAAGGCAAAGATGTTAAGAAGGCTCCGATGGGTAATTCAAAACTTTGTGCAGAGTGCTTACTGGAAGAAGATTCTGCACTTGTGGGTCTTTTGGTCAATGCGTTTTTTGGTGTAGAGCAATTACTATTGAGGCCACTCTGAGGTGAAGCTTGTGATGAAGATGCTCGTTTATGAATCGGAGGAAATTTGGTGTGTTGGTATTGAATGTTCGTTGAGAAAGAGCTTGAAGCTGATGAGGGCTTTTTCATTTTTTTTGTAGTTGATTTTAGCGGCATTTTCCCACATTTGCATCCGGAAGTTGTTAACCACATTCGTCATTGTAAACCAAAGCTCCGCTTGTTGCTGTACAGATTTGAGCGCCATAAAAGCACTCTATTTTTAAAGCTTGAAAATTGAAAAAAAATTTCGTTGAACTCTTCCCGCAAATTTCTCGTCTTTTGTTCTTGCCGTTGTGATCCAAGGAGCCTTCTCTGCATCTTCTTCTTTGGTCCCCACCCACCACACGGATTCGGTACCTGCAATTTTGTGTTGCACCTGTGTGAAATATTAAATATTGGGTTCACCATCATCATCACCAAACAACAACAACACGAATAATAATTACCATCATATCATCCGACTATCTATATCGGACACCACCAATATCTGCTCTCTTCAGAGTGAAATAGCAGCTTTCAATAACAACAACAACAACATCATCGTCAGAGAATCATACTCCTCTTGATTCATCCCAACTCACACATTCAACCACAACAGCAACTAGCCTAACTTTTGTCTTATTCCTTTTTAGAAAAAATCCTTCATGATGACCCACAACAACAACACAAGCACCACAGAAACAAATTTACTGACGACGACGTCAACCACAAAAGATTATAGAAATTCATCCACAACATCAACCATGTTTTCCACTCCTACTCAACCAAAGGATATTGCAAGCATTGCTTCTTCGTCGAGCACCGATGAGGAGGAGGACACCATTTTGTCGAAAAGTCTCGGACACTTCAATTCTACACAAGGAACAAACATGCCAGAGGCTCCTATCATGACATCAAATCCAGATACTTTATGTCTCTCAATCTTTCTCAACAAAAAACACCGCCACCACAAACATCTCCTTCTGGATCAAATTCTACTACCTCCCCTCGTCTTGCAACAAATAATGACAACACAAATGTCAACAGGCCACAACGAACGAGTAGTTTGAGTGCTCAGTTATCGAAACAATCTTCAACGACGTCTCCTGTTGACAAACAACCCCTGAAAGAGGTCTCCAAGAAACAAACACAAATTGATTTCTACAAACATTCCCAAGCAATTCCCATACCAACCAAAGTTTCAAACCCACTCCCAATCATTGACAACAGTTTAGTCACCCCAAACCACGGAGCCACCTATGAGCCATCACTTGTTCCAAGTCTCATGAATGATGACACTACTCCAATGATGTTCGAAGGTGATTTTAGTTTTACAGATAGCAGTGAGAGTGGAAGTGTTGATTTAGCCCCATTCTTCACAACACAAGTGACATTGTCTTCCAACCAGAACAACACGAGCAACAGAACAACTCAACCCAAATCAAGCATGAAGTCAACCACATCATCATCAAAACAAAAAGGTTCTCAAAAGAGTGTATCTATGAAAATTGAGACCACAACATCAGTTGTCAGAGATGATGATCTTGATGATGACAGATCGCCTTTGACGCCAAACAGAAACATTATCCCTCCTCACTTACTCAATAATCGATCAGATTTTTCCTTGTACAGACAACAACAAAAACATAACACCAAAGTATATAAAATATAGTAGAACCAATTTTGATGAAACAATTTTCTTACTATTGAAACATTGATTAAAATTGGGTGGGAGACTTTGGCGCCAAAACCATACGGTTAAAATTAACGAAAAAAATGTCTCGAAAAGCGGTTGAGGATGTTATGCGAATTGAGGTTGAGATATTGGATGCCACAAGAGGAATAAATTCAAGGAGCACTAGCGTTGCTGATAACCCACCAACGCAAACATCAAAAATTAAACCTCCAAAACTGGATTTGCAAGCAGCAATTAACACCGGATCAAATACTCGATCATTTGGATTGAAATCCCCTCCTACAAGCGGAAAGAAGAATCGAAACTACACAAACTCAGCTGAAATATATCCTCCTATAGCTTCCAATGTGGACATTGTTGCAAAAAAATACACAACAAAACAGCCCAACACAACCAATACGCATGACAAAATATCAGTAGCTGAACGCATGTCTCAGTACGCTAAACAATCTCAAAAACAGATCAACTCAAGCAAGAAAATGTCGAATTCAAAGAATGAAATCATGTCCCCGTCAATGGATCATTCTCGACGTCGTTCTCCAAAGAAATCAAGCTCCTCTCCTAGATTGACTTAACATCCCCAACAAAATCTGATTCGAGTAGCAAACGTTCTTATTACAACAGACCTCAGTCCAGTCCTGCAGGATTGAGCAGACCTTCATTTTCTCCTCCAAAGCCAGTTAGAGATCATGCTAATCATATTATTAACACAAATATTCCATTGTTTACACCTGGTCCAGGAGCTTACAATGTCGAGAAGGCAAGCAAATATTTACGACCTTCTACTGCAGTTTCAATAGCTAGAAACCCAAGATTTAAAGATGTAGGAGATACAGGTCCTGGTCCTAATCAGTATGATCCTCAAAAACCGCTTAAACGAATGCCTTCTCCACGATTTGGTTCCAGTAAACGTCCGGAAATTGTAAAGTCGTTCACTCCAGGCCCTGGTGTTTACTCAGCGAACGATTCTGTTTTGTCCCAAGTGAAGGTCACCCCTAGATTTTCATTCCCTCACACTCCTAGAGAGAGGGAGCACGAACATCGAACACCTAGTCCAACAAGTTACACTCCCAAGTATGACGCAGTTCAAAAAAAGAATCCAACAGTGGCTTTCACAAAATCTCCAAAGAATGAGAGACCAAAATCGACCTCAACTTACACACCTGGGCCCGGCAATTACGGTATTCCAACCTCTCCCAAGTTGTCAAAAACGCCAGCATATAGTTTCCCTAAGTCAGAGCGTAATGTAGATCACAAAAAGTCTGTAGATGCTTTGTACAATGCCTATTCCTCGACATTTTCTTCCAAAGGGCCTGTAAAATTTGGGACAAGTAAGCGGTTTCCATCCTCCAATCATACACCGAATGTTCCTTTCTATCAAGCACAACCCGAATGGGGAAAGGCAAAAGGTGGTATTTTCGGGAGGGATAGGAGAAACATTTTGCAAGAGTCACTATCCAAAATCAATCCTGGGCCTGGATCTTATTCTCCCAACTTTTCAATTACAGAACGATCAACTCCAAAACCTGTACTGTACTTGACAGGTTAAAGACGAAGTTGGCTCTTTACCAGAGTCATTATCCACAAATTATTAAAAATTATCATACCCCTAGGTTCTAAAATAAATTAATTAGCATTGTTTATAGAGTTCGGCGTCTCGTAGCCAAAAAATGTCATGAGTGTCAATTGCTGTTTTGTACAATATTGTGTTTTGTCCTTGTTGAATATGTGGCTTGTGCACTCCTCGAAATGCCACAGCCATGTTGTCACAAACAACAATGTCACCAGTTTTCCACTTAAGCCTGAAAACTGGACCATTATCCAAATGGTTAATAAGACATTGATTAAGCTGTTTGCAACATGAGCAACCCATTGTTTTGATTTTGGTTTCTGGTAAATTGATGGTGTTGTTAATTTCAGTTGGGCACTGTTCTGTCGAGGATTGATTGCATTCATCCGTGGACACTAAAAACCCAGAAAGAAGACCTGTATGTAAATATAATCCTTTTTTGCCTGTAACTGGATGTTTTCTAACAAGTGGCTGAACTGAAGAGCTGTTGGGTCCTTTGATAATGCTGAACACCTTGCTTGTCTTTTGTTTAACTGCTTCATCTAATCGCTCATAAGCTAATTGCAAATCAGTGAAGAGTATTTCATCATCTCTGTTGGACAAAGCAGCATTCCAAACGGTCACAGGTGTAGGACAAATCTCATGTCTATAAGCTCCATCACAATTCCAGTAAAAGAAGTTACCAGCAGCAAATGTGGGCTTATCAATGTTATAGGTAGTGGTGGATTGTTGAGGTTGAGAGGAAGAAGAAATTGGTGAGAATGATCTAGGAGTCTCGTATTTCATTAAAGGAGAATAGGGACTTTGTTGAGGTTGGTAGTATGGCGTTAGAGAAGATTGATTGCCATAGGAATTATATTGTTGGTACTGTGGTTGTTGTTGACTGGTATAGTTGTATTGTTGTGCATTATAAGGAGAGTTTTGACCGTACTGTTGATAGTTGTATTGATGATACTGCGGTGACGATGATTGCATGTTTATAGAAGGAGAATAAGGTGTTTGTTGCAGTTGCTGACATGGCATGTTGTACTGTTGAGGAGATTGCGGATATGAAGCTTTTTGAGGTGAGCTATGGATACTTTGTGTTGAAGAGCTGCTATTATTAGTTGAAGGTTGAGGTGATGATGGACATGAAGAAATCAATGCACATTTAGATAGAACTCGTTGATTGGCAACTGTGTAGTCTGTAGAAACTACTTTCCAAATGTCAGGATGACCTGGAATGTATGTGTCCAGTTCTTGATTCCACAACATCTCTTGATTGTTGACAGGGTATGGATATCTAGAAGTCTCTCCAAATAATCTTTCACAAAATTGAGTTTGTTCTGTAGGTGAGAGTGGTTTGGAGCATCTAAACAACAGGATGTGATGTTCAACAAGTGCTCTTCGCAACTCAATGATTTCTAAATCGTTAAGTGATTTTGCTCCATTGCTGATATCAACGTTCAAAATTTCTCTTCCGAATGGTAAAGCTCCACATTGTTGTTGTTGCTTTCCGCTAAATGGGCAAGTGGATGAGCCCAATGTGCCATACAATTTTCTGTATTGGATTCTGCTCTTTCCGTCATTATTCCCAAAAAACGACGTAAATGTAGAACACAAGCATGAGCCGAGGCAAGAAGGCATGTTGCTCCTGATACAATGATGATTCTATTCCGAAATGAACAGTTTATAACTGTAAAATGATGATGATGAAAAACAACAACAAGAGCAAAAATCTTTTAGTGCGCCCTTATTGGTTCGTTATTCGCTTTTTAAGCACGATGCTTTGTTGAGAGGGAAATTATTAATAAGTTAATTTTTTTTTGAAAATATTCAACTGCAGAAAATGATCAAAAGGCTCAACACTGTTCTCAGTACCTCCGCAAGCGTTGAGAGAAAATTTATGCTTGCTCTCGATAAAAGCTGCGCATTGGAAGAGAGAGCGGAAGAACAACAGCTGCACACCCCGTAAGCAACTCTTGATTTTCCAGCTTCAAAATTCGCAGCTTCGAGATTGTGCGCATGTGGAATCTCGCTGTTTCAGCAAGTTGATGCGCACGATCGTGATGGAGAAAGGATGATAGGACTGTTTTAGGATGACGACATTCTTGCTGCCAATGTCAGTGGAGAATAGGATTTCATGACAGAGTCTTGAAATTCAATTGGTGTTAGGTGATGAAAACCTGTGAATGAAATATTGCCATCTTTCTTATTCATGTGTGTAGCAGTAAGCAATTTGGCATGGATTGACGCTCCTCGACTCTCATTGTCACCACACGCCAAATGGAGGTGATGAAAAAATTGTCGTTTACTCTGTTGGATTTAATGCATGGCAATTACAGAACCAAACGACCACGATTGATGGCTGGTTACGAGAGATTTATTTGAACAGAAAAAAATACATCAACCTATGAGGCTTGCTGATCGTAGATTTTGAGACTCTCAACCATTGACTAAGGTTCATCCAAGTAACAACATCAGTACTGGTGGAAGGGCAACGTTTTTTGAAGAAAATGGACCCAACAAGTTCTGCTTATTCCGACATCCAAGATCATGAAATTGAGACTGACTCGGAACCAATAGGTCTTGAGTTGGAACAACCCATGGATACAGACGTGGTCGAGAACACTCGTGAAAACAACATCTGTTCGGAGAAGAAACCTCCTTCTCGAACAAGCGTTTCACGAACCTCTTCAGCGTCCAGTGCAAGAAGTTTTAGAATCTATAAGGAAACGTCAAACGCTCGGAATCAAAACTCTACTTGTGTGGAGTCTAGATGCATGATGGAGAACATCATCAATAGTGCCACAACATTTTCCGAAGATATTAATAAGAAACTGGAATATGTTTCACCAAATGTATCACCAAGAAACAATTGTTCCACTCCTCAACTTCCAAAGATTGGTAAACGACACGACACTCCAAATTCTTCTTCATTCAGCGATCATATTCAGCTGACTTCAGAAGTGCAATTGCATGTCACAGGAAGGGAAATGTCTCCTAGAGCAGAAAAACATCCACAACATTCATTCTCTGTGGGTAATGTTCTAAGCAAAGCTGGGCTTCCTATAAAGAAGAAATCTAAGCTCGGATCTCACTGGCCGACGTCCCATGAGAGATTGCCTCGATATTCCAAAGTTTATTCAAGCCCTCCAAGCCACAGAAACAACTACTATACGGATGAGATCAGGAATGTTCCAAACTCGGAGCTGACTTGTCACTCACCAAATTGTAAATCTCCCCTCTCTAAAGCAACAACTCCAACCAAAAATCTGATTAACTCTTCAGAAAGACTTAAAGCATTGTCAACTCCTAAAAAAGTTCTCGATGACAAAGACGTGTGCTCAGAAAACTACCTTGAAAAGACATCTAGTTTTTCAAACCCTTCTTCCCCTCTTATTCGTTCACAAATTAAGCAATGGAACGGACTTTCAGAAAAGGACACATTGGTTCATTCATTGATATCTAACACTCAAGATGAAGAAGAATTAAAAACATTGAAATATAAGCTGGGATCAATGCTTTCATATGAAAATAAGAAAACGAAACCTCCTCTGCTTGAAACAATGGAAAACTTTATTGTAACCGAACTACAATCCGTCAAATCTCAAATGACACAAGATAACAATAATGATATTGAATTTCAAATAGCAAAAGCCCAGGTACGTGAAAAGGTTTTGCATCATTATTTACCATAATTTCCCATAGGCTTACAAAGAGTGCATGAAAATATATATCGATCACTCTCGAACCTATGGACCTATTTTGTCAACTGCCATACATGAAATGTCAACCACAATCGAAAGTTTAAGAGATCACATTATGTCATTCTCAACTAGAAATGAAAATGAAAAATACCTGAAGAAAACGCTGTAAAGGCCCACCGTATCTACAGAGAGACATCCAACCAAATTGCTCTAATCAAACAGCAAAACGCAGAATTAGAGAGACAAGTTGCAATTTTAAAATCAAACGAAAAAGCCTTACTACATACCATCGATAAGCTTGGTATGGATCTTAAATTGCATGAAAAAAGAAGGATTGACGAAATTAAAAGAGGAACGCTTTTGAACGATGCAATACAGCATCGGGAAAATAAGGAAGTAGAAATCAAAAAGCAATTAAGCGAGATGAAGTCTGTTGCAAACGAAAAGTCAAAGATTGAGCGAATGTACCAAGAATCAATAATGGAGCTAGATAAAAGAAGTGATATGGTACCAAAAGGAGAATACCAACGGTTAAGAGATATGAATGATCAATTAGAAAATGAGCTCAATTCGCTTAAAGTGAAATTCAGTCAGGAACAAAGGGTGAGCAAGTTGTTGAATGAAAAGATGAATGAAATCAAACTCACAAATAATATGATGGAAGAGAAATTGCTAGATCTATCCCGATCACATACTCCAAGGCCAAAATGGAGTGAAATTAGGCAAGATTTAAAGGTAGACTCTTTACCACTTGATTCCTCAACATCAGGAAATGTTAATCAATTATTGCAACGAATGACAAAACTTCAAGCTCTCATTAGAAAACAACAGAGAGAGTTACAAGAAAATGCTAAAGCATTAGAATTTCTCAAAACAGAAGATATTATCAAGAGCCGAATGTACTCTAGCAACTTTATTGGACAAGGAACAGGTCCAAGCGTACCAAAGTATCTAAAGTTTAGAGGAAAAGTTCGAAATAAGAAATTTAGGAAAAAGAAATCATGAATGTGTTGAGTGAGGTGTGGAAAATTCGAGCAAAATCACGAGAAAATCAGAATCAACCTAGAGATTCATTTGCTGATTTCTTTGACGGGTTCATAAGCATGAAGGTGGGAAAGGTGGGATCCATCAGAGCCGAACTGGCTTACAACATCGTTTTTGGATGTGATCACTATTCTTGGGATATGGATTGCTACCTGTTCCTCAAAATACTAAGAAATGAAGTGTCTGAGCTTACATATTTTGCAATGACTGACATGATTGAAAAGCTCTATAACTCATTTGTCAAGCTTGACGAAACAGAGGGAGGAAGAGTTAAAGGAACAGTTCTAAAAAAGAACGCCAACAAGCAATTAGAATTATTCTTTCAAGGAAAGTTAGATGATGACATTCTCAAACTCAAAGGTTAGTTTAAGAAATTTACACAAAGAATATTGATGTCATTAATTTTCAAACAACAGTGGAAATGCACAAAGACGAACCCAACAACGTCATTAACTATGAAAAATTGTTCCAACCTGATGCAGATGGATTTGATTCCAGATTTCTCACAACTGTAAAAAGACAGTTCATTACAGATGTAGAAGAATATAATATTGATTGTGCGGAATGGTTAAGAGAGAAAGAGGAGCGTGAAGGTACACTTTCTGTAAAGCGAGTGTATGAAATTTTCGATTACAAACAAGTGAGCAAAAATTCTCTCGAAAAAACTATTAGGATTGGTCTCGACATTGGATTGGAAGATGAAATTAAATGGGATGAGCCTGTAAATATCGATACTTTCATGAAAAATATTCAAGCTAAAATGTTGCTGACACGAACAACCTTTAGAGACACCATAGATCCATCAGTATTTGATATTGAAATAGAAAAGGAGTTAGAAACTATTGATGTTTCAAATCAAGAACTAGTTTAAGGGTTGAGGAAGGTGATGATTTCAAAGTAGCCCTGTTCGCATTGACAGCTCGAGAAAATCATTCGAAAAAAAATGAAACCCAAAGCAAGAAAGATTGAAGCAAAGACAAAGCGGAAAAAATCGTCTTCTTCATCTGAATTGACTGCTCCTACTGATTCTACAATTATTCGGCACATCATCAATGAATATCCTCAAAAAACACCTCTTGAATTTTTATTAAAATGGGGAACCAAAGATGATTTTCAAGTAAATGCGTGTGATAGCTTTTCATCCTCTTTTGAGTTCATGGATTCTGTTTCCGTTCAAGAAAAACCTAAAAAGAAATGTAAAGACAATCCTTTTGACGATATTGATGTTTACGGCAGTAGTGCTAACGGAGAGGCTTATTCCATTGACATGCATTGCCGAGATTTTAATATATTTGCGTCTTGTGAAGGAAGATATATTTTCATTTGGAAATTAAATACATCACCACATCATACTTCACCACAACTAATTCATACCATTAAACTATGCAATCACGATCAGAATATGAATCTCTATTGTATTAGGTGGGGAGTTTGGAATGATAAAGATATTCTTGCTGTGTGCGGAGAACCAAATTTTGTAATAATTTATGAAATTGATATTCAATGTAGCAATACGAAAGACATTTCTAAATTATTGGGAGAGTTAAGAGGCCATGGAAATTCAGTATATTGTGTAGCCTTTCATCCCGACATGAATGGATTAATTCTGACTGGAAGTACCGATGATTCAATACGACTTTGGGACCTAAATCTAAATTTTGAAACAATTGCCATCTTTGAAGGACATGTTGCTGGTATTAGTAGTTTAAGTTTTCATGAGAGTGGAAATTATTTTGTGAGTGGAGGTATGGATAATACATGTCGAGTATATCATATTGAGGATCAAGTATGGAAGTATAGAAAATTCAAAATGGAATTTAAGGAAGCATGTTCAAGTCCACACAGCCAACCATCAACACAACAATTAACTCGAGAAGGATCTTCTTCGTCTTGCATGGCTAATTCAAAAATCGAACCAATTTCTGTTCCTATTTTACAATGTAAATGTACATTTTCTTATCATAAGGGTTATGTGGACTCGTGTCTATTTATGGGAGACGTGATACTTTCAAAAACATCAACTTCTGAAAAATCAACTAATGATCCAGGTGATTCAGTCATTGCATGGGTTCCAGATAGTGTTTTTGTCAATGAGCAAGAAACAGAAGAATTCAACATTACGTCCGAAGAAGATGAAGTCTCTATTATACATCGATTCAAAGGAAGTTCATGTATGTTCTGGTGGTTGAAAATGGCACTCAGCGATCGATACTTGGCACGACCTCTCCACAACGGTATTGTTGAAATATTTGACCTTAATGATGTCGGAAGAGCATCCTACACATCACCACGAACACGCTTGAAACATCCTTCAGGTGTTCATGACAAGAACAACCATGGCTCAGAGGATCTCATTAGAGAATGCGTATTTTCAAAAGATCAAAAGTATTTATTTGTCTTGCAACAAACAGGACGTATCACTAGATGGGCTATCAAGCATCGGTGACATGAACAGGTCTTACACAATGGATCTAACTACATAATATAGTTTTATCTATCGAGCTCTCAAACACTACAATGATGTCAAGTTTCGAAGCTACTTTGATTTATTTGACCCAGAATTATCTTCAACGAGCTTGTTCTTTCGGGGACGCCCTCTTGGCCTTTTTGGTATAAGACCTTGACTCATCATGATCTGTTGTTTCAGCATCTCTTCAGTGTGTTCGACGAAAATTGTTCCCTCCTTTTGAGCAAGAAATTCAGACATAAAACTCGTTGGAACTATCGATGGTTGTTTCTTTTGACGGCACGGTCTCTTTTGAATTCCTTTTGTGTGCGCTCGGCATAATTTTTGTTCGTTTGACTTACAAGCTGAATTCGTAGCATGGTTTCAAGGTGAGACATAGAAGAGAAGTTGACAGATGTCACTTTCTCAACTTTGGACTTTGCTTGAGATGTTGAACCATGTGGGAATGACTTGGAAAAGGTGGGCTGGGGACTTGTTGGAGACAGGAGGTCGAATGTGTATCAAGTGAGTCGAGGCAGTAACAACAGGAAAGCTCGAGGAGGTGCTTGTTGTTTTCAGGGAATGTTGTTCTGAATGGTCCAAAGATTGCACTGCTGAATCGGTCTCTTGATAACAGTGCTTCATACCATCTTGCGTCTTGGACTCAATCAATGATTTTTTCATTAACAATTCTTGATTTCCTTGGTTGGAATCTCCCATCATTTTCAATAACATGATCCATTGAGCAGTCAAGAGCTGAAGAGAAGGAGAATGAATTTCATTGGAGC